AAAATCTCCTGCCTGATCGTACCCATATCCGCAGCAGGTCTCCAAGGTGAACAGCCTCTAGTCGATAGAATAATGTAGGTAAGGGAAGTCGGCAAATTAGATTCGTAACTTCGGGAAAAGAATTGGCTCTAAAGGTTGGGTCAGTCGGGCTGTTGTGTGAAACAGGTGGACTTTGCTCGTGGCTGCTTGCGTTTCCTTATGGGCGGCGCTTGTGGACTAGTAGTGAGGACTGCTTGTGGAGCGCTTCAGCTGCGTGCTATTTCGCAAGATATAGTACTTCGATTGGCGCTGAACAACCAGTTTAGAACTGGCACGAACTCCGGGAATCCGACTGTCTAATTAAAACAGAGGAGACGGATGGTCCTTGCAGGACGTTGACCGTGTCTGATTTCTGCCCAGTGCTCTGAATGTTAAGCCAAGGAAACTTGATTAAGCGCGGGTAAACGGCGGGAGTAACTATGACTCTCTTAAGGTAGCCAAATGCCTCGTCGGCTAACTACCGACGCGCACGAATGGATCAACGAGATTCCCACTGTCCCTATCTACTATCTAGCGAAACCACAGCCAAGGGAACGGGCTTGGCAAATTTAGCGGGGAAAGAAGACCCTGTTGAGCTTGACTCTAGTCTGACTTTGTGAAGAATCATGAGAGGTGTAGCATAAGTGGGAGTCGCAAGACAACAGTGAAATACCACTACTTTCATCGATTCCTTACTTAATCGGTAAAACGGGAGTTGTGTCTACGGACCTTCCTTTTTGTTTTAAGACTAGCCACTCGGTGGTTGGTTGACTCGCGCCGATGACATTGTCAGGCGGGGAGTTTGACTGGGGCGGTACATCTGTCAAATTGTAACGCAGGTGTCCTAAGGCGAGCTCAGAGAGGACGGAAACCTCTCGTTGAGCAAAAAGGCAAATGCTTACTTGATCTTGATTTTCAGTACGAATACAGACCGCGAAAGCGTGGCTTATCGATCCTTTTGAGTTTGTAAAGTTTACAGCAAGAGGTGTCAGAAAAGTTACCACAGGGATAACTGGCTTGTGGCGGCCAAGCGTCCATAGCGACGTCGCTTTTTGATCCTTCGATGTCGGCTCTTCCTATCATTGCGAAGCAGAATTCGCCAAGCGTTGGATTGTTCACCCACCAATAGGGAACGTGAGCTGGGTTTAGACCGTCGTGAGACAGGTTAGTTTTACCCTACTAAATACTTGTTGCTATGATGGTAATCCTGCTTAGTACGAGAGGAACCGCAGGTTCAGACATTTGGTTCATGTGCTTGGTCGATAGGCCAATGGCGCGAAGCTACCATCTGAGGGATTATGACTGAACGCCTCTAAGTCAGAATCCCGCCCAGTCATGATAGCAATATATATCGCTCTCCGGTGTCGGAAGGCAAAATGTATACCACTTTTTGTGGTAGTACAAGCCCCAGTATCTGGCATTTTCCTTCTACTATAATTGGTAGTTGGTTGCTAAAAGCTTAGCACTCCTCGTGCAGGTGTAACGTCGGGGCGCAAAATCACTTGTATACGACTTGAATACTGGTCAGGGGGTTGTATCCAGTAGAGCAGCTCTTCGCTGCGATCTGTTGAGACTTAGCCCTTGATCGGATGATTTGTCTTTTTTATATACTATAGACCTGTTTATTTTTTACTCTCGGCCGACCGTAATTTCCGGTTACGTAATTTCTACGGAACCGTATTTGTATAACGCACCAATAAACGAACATTTTGAAAAGCCAACTTGTATTAGAAGCGAGCTACAGGTTCCATAAAGGCATAGAACAAACTAATAGAACAAACCGAAACTAATAGAACAAAGCTTTTGAAAATGAACCTGGTTCAAAATTGCAAAATTTTGACTGCTTTTTGAATTTGAACTGCTTTTAGAACGTACCCTGGGGGTTAACTACTTAAAAATATGCTCTAAATTGTGTGGACCATTAGTGCTGGACCATTTATTGCCCGGACTTTTAGACAATAAAGCCAGGTACAATGAAGGACCTTCAATATCTTCACCAGAATTTAGTGCCAGAATTTAGTGCCAGGTACAATGAAGGACCTTCAATATCTTCACCAGAATTTAGTGCTCACGAGCAAACCAAATGCCTAATTCTAACAGGCGTCTGTCTCCATAGTTGAATTTGAACTTCTGCTTTTAGAACGTACCCTGGGGGTTAACTACTTAAAAATTTGTTTAAAATTTTGTTTAAAATTATGCCCATCTGAATTAACAATCACGGTTGATAGCAATGAGCTGTCCGGCAGATTTTGCTTTTGACATTTCAGAAATTGAAATTAGAAATTAAATAAAATTAGTGTTTGTAAATTTCAATAATTCACAATTTTAATATTTTTCGATACAACTCAAGGAATTCAAAACACGGTCCAGGCAGGTCAAAGCCGGACACACGGCTCTACTTTTGGACATGCGTTCCATGAACATTTATGGGTAATAGTTAGGTTTGTGTTTCCTCTCTTCTCTTTCGGCTGTAGTATGGTGTACCTAAGTAAAGTTCGGGACGTGGAATGTCATTCGATTCGTCTCGACGAACTGAGTCGAAAATACCACTCACAATTTCAGGAAATGATTCTGGACCGAGTTATAGGCCCCGAAAAATTGAAAAACCATAGGGGGAGAAAGGTCGATTTTGGGGTGAAAAATTCGAATATGCTAATAATAACTCGGTCCAGAATCATTTCCTGAAATTGTGAGTGGTACCGTTCGACTCAGCTCGTCGAGACGAATCGAATTACATGTCACGTTCAGAACTTTTACCTCGGTACACTACAACCGAAAGAAAAAAGGGGAAACGCAAACTTAACTATTGCCCATTTATGCGTTCCAACAAAGTTTGAGAATTTCATAAGTTCCCATCAGAGTATATGTGTATCACAAAAAAGTATAAGCGAGACCTTAGAGTATATGTTCTAGAAAAAGAATATGCGTCCCATCAGAGGATATCAGTCCAGATCCTTTTAAGCTAACCAAATCCCTCAATATTCATCACAAATCCCAAACCCAGATAATCTAAATAGCCAAAAACACTTAATCGTCGCAGATTTCTCGATGTCTTTGTTAGTTTCAAAATCCACTTAGTCACTCCTAATCCCTATCTTACATTGGAACTACCTTTTCATAATGCAAGCAAAATTCTGAGATTTTAGAAGGCCAAGAAACCAGATTCCTTCCATTTTCAGTGCCTGTGGAAATTTGTGGGAATAATTAAAAACCTTAATGGACCCGTCTCGATCTCTACTGCTAGCTTATACTTTTTCAGGGACGTTTATACTTTGAAAGAACGCATAAAGTTCAGAGGCGCATTTTCTAAAGTAGCGCCATCCTTTTTTAGGAACTTATGCAGTTTTGTACCCAAACTGCATAAGTTCCCTTTTTTAAGTTAGCTAATTAATGAAAAAATTAAACTTGCGAAAATACCATCAGCAGCCACACACTTCCAATGGTTGAAATACAGTCCAGAACGTTCACACGTCATTCCTAAATAAAGAAATGAGTAAAAAATAGAAACTTTTAAAATAAAAATATAAATGGAGTAGGGTTGTCGGTTCTTGGAAAATCTTCGGATATCCGGAACTAAACCGAAAAACCATCGTACTTCGGTTCGGAACTGATAACCTTAAATAGAAGTAATCAAAATTTTAGGACAGAGCAAGTCAATAAATTCAACATAATCCTAGAACGACAACCGCCACTTCTTTGTCTCCCGAGCCAAAGCATTGGCGTGGAAAAGCTCAACAACCGCTGCTCATGCCTAACCTATCCCCTTATTAGCTTAAAGTTTTTCATTGGATGGTTCCTCATTGGCTGAGCGAGCTTTCAATAACTAGTAAAACGGAGGAATAAACTAATTAAAGGCACCAAACTTCACCCCAATATATAGAGTATTTTCAATAAAATCTAAGCAGTAAACCCAAAGCCGTTTGGAAGCCCAACCCCAAATTTTAAACTAAAACCTTATTCACAAGTGTCGAAACAACATCATTGCCATGATTCAGATCCACTTCTGAACAAAATTAAATAAATTGAGGTGAAGAGATATTTAATGGTTTGAATCTGAAAAAGAACAAATTAATTTAAAAAATCAGGTAAGTAGTAAACTCTCAAAAACGAAAAATATAAAACTTAAAGCAAAAAAGGAAGCCATTTTTAAATTTGAATAAGAAAGGTTTTTGTCTGTTTCTCTAATACCCGAACTATTTCATTCCCAAGTTAGGACAGGACACTTTGTCGCAGCTATATTTTTCGCCCACTTCGTCGCAGTGATTAAAAAACGGGTTTTTGCTTCTAAGAGAGCCCGGCTCTTTTTGATTTTAAGGGTAAACTTGGGGAGAAACTAGCCAACGACAAAGTGGAATGTACCAGTTAAATTTAATTTAGAAATAGTACTTTGGATTACCCAAAATCAGTTTTTGCTGACTTATATGTACAAAACAGTCTAAAGACTCCAAATACCTAGTTAAATTGGTAATAGGGTTGAAAAAGCGGTTGGGGGAATGTTGCCCTTCGACACAAACGTTTTTATAATCTGGTTGAGAATTAGTCCTGTTTACATTTACATGATTGTGAATAGAGGAAAAGTGTGCCTACTCATCCTATTCAGAAAAATTAATTGATTACCCCCGATAAGTACCTTAGAATTTGAAATATACATATCAGGGACGGGTCGGGTTAGAAAAATGGATCGGTTCTGTTTTGTCAGAAAGCCAGATTCTTTTACAAAAAATTTCTTTGGAAGCCTTGTTTCAGATCTCGTTCACATCATTTTTCCGAGACGAAAAAAGACAAGCTTTTGGTTAACCCGACCCATCCCTGATACATGTCCAAGAGATGCCTGTAGACAAAACCCTACAAAACATGATCCGGTATTTTAAAAACACAAAAATTTAGAAAATAAACCTCGCAACAACTGGAAAGCATTCATCATTTAAATAAAAATCAGAATCGGCACCATCAAGCAAGAATCATCATTCAAACGATGACCATCAACTCATCCAATTCATCTTATCATAGGCACTAGTAGAATGGTAGACCAGTAATATCATTAAAAAATTTTTTTTTAAATCTCTAAAAAAAACACGAAAAAAGACAAGCTTTTGGTTAACCCGACCCATCTCTGATACATGTCCAAGGGATGACAACAAAAAAAACCATACGAAAACTAAGGAAGAAAGGAAAAAATAATACAAACAAAAATTTGAAAAAAGAAAACAAAAAAAAACAGTCAACTTCCTTTCTATGTCTGCTATATTATCTCTAAAATAAATATGCATTATGCCAAAATTTAACAAATTTAATTTAAAAAAAGTATTGAGCGAGTAATTTTAAAAAAGTAATTTGCGGAGCATCCCAGAGAAAATTTAATGATTTAGAGCATTCAAAAAAAATCTAGTAAAACGAGACATGGAAGGGGGACATGAAAAGGTACAAGAAAAGGATCCGGGAAACGGCGTACGTGTCTTAAAATGCCGGAATACTAAAAAGCCACCAAAAAGCCGTTAACTATACCAGAAAGTCGAACTGGCAGACATGAAAAATAATCGAAATGCCACGACGGCTGTTTGGTATTTCGGCGTTTTTTCGGGATCCCCAGGGGAACGACAGGCACACCAGGGGTGTGCCGAAACGGATTTTAAAAAGCGAAACTCGCACACCCCTGACACAAACACTCCTCCCTCCAATTAAAAACCATAACATAAAAGAGTGAGAAATATAAGGAAGAACATCCTTTCAAAATTAAACCGAAAAAAAATTTTTTTTTGTCAAATTTTTTTATCCTTTTTAAAAATAAATTAAAGCGAACGAGAGATTCTCTTCAAAAATTCCAAAAATTTTTTTCCTCTTCCCCAAAAAAATTCCTCTCAACAAACATCATCAATAATCGAAAAATGGTCATCATCCAAAGTTGTGTAAATTTTTCCTTCATCCAACAAAAATTGAATATCAGTCATAAAATTCTGTCCAGGTTTAACTGATGAACGGATTTGTTCTACATGGACACCTCTTCCATCTAAATTAAAAAATTTTTTTAATAAAAATCAGTGAAAAGAGGAAAACTTATAAAGGCATTCAAAAAAATTTTTTTAGCTCTTGTCCAGTTTAAGCGTGCAATCGCACTTTTATACGTCCAATCACATTTTTTAAGCACCCGGTTTTGTTTGTTAACTCCTATGGTCAGGTAATATCAGTGTGTATCAAAACTTTGGGTGAGTATAGCTTTCTATTCCCATAAAATTTTATGGTACTAAATTGAAGAACCGGGTACTTAAAATGTGATTGGACGCACAAAGGTTGATTGGACGTATAAAATGGACAAGAGCCAAATTTTATTGATATCCTTCATAATTCGTTCAAATCCCTCTAAATCCTTCTTATGTTAACCCGCCCAAATCGATGCAAAATCGACTCCCCTTAAAAACCAAAATTCACAAAAAGTTCCCCAAAATTTCCAGAAAATCAGAAAATCAGAAATCAGAAACTCCTCTAAAAAATAAATTACCCCGCCCGGATTCGAACCATGACCCCCCTGAACCCAAACCAAACCCACTACACCAAACTCCCCAAAACCTTTTAAAATTTAAACAAACCGTATTGAACGAATATCCACCAATCACATACTTTTCCTCATCATTAGACATTGTCAACAAATCTTCAACAATTGCTGGGATTGGAATTTTATCAGTTATGTGGCTTTTTTGAAATGGTGTAGGAATGTTAAAATCTTGTCCTCCTCCTCCTCCAGATTGTTCTCCCCATCCATAACCTCCAAATTGATCAAAAGACGCGTCCATTAAACAGGCAATTAAAAAAAATTTTTCAAAGCTAAAAATAAAATAGAAAGTCAACCAAAAAATAGTTAGGAACTTGTCTAGAGCGTCGGACCCCATTTATTCGCAAGCTAAAAATCCTGACAAGGGGTATTCTTGGTCGATTAAAGGGATTCTATTGGCTTCGGAGAGAAGATTGTGTCACGCGTTATCTGGAGTTAACGGTTACTCGTTTCCTTAAGAAAAATAGGCCAAAACCTAGCAATGCCTCACTCCTTCTCATAGGCTCCTTGCGAATAAATGGGGTATGTACCTCTAAACTAGACAAGTTACCAAAAATAGCTAGTTAGACACCCAATAATTAAGCCAAAAAAATTTTAAAATGCGTGTCATTTATTCATGAGATCAAAAAATATTTTTTAAAAAAGACTAAGCACTCAGCATAGGAAAAACCCTAAATATATATTGTGTACGTTAAACTTATATAAATAAAATTGGTACAATTTAAAGGGGGGGGGGTATTCCTTAGAATATTTTTTTGTTTTATTTGAGAATACTAAAAAATAGAGAGACCGAACTTGCTGATCAAAAATTTAAACTCTGGGATTTTTTGACAAAATACCTTTAAGACAAAATACCCACAGGACAAAATGCCCATACGCCAAAATGCCCACAAGACAGAATGCCCACAAGACAAAATGCCCAAAGGACATAATGCCAAAGGTAAAAATGCCCAAAAATAGTACATATAATTTCTATATAACGACACCACATCGTCGGCCCAGTTTAGCCCGAAGGCGTTTTTAAGTACCGTTATGTACCATATAGAGCTTCTACTGTATTCAAAAGTTCGGACCCTCCACTTTTCTCAATTATAAATTGAAGCGTTTGTATTTAATTAATATAAAAATCTCTTTCTCTCAATTTTTCCAATCATTGAGGCAAGGAATCTTCTTCGTCTTCATTAACCTCCCCAAAGTCAATAGTGCGTTGTGGTTGTTGATCCGTAAATAAAACAGGACTGTTGCATTCTTCAACAGGCGAAGGGTCTGGCACTGAAATTAGAATTTTTTTAAATATATTTTTTTTCTTCTCTTCTTAATCCCGCGAGGACTTTAGAAAAGTATTGCCTATATACAAAAACTCTATCGGATTTTAGTTCATGGGAACCAAAAGATCTGGATTTTTAAGACCAAGAAATCAAAAAAGGATCCCCAGTGCCCCCTCATATACGTCATTTTCCGTCTTATCTATGATCATACTATGATTCTTCTTTTGCCCTCTCATCGTCGTTACACAAAGATTCCACTGTATCTAGCAGGGGTGTGCCGAAATAGATTTTAAAAAGCGAAATGCGAAACTAAATTTAAAAAGTGAAACTCGAAAGTCGAAACAAATACGAAATTGGCACACCCCTGGTATTTAGTGTCTCGTATCACTAAATACCAGGGGGATCACTAAATACCAGGGAAATTGGCACACCCCTGGTATTTAGTGTCTCGTATCAATCACGCAAACTCACATTCATAGCATTCCCGTGGAGTATAAATTTTGGTAGGAGTATTTTGCGATTTTGATCGTCCTTCTTGTTGGTAGCATTTAACTAAAGACAAAGCTGAATCGACCGATTTTGCCATATCATTTTCAAGAGAAGGCTGAGAACGTCCCAACGACAAACATGAAGAATTTGGCCTTTCTGCTGTTGTAATTAAAGGTGTTCGAGTGTGGAAGTTTGAAGGAGTTGTTGTAGTTGAAGAACGAGGCGATTTGAAACTAAAAAATTAAGGAAAAATTTTTTGGTTTATGAAAATAGTAGCACGCTTGATGGTGCTTCAACTATGCTACATTTATGAAGCATGCTATGTGTCACCTTTTAAGCAACAACTTTAAGCACGCTTCATTAACTTTTAGAAGCAAGTTTCTGAGACTTTAAGAAGCATGCCTTAAAAAGCTTAAAAAGTATGCTTCAGAAATTTCAATATGCTTCAAAAACCAAGAAGCAAGCTTCAATAACCTCGAAAAATGCTTAAGAAACATGTGTCAGAAGCCTTAAGAAGCATGCTTCAGTAATTTCAAGAAACCAAGAAGCATGCTTCAACCAAAAAGCATGCTTCAACTTCGAAAAATGCTTCAGAAACATGCTTCAATAGCCTTAAGTAGCTTGCTTTTCAAAAAACCTTCAAGAAGCATGTTTCAGAAAGACCGAGAAGCATTCAAGCATGCCTCAATAAACCCAGAAGAATGCATCCTTAAAAGAAACATGAAGCATGTTTCATAATTAATGGCTTCAATAACTTCAAAAATGCTTCAGAAACATGCGTCAGAAGCCTTAAGAAGCTTGTTTCTCAAAAAACCTTCAAGAAGCATGTTTCAGAAAATACAAGAGGCATTCAAGCATGCTTCAATCTCAGAAACATGCATCCTAAAAATCCTGAAGCATGTTTCATAGTTAATGAAGCACTTTTTTGATGATGCTTCAGAAACCACCAAACCCCCCCCCCCCCCCCCCCAAAAAAAAACACTCAAAACTCACTCATCAGTCAAACGATATTCCAAAATTTCCTTGTCTTTCTCAATTTCTTTAGTTTTGTTAATAGCCTGACTAAGTTGATGATTCAAAACATCAATTTGTGAAATCAAATTTTTTTCAATTTGTTTTAGACGATAAACACCTTCTCTAAGCTCTGAATTTTTATTTTCCAATTTAATTATTTGAACATCCTTTTCTGCTATTGTTTCAACTTTCAATTGTAACTCGCGATTCTCACTGCGTAATTTGGCTAGCTCTTCATTTTTTAATTGGAGTTCGTAAGAGCGGCTGGTTAATTCATCCATTAATCTCTTTAAAAAATTAAAAAAATAGGAATAAATTAAAAGAAAATTGCTTCAGAAACATTCAAGATTCTGAAGAAATTTAAAAAATTAAAAGTTTCTGAAACATGCTTCAGCAAAAATATTTCTGAAGCATGCTTTCAAACACTAAACGCTTCTGAAGGACGCTTCAAAAACTTAATTTTCTGAAATTATCCCTATGAAACTAAGTTTCTGAAGTTTCTCCAAAAAAATGTTTCCGAAGCATGCTTCAAAGCAAAATTTTTTTGTTATTGAAACATTTTTCAAAAATGTTTTAGTTTCTAGTTTTAGTCGAAAAAACAACCCAAGGTAATGAGGCGTCCCGGATTCGAAAATTCTGAACGAAGTTATAGCGCTGCGGTACCTTGGGCTTGCGGTACCTCGGCTTACTCCCCTCCCTTTTAGACACGTATTTAAAGCTCAAGTTATTTTAGAAGCATGCTTAAAAAATAACCATTTTTGACTTGAAACAAAAATTAGAAATGAGCCTATCAAAGAAAAAAATCATTTTTACCCGATTCCTTTGCGATTCATTAAGTAAATGCTTCTCTTCTTGTTCAACAAATTGAGACTTCATTTCAGCCACTTTATTCTCATATTCTTTTAAAGTCTGCTCAAATTCAAGTTGTAATTGTTCCAATTTTGTTTGTTGCTCAGCTTGAAGCAAATTACGAACATCATCAACCTATAAAGAGAAGAATAAAAATTTTTACATTTTTGGTTAAGTGGCTTAAATCTTTCAAAGTGAACCGAAAAAAAGGGTTCGGGTTCGAACCCGCTTGCCGAAATTAATTTTTTTCTTCAAAGTCCAAAAGTTTTTATTAATTTTTATTAATTTAGTCAGTTACTCGACCATACAAAAATTTTTAAAAAGCCCCTCTTTGGTTAAGTGGTTAAAATTTTAATTTTTGGAAAAAAGAGGGTGCGGTTCGAATCCGCTTGCCGAAAAAATTTTTTTCTTAAATTATTTTTGAAGAAAAATTCCTTCAATAATTTTAATCAATTTAACTATTAACTCAACCATTAAAAAATCAATAAAACCGTATTTTTGGTTAAGTGGTTAAAATCTTGATTTTGGGAGGAAAAGGGGTGCGGGTTCGAATCCGCCTGCCGAAAAAAATAATTTTCATCAAAATTAAATATTTTATTTTGATTTCCCACTCATTAAAATTTCAGAAAAATTTTCTCAAATATTTTCACCTCATTTTTGTGCAATTCATCAGCCTTTTGAAAATCATTCTTCCACTTGTCATCAACTACAAAACGTAAAAATAACAATAAAATAAATAAAAGTAGAATAAAAATGAAGCAAATAAAGACAATTTTAGACAAATTTAGAGTTGTTAAAAATAGTAGATTATTAAAAAAATTATTTTTAGATTCATTTTTGGTTTTACAAAAAGTGAAGATTAAAGGGGAATAAATTAGGACAAATAGAGAAATTGTTGCCAAAAATATGACAATTAATTGGAAAAATTTTTTAGGCTTAAAAAGAGAATAGAGGCAATAATAATACATTTTTTGAGAATTTAATTAATTAATTTTAGGGAGAAAATTAATTTTTTTTTTGGAAAAAGAGAAGCAAAGCAAGGCGAGAGAGTTTAATTACTAAAACTGACTGACCAGAGTAGCCCTTCTCTTCCCCTATCCCCCTCAATAACCCCTCTCCAAGCCATCATCCACCTCCTACGCCCATGCAGTCCTTCACCCATTATCTCCTTCCATAACCCCTCTAACCCTTCAATATCCACCCCCTACTCCTTCCTCCCTTCCTTTACCCCTCAATAACCCCCACCCTCCCCAAGCTATCATCCACCCTTTCCTCCCCATCCACTCCCACTTCTCCCCAAGCAGACCTTCTCCCCATGCAGTCCTTCCCCTTACTCTAACCCCCGTCATTATCCAACCCTTCACCTTATCTTCATCATCCCCCTTCCCCACATATATCTCCTTCCCTATAACCCCTCTCCAATCCTTCCCATTCTTCAATCCTTCCTCCCCCCTATCCAATTTCCATAAAAAAGAACCCCATTTTTAAAACACACAAAGAAAATGCGTGTTTTTATGTTTTATTTTATTGCGCTTCTTTTAAAATAAAACGGCGATATTTTTTATATTTTTATTCCATAATTGGAATAAATAGACAATATTTTTAGAGAGAACTATTAAAAATTAATTTAGAAAAAAATCGAGTTTTTTTAAATGGTTTCTGAGAAGAATAATAACTGAGAAGAAAGATTTTTAATTAATGAGAGAATTGAAAAAGAGAGAGAAGGGGGGGGGGTTAAATTTTAAGAATATTTAAAGAGGTAATACTTGGATACCTATACCAAAATTTTTACGTACTTGATACGAAATAAGAGAAATTAGGAGGGGGAAGCTACAACCACCGAAGGTCTGTCCTTATTTTTGTTTTTTGTTCGTATGGTATGAGTATCCAAAACACTACTAACAATAAGAAGACAAGATTTTTGGCCCCAAAATTTTGGAAATTATCACTAGCAATCAGAGGTGGGTGGAACAATCAGAGGTGCCGAAAATCGGAAGAGCCGGAAATCGGAACTGGCTCAAAAGTCGGAACTCGGAAGGAAAAAACGTCGGAAAACGGAAGTCGGAATTCCGACCCACCTCTTCTGGAAATCCAAAATTCGTTTCTATCTCCCCCTACCCCTCAGAAAAAATTTTAAATTTTCAACTTTCATCGAAAAAAGTCATAAAATTCTTCAGTACTAAAAATACCAAAAAGGATCACCCCCCACACACGCGATTCGATAACAATCTCTTCCTAATAAAAAAGAGAAGGAATTCCCCTTATTTTATAAAAGAGTTTTTATTAAAAAGAAGACTAGAAAAAAGAGATAAAATTGCAATAAAACCCACGTTTTTGCATTTCTAATTCATGGTTTGAATTATTTTGCTCTAATAAATTCTCCAATTTATTGACTTGTTTTTGAGCATTAATATTCTAAAAATAGAAAAATTAATTTTTTTAGTAAAAAAAATATTTTAGTAATAAGAAAGAAGAGTAAAAGCTTAACCATGGCCAGGCATCGAACCTAAGACCTCCTGGCAGTGTTGCTAGGCATTTCTCGTTCACCATGTAAAGACTGAAGAGATCGGGATTTTTGAAAAGCCTGGGCCTGTTCCTGGGTTCCGAATTTGATTTATTAACCTGGGCCGGATCCTGGGCCTGTAGTCCAGGGAAAACTTAGGCACAAAAAACCCCAGGAAGGACAAAAAATGCCTGGACTCTGGGTACAGAAAAAACCCAGGCCCTGGTCCAGACACAGCTCGATCACCACGTACAGACAGAAAAGCTCTACAGATAAATTAGGGGTTTCTAACCTTTTGTGGTTTAGTGGGATAGTTCAAATTTTTTAAAAAGAAAAAGGTCACAGGTTCGAACCCCATCGGGGGAAATAATTTTTTTCTTGGGCAATTTTGTTGTATTTTAATTATTTAAAGCTTAATCGACTTTTTGAGGCCCTCAAGCAGCGAAAAGTGCCCTTTAGGTGGTTAAGTGGTATAAGCCTCCTTTTTTAAAGAGAAAAGGGACGAAGGTTCGAATCCCACCGGGGCAAATAATTTCGTTTGAGTCAGTTTTATTGGCCCAAGGTGCAGAAGTGCAATTTAATCGACTTTTTGAGGCCCCAAAATTTTTTTTGAAAATTAAAAAAAATCCCAAACCTTTTCATTAAAATTTTTGCACAAAATAACAAAAAAATTGGCCATTTTCTTCTCATTTTTCAATTCCTTTTCAAGTCTCTCAATAATTTTGAGTTGCTCAGCCAATTTTTGTTTCTGCTCAATATCCTCCTTATTAACCAAATTTGCAATAATTTTTGTTGAATTTTTTGTTGGAGTTTTTAAGGACGGATTTTCTTTTGTTGTGTTCTCTTTAGACCCCAAAACTTGACGTGAAGTAACGTTCCTTCCAGTCGATAAAGGTTTGGAAGGTGTGTTGCTGTTAGTAACTGTTCCTTTAAAAAAATTTTTTTTTGGTAAAATTAAAACTATGGGATGTCTATAGTATATGGGACCCGATCAATGTTGGACACAATTGCGGACTGCACAAATTGCGTGGTTTTTTTTTACTTTCGGACACTGCGTCGGATTTTAAGGTTAAAATTGCATCGCGAAAATTTTTTTCATTTCCGACAAACCTTGGACCCTAAACCTAAAGATAAACCAGTCAATTCCTCTCGTCACGCTGAGTTTGAATCTATAATCCTTTTTTCTATGAGACTAAAACTACAGGGAAAAATAGACAAATTGAGGGACCCCTACTCATATCAGCTTAACAGAAATTCCCAAAAATGAGCTACCCCCCACCCCATGGTTTTTCATTTTCAGGGGCTTCTTTCTCAGGTTTGTCTCCCAGAAAAAATTCTTATACATCCGAACACAACGTGACAATAAACCCGAATGGTAAATATTTCGACGGAGCAGTTCAATTAAGTCCCGGCCCTATAACTCAGCAATGAATGGCCACTTTTTAATGTTTTTGGTATCACTGGATAGAGAATCTAAAGCTCTATAATATATCAAAAAATCAGAATTTTTGGCCGATTGATAAAAAAGATATGATCTGAAAGCTAACTTTTTCAAAAAAATCTGATTTTTCGGCACTTTATCGATCATAACTTTTTTACCAGTCGGTCAAGAATTTTGATTTTTTGGTATATTGTAGTCTATTTAATGCCCTATCCAATGGTACCAAGAGTAACAAAAAGTGACCATCACTTCATAAGTTATAGGGTCCGGGACTCAACTGAGGTGTACCGATATTTCGTATCTAAATCTAGAATCCCACGTATTATATTGCCCCCAAAATTCTGAACAAAAATTAAAAAAAAACGTTGAAATGTCCTAGGCATCCTGTTGTCATTACTAGGGTATTTTGCCAATTCTTTGCGACGTCCTAAAGTTGAAGTTGGTGTTGATGCATTCGTTTCTGCTGAACGACTTGGAGTTATTGCATCGCCACGAGTTGTTGTAACGTTTGTGGTTGATTTGGATTTGCCGACATCGTCTCCACGTTTTTCTAAAAAATTTAAAAAAAAATTAGAGGGAAAGGAAAGGAAGAATGAGAATGTTTTAGAATTCAAAAAAGTTGGTCCGCAAGTCAAAAAAACACGCAATCCGCAAGTGCGTGCCCTGGTGAGCAAAACGTATAGAAACAACTGCCAGCAGGACTAACGTTAGATTTATGCCCTGTGAATTTTTGGATAACTGATTAAACCTTTAAAGGAGCCCAAGCTACCTCCGAGCTATAAATTCGTTCAGAATTGTCAAATCCGGGACGCCCTGGTATGGTTCGATTCAGCGCGTCGAGGCGCATCGAACCATACCAGGGTGTCACGGATTCGACAATTCTGAACGAAGTTATAGCTAGGCGGTAGGTTGGCCCCGCGGTAGGTTTGGGGTGTACTCTTATTCTTACTCCCAAATTATTCAAAAGTAACAAAAAATTAAAATAAACCTCCTCCTCCTTTATTAGGTGTAGTAACCAATTTTGAACGTATTTCCTTCTTTGCCCGAAGTTTTTCAGCTTCCATACTAGCCTTAAGTTGTTCCATAACCATTTGCGATTTAGATGGCTGCTTGGGTTTGGATCGGGCTGCTGCTGAATGATTTTGTGTTGCCATTGGAATTGTTTGGAATATAGAAGTCTGAAAAATAAATTTATTTTAAGAGTTGAATAATTTTAAAACAAGCACGAGGAAAAATGAAACAAATAAATAAAAGCTTTAAAAATGAAGAGGGACGAGGAGGGATGTGGGAAACCGAGGGTGGGAGGGGGAGGATATGGGGTGGTGGACATTGAAGGTGATGTAAGAAGGGAGTCGGGAGTCCCCCCTCCCCCCCTCTTCATTTTTGTGTGGACATTGGGCAGTGCTTCAGCAAAAATGAATTAAGACTTGAAAAAAAAATTTTTTTAAATAAAACTCGACAAGAAAAAAAAAAGAAAAGCTTTAAAAATGTCGCGGCAAGCAAGAAGAAAACTAAAATTAAAAATGAAGAGGGATGGAGAAGGGGATGTGTGGAGGGAGAGGATATGTGCTTTATGTGGTTGTAGGTGATGTGGACATTGGAAAGGATGTGTGGCTGGAGGCCCCTCTTATTTGTTAGATGTGTATTTGGAGGAAGCCCTCCCCCCCCCCCTCCCTCAATTTTGTGGACATTGGAAATGAAGAGGGATGGGGAAGAGCGTGTGGAGGGAGAGGATATGGGAGGGTATCCTCTCTTCAATTTTTGTGGACATTGGGCATTTGCTGCAGCAAAAATGAAGATTAAAAATTATTAATAAGCAAAAATGTGTGTTAAAAAGAAGAGTCCTTTTCCCCTTCTCCAAAACACTAAAGAAACGAAAAGTAACGAAAAGAAAAAAACAAGAGCGTTAAGACTGTTTGTCCACTCAAAAATACACACACACAAAAACAGGGACACGCCCAAAACGGCGCACGGCCATAACGGCGCAAAGCCCTAATTTGCTTCAAGAATTTCTAATCTTAACAAATTTAGTATCAAACGTTTCCACTCATCGAGCTAAAGAGATTGGTACCAAAATTGACAAGGGCCAGAAATTTTGAAGCAAGTTATGGCTTTGCGCCGTTATGGCCGCGCGCCGTTTTGGGCTGTACCCACAAAATCAGCCCCCCCCCTCCAAATAAACTTGCCCTTGTCTTCTTCTCTTCTTTACTAGACGCTTTTTCTTCTCGGTGAGGATTTGCATTATTATTGTGGCTGTTTGAAACATTTGTTGTTCTCAAATAACAAGCATTGTCAACGACGATCTTTCCATCAGCAATCACTTTGTTTGGCTAAAAACCGTAAAAATCATTCGGCTTTAAATAGGGATACTTAAGAGGAAGGAGGAACCAGAAAACGAGAAAAAAGTAAAAATTGATAAAACACAAAAGGAAACTCTTCCTATCAGTCAAAAAAATGAAAAATAGAAGCCTATTTCAATTTAAAATCCAAATGTCTTTAATTAAACAGAACGCCAAAAATTAAACATAACGCCAAAAATGTATTTTTATTCAAAATTTAAACAGGCCAACTACTTTTTTGCTGATATCTTTCTTATTTTTCAGCCAATCTGAACAGAATTATATATCATTCGAAAGCTGTGAATGTGCTCTATATTTTTCTTAAAAGGGTCGAACCGATCCGATCAGTTCCTTAAAAGTTATAGCTTAATAAATGCGTACAATCGTGTTTTTTCGTGCTTATACTCCTATCTTTTTGGGAAATGATCGGATAGAAAAAATTTGAACAGGAAAAATAATCCTCATTCAAAGGGCTTTCGAATGATACATAACTTGTTCCGAAAGGTAGAAAAACAAAAAAGTTATGAATTTTTAAAAACCACCCTTTTCAACATTGAAAAAGGGGTTTTTCTTCCTTACCAATTTATTCTCTTCTTTATTTCCTTGTTCAAGCCCTTCTAATTTCAAATGACTTCTATTTTGTCTATTTTCAGATTTTAAATTTATTAATCCATTTGTAAAATTTTTTGTTTCAGCCATTGGTGTTTCTGCCAAATCTTCTTCGTCTTCAGGTTCTGGACTTGTAATTACTGGCAAATCCATTCCTAAACTAGGTCCATCTAATATTACAGACTCGTCTGGACGGAAGGTTCGAGGATAGCCTGTACAAATGAGAAAAATACATTATGTTTTTCATTTAAAATACAAAAACACAAAAATACATGAAAACACAAGAATACAAAGAAACACATAAACACATAAAAATACAAAACTAGAAAAACACAAAAACACAAAAAAATACAAAAAATACACAAAAACACAAAACTAGAAAAACACAAAAAAATACAAAAAATACACAAAAACACAAAATACATGAAAACACAAAAAAATACAAAAAACACACAAAAACACAAAAATACAGAAACACAAAAATACAAAAGACAAAATACATAAAAACACAATTTTACCATTTTCATTCAATATCCACCCAATAATAGCCGTTCTATCATCATCATCGTCTTCCTCATCCAATCTAAGTAGAGATGATTCACTTAATTCCAAATCTGACAACATTGGGCAGTCTGATTCAAAGACGGTATAAGTTGCTTGTGAATTGGCCATTAAGTCGATATTATGGTTTCGAATCTAAAAAAATATTTTGCTTAGTTTGGGACTCTAATAGTTAAATAAAGGCTTGAGTAATACACAAATTCATGTCTTTCTTGTCTTATACGTTCCCCAAACCCTTCCGGATATCCCAAAAATCCCCTAAGATCCCAGGACATTCCCACACACTCCCAAATCCCCAAGAACTCCCACACCTTCCCGAGAATCCCTAGATATCCTAAAACTCCAGGCATTCCCCAAAATCCATCAGATACCCCAAAAATCTTCTATAATCTCCCAGAACTCCTACACCTTCCCAAAACCTCCTCCCAGATATCCCAAAATCCCCCTAAGATCTCCCAGGCATCCAACACCTTCCTGAGAACTCCCAGACATCCCAACTAGAGGTCGGCGCGGGACGGGATCCCGACGGGATTTTCCGGGATCCCGCTCCCGAAATCCCGGATTTTTTTGATTTTCGGGATCATTCGGGATCCGGGATTTTTTCGGGATTTATCCCTCGGGATCCCGTCCCGGCATCGGTTAAAAAATAAAATCCCGAATCGGGATCCCGGACATTTTTTTATAATTTTCGGGATTTTTAAATTAGCATATCCCAAGCATGTTTTACTCTTGTGATTCTCAAAATTTTCGCCTGCGGCGCAACAAAATGAAGAAATCTGGTTTAAGGAACTCCAAAATTCTCAAAATTTTTGCCTGCGGCGCTGAAAAAGTGAATTATTTTAGCCTACGGTCTTCGAAATTTTAAAAATTTTCGCCTGCGGCGCTGAAAATGGAAGAAATCTGGCTTCATGTGCTCCAAAATTCTCAAAATGTTCGCTTGCGGTGCTGCAAACGGAAAAATCTGGAGGTATTATCGGAGGTAAAGTGGGTGGATTAGTATATAGTGGGATTTTATCAAGGTACCTAGTGATTAATCCACCGATATCCCTCTAAATCTATTAGATTTTTACGAAGTTAATATTATTTACATATAAAGTGCAGTATTTTGATGGATTTATTTATAAAAATTTTAAATTTTTTGTTTTTTAAAAAATCCCGAATCCCGGGCGGGATCCCGGATAATTATTTTCGGGATTTTTGAAATTCGGGATTTTTTCGGGATTTATCCCTCGGGATCCCGTCCCGGCCTCGGTTAAGAAAAAAATCCCGACTCGGGATCCCGAAAGTGCGATTTTGCCGACCTCTAATCCCAACCATATTCCTAAGCTCAGTGTTACCCCATACATATTTGAAAAAAATTTTTCCCATATATCACAGCCTTCAAGCTATACCAGTACTCGGGTCTCTCCTTAAGGATGTGATAAGCTAAAGATCTAAGAATAAGACAGAGACTTAAGAAAAGAAAAATTTAATAAATTTCCTTTCCTAGTCCCTGTCACATTTAATTTGAAAAAAATTTCAGAATGATAAAATTTAAAAAAGAAAGGCAATTGTTGCCAGCTAGTAGGTAGTGATCAGTCTCTCTTTTCTATTGACTTTAAATATAAAAAATATAAAAGTGCAATAAAAATGGGGGAGGGAAAAAAGGTTTTTATTTTCGCATTTTTATAATCGGCCAAAGTAATAAAATTAATAGAGAATATAAAAAAGTAGTAAATAATCGTTCTTTAAAAAAAATTTTTTTTTTCTAAAATTAAGGCAACAAAAAATATATTTATTGACAAAAAAGATTTTTTTTTATACAAATACCAGAATTTCAGTCTTAAATATGAAGAGCAAACAGACACAAAAATAAACTTGGAATTATAAAAATAAACCTTAAAATAATATAAAAATACTAAAATTACTTTAAAAACACAAAAATAACTTTAAAATACAAAAATTAAACTTGAATTATGAAAATACACCGAAAATACAAAATAAAAAAACAAACTTAAGAATAGACTGAAATTGTAAAAATAAACTTGAAAAAACACAAAAAATTAAACTTAGTAATTAAATAAACTTGAGAAAACACAAAAATAAACTTGGAAAAACACAGGAAAATACAAACTTATAAAAATAAACTTGAAAAAACACAAAAAAATACAAAATTATATAAATAAACTTGACTTAAGAAAATAAACTTGGAAAAACACAAAAAAAGAAACTTGACTTAAATAAACTTGAAATACAAAAATAAACTTGAATTATGAAAATAAACTTGAAAACCACAAAAAAATACAAGAATAAAACTTTAAATACAACAATAAACTTAAAAACACAAAATAAACACAAGAAAATACAAAATAACCCCTAAATCTTTTTTTCTCAAAGAATAGGGACATAAATTTACTTGTCAAAAAATAAATGAAAAGAATTTGAAGAAAAATAAATGCAACCTAATTTTTCCGGTTGTTAATGTCAACTAAATTAATTTATATATCAATGGCCTTTCTTTTTTAATTAGTTTATTTATTTACTTTTTAGTTACATGACCTTGGATTTACATTAAAATTTTAGGAGAAAAGAATGTTTTTATTGCGAAAATATCCTTTGTTTTAGTTAGAAAAATGGTCACAGATTTGAATAAAACCCAAAAACTGATCAAGCTAGCTAACATAAATTGACTTTAAAAATGTCCTCCCAATTAGAGTGTCTTTATACAATGTCCTTATGCTCTTACAAGATGTCCTTATAATTAAAATGTCCTTATTATTAGAATGTCCTTATAATTAGAATATTTTTAGATATCCCTCTTTATATGGTGTCCTTACAATTAAAATATTCTTATATTTCCCCTAATTCCCTACCACATAAGACGAATCAGAATTATTAGAAACAGTAGACATTGACATTAAAGACCAATCCATAGGCATCTGAGGGATTTGAGTCGAAGTTGATGGTATTTCACTAATATTTCTATCAATGTTTAATGAAGGCATTGCTGATCGAGAAAGTGTCTTTAAAATGAAAATGAATTTTTTAAAAATCTCTTTTCCAACCCTTTCAGCTTTAGCAATAAGTGAAGCTTTTCCTCCCTTCTCTGTTTGTCTTCTCATTGTCTCCATTTGCACTTTATGACAAGGAGCGAAGACACCATGGCCTGGGCGACAACCAAAATAAAAGGCTCCTAAGAATTGGATTTTAAAGGAAAACAAAAAAATTTTAAGGAAAAAATATTTGGAAAATTAAAAAAATTCCTTCGGTTAGAGAAAAATCTCTTCACTTCCTATTGTCTCTAATTTATTTTTTATTAAATTTAAATTTACCCTCATGTGTCCCATCATTCTTCCCTACGGGCTGATCCAATTCTATTCCACAGAAAATTCCTTCCTTGCCAGCAACTTGACCCATATAACGTAGAACACCGCCATAGTGACCGTTAACTATCACTCTTTTTCCTAATCCACTTCTTGAGACAATTCCAGAGTCGGGTTGATTCTAAAATACAGAATTTAAGTAATATCTAAATAAAAATTGGCGTTTTGTACAAAAAATTTTTGGCGCACACTGCCAGAAATTATATTTTTAACTGTGCGCCAAGTTTGTTTAAAACGCCAAAACTTAACAATACTCATTTTAAACCTGAGCATTTTTTAAAACTTGAGCATTAAAACTTGAAAATAAACTTGAATTATTTCAAGTTTATTTTCCATAAAATTACAAACTTAAAACTTAAGTTTACAAAATCAAAACTTGAATAATTCCAGGTTTATTTTTCACAGACTCGAAAACTTAAAACAAGTTTATTTAAAAACTTGAATTAATCCAAGTTTATTTTCCACAAACTTAAGTTTATTAAAACTGTCATAGTTAAATTTATGAAACGCCCATTTTAGCGCCTCATAAAAGGCGAGAGAGAATAGGCCAAATCAACTTATTCACTCATTAATTAGTTTTGGGCCCGATCAAAAGTTGGCCTGTCCTCTCCGCCTTTTATTTATTAATTATATTTGTTGAATAAAAAGGTTAAAAAGAAGGCCTTCGTTTTTAATAGGTGGATCGGCGCGCCCCAAGGGTGGGTTACCACTCTTGGGGCCCAACGCCGACTAACCCCCTGAAGAAAGGGGTTAGGGATATATAAGATGGCGCTCCTGTAATTTTCTCCACCTGATAAAAAAAAATTCCTAATCCACCCAAAAAAATTTCTAAAAATATTCCAAAAATATTTATTGTAAAAAATTATTCTTCTACCCATCAATCAACTTAATTTTGGCGAGCGGAAAAATATTTCTTATTTATTAAACTAGTTTTTTTTGGACTCCTTTATTTGCAGCAACGCGCAAATTGGCCGGAAGTGGGCAAATAGGAAAGAATTTGGGAAACGCCAAAATTTCTTATCACAAGAATTACAGCTATCTCTTGTGACATTACAACAAAGAAATTTTGCGCGAGCAAGTTTTAGGCGTGACCGAAAGGGAGAAATTAATATAAAAAGGAGTTTAAAAATCTACCAATTTGGCTCACATTTGATTACTGAAGAGTCGAATAGGAGCGAGGGAATTTTCAAACGGATTCATTCATCAAGGATACACAAGGATTTTTTCACACAGACGGATTCATTCAAAAGATACACGGAGGGAACAAAAGGAGCAGAAGGAAGATAAACACATAAGGGATATTCTGAGGATAATACCAATAAAGATAAGAGGGAAAAGGCTAAAGCGAAGGAGTTCAATTGGAGCGGAAGATTTTAGTTTGGGTTGATTGTTAAGTCAGTAGCATTTGAAGTGAGAGAAGGATAAAGGTTGGGAAGGATAAAGGACAAAGATCCTGGAAAATTCTGGATATAATCTCTTGAAACAGGCCTCTAGTGAAATTTTATAGCCAGTCTTGGAATCAAAGCTTAGAAAAAAACGTGCACGTGGATAAAAATAAATTGGGAAATAAGAGCTCGAATCGTTTCCTAACAGATTAGGGGCGTATCACTGCAGGATCGCTTCTAGTTCCCCTACTGTGGGCAAAAAGCTAGCTAAAAGAGGAAACATTATTTGAAGTGTTAGGAAAAGTCGAGCATTGGAATAAAATTGGAAAAAAAATTATAAAATAAATCAAGTCCGGACAAAGACTGACTAAAGAATTAATAGAGGCTTGTGATGAAAGAAGAGGACATTTCAGGATTGGAAGTGGATAATACAAAGGATAAAGGGGATAATACTATTGGTACGAGCTCAAGTGGACTTCCATACCCTACCTTCTTTAATGGCAATGGAGATTTTTTGAGTTATCTAAGGACTTTCAACCGAATAGCAACGGCACACAATTGGACTCCCTCGAGATGCACGCAGATTTTACCGCTTTATCTACAAGGGTCTGCACTTGCGATTTACGAATCAATGCCCGTGGATGAAAAATCGCGGTGGAAGACACTTGTAGAAAGCTTGGCAGGGAGGCTAAAAAAGATATCAAATAAGGAAAGCGCACGCAAAAAATTGGTGGAAAGGAGACAGGAAATGAACGAAGGATTAGAAGAATTTGCAAGGGATTTAATATATCTAGTAGAAGCGGCTTATCCTGAGAATGCGTTTGGAATGGATCTTTCTTCAATTAAGTTAGATGACGAGCAAAGGACAGGCTTGAAGGGGGAAAATGAAAAAATGGTCAAAAGGTTTAAAGAGGAGATTTGTATGGAGAGATTTAAAGCCGGAATGTTACCTGAACTTAGGGAAAAGGTTATTTTTATGAATGCGCCCTCTTCATTGGCAGAAGCAATAGCGCAGGCAAAAAGGGTTGATGAATTAAATCGGACAATTAAAGATGAGACGAGAAAAAGACTGGAGAAAATAGAAGTTAAGGCGGCGCTAGCGGAGGTTAATGAGGTAAGGGATCCATACGAAAACTATGACCAATATTACTATGAGGAGCAATTCCACGAGCCAACCAGATGTAGTGAGAATTGGGAAGAGGATGATAAAAATTGGGATGATGAACAGATTGACCCAAATTTTGACCTATACTATAATGACCAATATTATGACGTTGAAGGCCAATGGTTTCCACATGAGAGTAGTGAATACTGGGGAGAGGAATGTTGTCAGGATCAAGGATATCAGAACTGGCCAACGGACGGAACAGATTTTGAGGAGTATTAAAAAACATTTGGCGACGGGATTCATTTTTCGAAATAAATTTATTTGCTGACCCCCCAGGAGAGGAAGAGAAAGTGGATTTTGGCGTTTATTGTTTGACATTTTCTTGGATTGGCGCTCCGTTTACATATACATAATTTTTCCGTTTTTGCCCAAATTTTCTTGATCTAATACATACAAGTGCAGGAATCTGTTGAGGTGAAATGATGTTTTGCGCGGGATAGATTTGATTGCTAAAAGAATGGAAGCGAAGAATGTGGATGACAAAATATTGAGAAGCACATTGTACCAGAAAGAAACGGCACATACAGAAAGATAGATTATTCAGATAAAGAAAACAGAATTTCATTTCACATTTTCCGCACTTTTATTTATCCGCTTTTTCTATTGTATCCCCCACCCCCGCGTATAGAATGTCATAGTTAAATTTATGAAACGCCCATTTTAGCGCCTCATAAAAGGCGAGAGAGAATAGGCCAAATCAACTTATTCACTCATTAATTAGTTTTGGGCCCGATCAAAAGTTGGCCTGTCCTCTCCGCCTTTTATTTATTAATTATATTTGTTGAATAAAAAGGTTAAAAAGAAGGCCTTCGTTTTTAATAGGTGGATCGGCGCGCCCCAAGGGTGGGTTACCACTCTTGGGGCCCAACGCCGACTAACCCCCTGAAGAAAGGGGTTAGGGATATATAAGAAAAACTACTCACAGTAATACTCCTATTAGTTGTTGATTTATGCATATTTACAGATAAATCCTTGTTGTTCATTTTTCTTTAAAAATAAATTGAAAAGAGATATTTTTCCAATTTTCTATTTTTCTCCTCTCCTTTTTAAAAATAAAACAACAAAAATGTCAATTCAACTTCATTTTGCCAAGACTTTATCTCTAATATAGCAAATATAAGGAAATAAAGTAGTGTTTTGTGCCATAGAAAGTGTGGCAAAAAAGAATGATGAATAAAAGTGAATCGATAAGAAAAAAAAGAAAATAGAAGAAATATTGCCGGAAAAGGCTAACACTTGGCGGCAAAAGCTTCATTACATTTTAAAGTAGTATAGTGGCCCACCCACAAATTCATCATCACCCATGCATAATAATAAAAACAAAATGTTTTGAAAAAAATACTTTTCAGGCAAATTTGTATATTTTTAAGATTAATCTTGTATTTTTGAGTTTGTTTACTTAAGTGTAATCAAGTTTATTTTTTAAGTTTATTTTTGTAATTTAAGATTAAGCTTAATTAATAAACCTAAGTTTAATATTTTAAGTTTGTTTTTGTAAATTCAAGTTTATTTATTGTATTATAATTCAAGTTTGCAATTCAAGTTTATATATTGTTATTCAAGTTTATTTTATATTTTCAAGTTTATTTATTTGAGTTTAAGCTTAATCTTAATTATCAAGTTTAATTATTTAATTTAAGTTTATTTTTGTAGCCAAGTTTGTATTCTTAAGTTTCTAAGTTTATTTTATTTAAGTCAAGTTTAATTTTATAATTCAAGTTTATTTTTGTTCTAAAAATCTATAAAAATAACAAAAACCTAGAAAATCAAAAACAAGTTTTACTTCATTTCATGCATTTATAAAATCTCAAAATTATTGGCATATATTAGCTGAGGCAATGCAAGGCCTATTTCCTGGCACTATAAAGACTTTTGGTCTTTCTATCATTATTGCTGACGAGCGACAAAGGCAAACGCGAAAGGCCTCCACAGAAGCTATTAATGCTGGGGATGGGCTTAATGGCAAAGAAAGCCATTTACTGCCGAGAAAAATTTGTTTTGATGTTAAACGGATAGAGCCGTCTTCCTAAAATTAATTAATTGATGTGGAATTAAAAATTGGAAAATATTATAGAAATTTAAATATATTTATAATACAAGTTTGCAAATTAGGCTTAATTTTAAATTCAAGTTTGTAATTTAGGTTTATTTTTGTTAGTTAAGTTTCTAATCCAAGGCTTTAAACCTTAAGTTCGTAATTCAAGTTTATTTTCTAGAATTCAAGTTTATTTTTAAGTTCAAGTTTGTATTTCAGGTTTATTTTTGCTAGTCAAGTTTGCGATCCAAGTTTAAGTTTTAAAACTTAAGTTCGTAATTCAAGTTTATTTTTTAAACTTAAGTTTCCAATTTAAGTTTATTTTTAAATTCAAGATTGCGGTTCAAGTTTATTTTCCATAATTCAAGTTTATTTTTTGTTATTTAAGTTTATATTTCAAGTTTATTTTTTAAAATCCAAGTTTGTAATTAAAGTTTATTTTTATATCTCAAGCATATACACTCTGTTTCAAAAGTATAACCCACTTTTGATTTTTCACTTTTCTCGATGATAAGTTAATGTATTTTTTTGAAATTTGGTATGTTGATTCATTTAACTAATCTACGAATATTCCCGCAGTTCTATCAATTTTTATCTAATACAAAATTTTTTATTAATTTTTTTCTAAATTCTTCCCCAAAATAGGTGTTTCATAAGTATAACCCACTTTTATTTTTCATATTTGCAACAATAGGAAAAATCTAAAAAAAATTCCTCAAACATGTATATTGATATTATAAAAATTAGAAAAAAAATCAGGTCCATATCTCTACTCAATGCCGAGATCCTGACACCTCTAAAACCTCGAAAATCAACGTAAAACGAGGGTAGGTCTATTTAAAAAATATTTTCTACACAGTAAGTGTAGTTTTGAAATTTTATTTTTGGCATATCTGAAAGCCCTTAAAATTTGCTACAAGATAGCATTTGCCTTATTTTTCAGAAAAAATCCATTAGCGAGATACAGGTGGTTAAACTTCAGAAGCGACCCTAACGGTCATTTTTGTGGGCATTTAGGCGTTTTTTGTTGATGCGAAAGTTTGACCAACTGTATCTCGCTAATGGATTTTTTCTGAAAAATAAGGCAGATGCTATCTTTTAGCAAATTTCAAGGGCTTTCATATAGGCTAAAATTAAAATTTAAAAACTACCCTTAATGTGTCAAATATATTTTTTAATTAGACCTACCCTCGTTTTACGTTGAGTTTCGAGGTTTTTGAGATGTTAGAATCTCGACAATGAGTAGAGATATGGGCCTAATTTTTTTTATTTTTTTTTATAATATTCCTATATAAGGTTGATGGAATTTTTGTAGATTTTTGCTAATGTTGGAAATATTAAAAATAAAAGTGGGTTATACTTATGAAACACCCTTTTTAGGGAAAATTTCGAAAAAAATTAATTAAAAATTTTGTATCGAACAAAATTTTATGAAACTTTTGGAATCTTCGTAGATTTGTTAAATGTATCTAAATACAAAATCTCAAAAAGATACATTGATTAAGCAACTAAAAAAGTAAAAAAATTAAAGTGGGTTATACTTTTGAAACAGAGTGTATTAATTTTATTCCTCCTCACCGTTGTAGAAAATCGAATGCCTGTCTTTGCTGTAAAATTAATTGCTTTAGCCTCCATTTGAATCCTTTCATTCCCTCTTAACCCCAAATCTTCAGCTGTTATGTGAATAGATTCATCTATTGGAGATCTCAATTTACTTGTAATAATGTGTCCTGAAGATATTTTTTTGATTCGTCTGTCGATGGAAACGAGTGGGTGGCGAGCACTAAACAGCACTTTATCTGTCCCTGGTTGTCTAATCTAAAGGAGGGAAAAATTAATTTTTTGTCAGATTTTTTTATATTTTACTTGGAATTGTTTAACCCCTTCAATCTTGCATTCTCCTCCTTGTAAAACAGTTTTAGTCTCATTCCCTGTTTGAATAAGCACACGAGAGCCATGAATCTCAAGCTTAAAAGAAAATATAAGTTAGTGAAAATACAAAAAAGGATATGGGATATTTTTTAAAACTTAAGTTTGCGATTCAAGTTTATTTTTTAAAACTTGTTTGTCATCAAGTTTATATAAGATTAAACTTGAAAATAAAAAATAAACTTGAAAAAAATTAAACTTGAAAACATAAACTTAAGTGTAAAACTTTAATATACAAAAAATAAACTTGAGAATAAAATATAAACTTGGAATACTAGTATTACACACTTAACTCAAAATATAAACTTGAATTACAAACTTAAATATAAAAAAATAAACTTGGATTGTAAAATATAAAAATAAACTTGGAATACTAATATACGTTAAAACTTAAGTTGAGAATGTAAACTTAAGTGCGCAACTTGCATATAAAAATAAACTTGAAAAATTAAATAAAATCTACCTAAATAAACTTGAATTGTAAAAATAATGTTTTAACCCACATTTACTCCCCTCTGTCCAAGTACTTTACCACTATTTGCCACAACTTGTCCCAAATGAGTTTGTTCAGCAGAAAAATGAACGGCAGGTTCAGAATAACCAGTCTTTGGGTTTGTAAAAGAATAAATACGTAAAGAACGCATTCCTTGAGGGGACATTTGTAAAACAAGCACGAGAGAAATGTTGAGCTGAAAAAACTTTAAACCTTAAATACCTAAAATTAAACTTGGAATGACTTGTAAACTTAAATATATATTTAGAGTAATTTACAAACTTAAAATTAAAAAGTGAACTAGGAGAAGTTGCAAACCTAAGACTATAAACCAATACAAAAAAATAAACTTGGTAGCCTAAAAACAAACTTGGAATAATTTACAAATTTGAATATAAAGTTGGTAAACTTAAAACTAAAAATAAAGTTGGAGTAGTTTGTAAACTTAAAAACTATAGACTTAAAACTAAAAATCAACTTGACGAGTCTAATAAAACAGACTTGGAATAAGTTTACAAACTTAAATATAACTATGGCTAGCTTAAACTTGGAATAATTTACAAACTTAAGTTTTAAAATTAAACATAAAACTTAAAATAAACTTGGCAAGCTAAAAACTTAAAAACAAACTTGGAATAATTTACAAACCTAAAAATAAACTTGAATAATTTGTAAACCAAAAATAAACTTTGCAAACTTAAACACTTAAGATTAAACTTAGAAAAATAAACTTTGAAAACGAAAAAGCAAGTTTACAAACTTAAAAACTTTAAACTCACAATAAGCAATATTAAAGCCAACGTAGCAACAACCCCCAACCAAATAAACAACAAAAGTAAAGAATTTCTTCTCAATCCGGCTAATCTAAGGCTTTGTTCATCTTTTCCCCTTGTATTTTTTGGATGAATTTCTGAAGATTTTAGAAAACTATCAGTCTTGTTATCTTCACTTTTTAAAGAATCTTCTCTTTCTTCTTCACCCCCAAATTCTTTTTTGTCATCTTCAGGGGTTGTAGTTGCTAATGAACGTCTCCAATGACGAAAATATTGGGGGGTATACATTTATTTTTGAAATTTATTTTTCCCTTACATTAAATAAAAGGGGAAGATCTCAACTTTATTTAAAGTTTATTCCAACATTCATTGATTTAATATTTGGTCGAGAATAGGGTAACAAACAAACAACTGTTTCTGTCTTCCTCAAAAAGGCTTAATTTATTGTGGGGAATTTTTAATAAGAAAAACACAAACTTGAAAATACTACTCTCTGAGGCAGAGATGGGTCGGGTACCCGGGTACTTTATGGATATGTCACCCCCCCCCCTCCTATTTTGAGTCTCAGAGTTTTCATTATACGTAGAAAATGGTCAGAGATTATTTTCTTCTCCATGTCAATCATTTTTTACTTCTTCAAGTATTTTGCTTGTTTATTTTGCCTTTCCACGTATTTTTTTGAAATTCAAAATAGGGGGGGGTGACATATCCATAAAGTACCGGTACCCGAAACTCAGCTTTTTTCGACTCGACCCCGACCCAAGGAATCTTTTGTTCCAAAATTAGCAAAAAAGATGCGAGCCCTTCCGGCTAAAAACTTTGAAAACCGGATTTTATCAAAATACCCGGTTTCCAGTCTATAGGCACGGGTCAGGAGTAAATCTACTCGAAATGGATCTGGGCCCGGTCGGGTTTTTAAGCTGAGACTCGGGCTAGGCTTCTGGGCTAAAAACCTTGAAACTCGGAAAGAACCTAATTTTATCAAACAAAATTTATTAGGGTAATAGGTCTGGGTCAGGGATAAGCGCGTTGCGTTTTTCAGGATTGCCTCTTGGGCTCATCCCTGGCCTTGGTTCACAGCCGGCTAATGGATCCAATGACCCTTTTTCCAATTTAAATTTTTAAGTTTTGCGAAAATAAGTTTTTAAGTTTACAAACTCAAGTTTTTTTAGAAAACACAAGTTTAAGCTTAAAAAGGTTTAATTAAAAAATAAATTAAAAGGAGAATGTCAATATAATGGGTACGGCCCAAGTAGGCACACGGCCATGTAGGCGCAAAGTCGTAACTTGCTTCAAAATTTCCGAATCTTACCAAATTTGGTATTAAACGATTCCTCTCATCGAGCTAAAGAGAATGGTACCAAAATTGTTAAGGGCCATAAATTTTTCAGGTAGTTATGGCTTTGCGCCTACTTGGCCGCGCGCCTACTTGGGCGTGTCCCCAATATAATAATTTAAAAATAATTTTAAAAAATTAAAGTGAATATTTAAAAAATCACAAATTTTAGAAGGCATCAAAATTAAAAAAAAAAATAATTTAAAAAAATTTTAATTAATTTTGTGTCAAAATCATTTCTTCAACAATTTGTTTAATTTTAAAAATTTTTGGTCTTTCTTTAGGGGTAACTTTAATCAGTGAAGAAATTAGGGTAATTATGTCATTTGAGAAGCTTTAAAAATTTTTTGGGGAATTTTAAAAATTAAAAAAAAATTTTTACGGTGCAGATGAATTAAATGACAGTTTGGCAGATTGAACAGCTAGAGCTACTATAAAGCAAAAAAAAATTTCTTTTTAACTGGAGAAGGAAAAAAGGGAATGGATAGGAAACAGGGTGAGAGGCTCGAGGGTATTTTTAATTTAAAAATATTTTTTTTTGGAAAGGCGAAGAAAAGAAGAGAAGAGGCTAGAGGGCGTTCTTATCATAAAATTATTTTTTTTTGTTTTTTGACTTGGAAACAGAAAGGTGAGAGACAGGGTTGTTCCCCGTGTCCGAAAGTTGGGGAATTTGAGACAATTTTTGAAAATTCCCCCCTCCCCCGTGAAAAAAGAAAAATATCCCCGCCCCTAGCCCCCCTCGAAAACTTCCCCCGTAGCCCTCCCACCGTCTGGGAATAACTCTGATGAGAGCGAGAGAGGGGGAGGGCTAGAGGGGTAATTTTTAATTAAAACCCCCTTTATTATTTAATTAAAATAAAAAATTCGAAAAATTAACCGCTATCTCCTCGTTCATGTACTTCATCAAAGGGTGAAACAAAATAACAAAGAGCATAAAATACACAACCAAGCGACTTTAAAAAGATTTTTTAATTAAATTTAAAATAAAAATTAATAAAATGGAAACTCTCTACACGTCACCCTTAGGACCGAACTGGATTGACTTGGATTGGGGAAATGACATGGGAAGGGGAGGTGACGTACTACTACAGAAGGGGAAGATGATGTAAGGGGATCGAAAAGTAAAAGGGGATGTGGAGTAGTAGAGGAAGTGACGGAGGAAGGGAACTGACGTAAGTCGAGATGGTGTGGAAGGGGATGGGACACATATGAGGGGAGATGACATGGGAAGGGGAGGTGACGTATGAGGGGAGGTGACGTAATAGAGAAAATGACATGGGTGGAGGGGACGTTGTAGAGGGAATGACATGGGTGAAGGGGACGTTGTAGAGGGCTTCCAAAAAGTTTGGGGGAGTCAACACGGATTAACCATCCAAGTCAAAAATATTAATTTTGGAGAGGAACGGTATCACACTAAAATTCAGGATGTTATAGAAAGCTTCCTAGCTTTAAGAAAATTTTTCTGCCCAGAAATCCTGCCTTACTCCCTATAGTTTAATCCCCCCCCCCCCTTCCTCCAAAAAAATAAAAAATAAACCCAAATATCAACAGATTCGTCTATTTCCATCCCAACTTCACAAGTAAACAATTCTGGTGCTCTATAAGGCCTTTAAAAAATTTTAAAAATTTCTATTCAAAAAAATTAAAAAATTCCCAACATTGTACAATATTGTCCAGCTTCGTCCAACATTTTTCTGCTAGTTAAGGCATCTGAAATAACTAAAGGGCATTCCATTGCTGAACCAAAATCGATTAATTGAAGTGTATAAAAGTCTTGATAGAACATTAAATTGCCGGGTTTTAAATCTCTGAAAATTAAAAAAAATTTTTGCGGACAAAAATTTGTCCGCAAAAAATTTGCGGACAAATTTTTGCGGACTTTTGTATTTCACCTAGGATTGAACTGGTTGGACACCAAGAGATGTGCCTAAACTCATTTTAAAACACTAAAGACGAAACACCAAAAAAGGCAAAATTGGGCAAAAGACGAAACTGACACCCCTTAGGAAAAATAATTTTAAAAAAATTTAAACCTGTGAGCTATTGCAGGTTTAGCACTATGCAAATGTTCAATAGCTTCGCTAATCTATAAGAAGAGGGAGAAATATTAAAATAAATTTTCTGAACAATTTTCCCAACCAAAAATGCCCTCAACTAAAAAAATTTCAAAAATGTCCAAAATGGTCAGAAAGGTAAAAAATCACATTTTCCATAAATAACAAAATTAGCCAATTCCTCAAAAAATTTTAAAAGAAACCTGTCTAAAAAAGTCAAGCAGAACTTTTCTTTCAAAAAATTGTCTATTTTGTCGTCTATTAGCCAAATCTTCTTGTAACGATCCACGGCGACAAAAAGGAAAAACCATACAGAATTCTGCAAAAGTTGGATCAACAGAACGGCCCTCTGCAACCCCCAAGAATGGTAAAATGTGTGGTAAATGAGCAAAACGAGTGAGCAGCTTAAAAGAAATTTTTTAAATTTGTCCGCAAAAAATTTTTGCGGACAAAACCTTTCGAAAACAAATTTTGCAGACTAATTGGATTACATAATGTATCAGAATTTAATAGGAAAGCCAATACAGCAGAAATTTTCGAAAATTTTCTTTCCGCAAAAATCAAATTTTGTCCGCAAATATTTTTGCGGACAAAATTTTTCCAAAACTAAAATTTGTAAAAAACCTCAATCTCCCTCCTAACACATTTAATTTCATCTTGGCCATGACAGAGAATTTTTTTGATTGCAAATTTTTCGTTGTTTGAAGCTTCCTCCGCCAGGTAAATTTGACTGAATCCTCTAAAAATTAAAAAAATCTCTTCATTAAAATTAAAATAAACCCTGTAGCAATTACTCTTTTTAAGCGTAACAGCTTTCCATCAATTTCAACGTCTACATCTCTACTACTCACACATCCTCCCATCAATTGAAAAAGTTTAAAAAATTAAAAAATTTTTTGTCCGCAAAAAATTTTGCGGACAAAATTTTTTGTCCGCAAAAATTTTTTCGGACAAAAAAATTTTTTAATTTAAAAATAACTTCAATGGAAATTATGCCTTTAAAATAAATAAACAATTAAAAAAAATTAATTTATGGCACTTAAAAAATTTTTTTTACAAAGATGAAAGCAATTAATTAAAATTAAAGCAAATTAATGGGTATAGGTATACAGAAAATGTTAAAAATGAGCAATTAGTGAAAGTAAAATTACAAAAAAAACTTCTCTATGTATCATAATTTACAAGGGATATTCAAAACCAATTAGCTAACTATAGGGAAAATCTTGCGGATTAAAAAAATTTTTTCGAATTATTTTTTTTGTCCGCGAAAAATTTGCGGACAAAAATTTTTACGCAAAAAATTGTCAGCAATTTTTTTGCGACTTAGCTTAACTTGGAAAGCCTGGGCAATTTTGAGAAAATTCTGAAATGAAAAGGTATAGTAATGGATTACTTCTATAAAATTAGTTACTTCTAAAAAATTTGCGGACAGAAAATTTTGTCCGCAAATATTTTGCGGACAAAATTTTTGCGAACAAAAAAAATTTTTTTTTCAATTTAAAAAATAATTTTAATGGAATCCCCAATTTGAAAAATAAACTTCCCCAAAATTTTAAAAATTTTCCCCAATTTAAAATAACCCAAATATAGAGAAGCTTACAATTAACTAGAAAATTAACTAACCATCATTTATGTACATACAACTAAAGAAAGACTAGAATTCATCCTTAAAATTTAAATTTTCAACAAACAATTCATTTTTCAAAAAATTCTTTTCCCCTTCTTTCCCCTCCCCTCTACTACCCAAATAATTAAAATCAACTTGTTCACTTCCCTCTGTATCACTCAAAAAATCCGAATGAGAAGAGTAACGTTCAGGCTCCAAAATTAGTGGGTAAACAGCAAAAGCATTCAATTTTTCTTTTTCCTCAAAAAATCTTGACCAAATTTGGTTGGGATGTTGAGAATACATTATAGGCAAAAATTCATCTAGAGTCAATAAATTATTTAGGGGATCTGCTTCAATTAGTTTTCTGGCTCCAGACAGGCTTATTGCATAGCCTATAGTCCAGTAGGAATATGAAATTGTGCTGAGGTGGGAATGGCCTTTAAAAAAATTTGAAAAAAATTTTAAAAATTATTTTTTGATGTTAAATGACTTATTTAATCACCTAAACATTTTACTTAAATTTTAAAAAAAGATTCCCATGACGGGGTTCGAACCATGAGCCCTAACGGTTAGTAACCTAAAACTACCCAACTACACCAAATTTTTCACCAAAAAATTTTTTTATCAATTTCTCCTAAATTTTCTGTTCACATAAAAAATTCGCTTTGCGTCTTGCTACAAAAATATAACATTCAGATGACGCAAAGATAAAATAGTACAGATATTGTCTCTCCTCTTTTTCCATTATATTTTCTGTTGCAAGAAGCCAAGCGATTTTTTATGCAAGGCTTGTGATTAAAAGGTAAACGAAATTTTTTAGTCACAAGAAGTCACCTATTGTTAAGTGATATCTCTGTTTAACCTTGGACCCTTTCGCCGAGATTAAATAAACTTGGACCGAGTTATGGACTTCGAGTTTAAGTGCTGAAGAGGAGAGAAGGCTGGGGATAGGAGAATGCCTAAATGGATTATAACATAAACGAAATTTTTTTCAGCCCCAAGAGGGCATCTTATAGTGAAGAAAAAATTAAAAAATATAATAAAACAAACCTGGTACAAATAATTCTGGATTCCCCCAATTGTTTATCTTTCGTCCAAAATAGATAAAATCCCAATCCAGACGTGTCTTCATTAAATCTTGAACCATTTTGTTGAGTCTGAAAAAAAATTTTTTTTTGAATTTTTCAATGGTTAAAAAAATTTTTGAATTTTTTAAAATATTTTAAAAATCATTAAAAATCATTCTAGGGTCCAAAAACATGCCCACTAAACTTCTGATCCCCATATGGAATCGAACCAACAACATCACCCCCACAAAGCCTACAATGCTAACCACTAGACCAAAAAGGCTGTAACGAATAAAAAAGGCATGAAACCCCTACACTTTTAAGACCTATAACTTTGTTTATTTTTAATCTTTCTGGATAATTTTTTCATAATTAAAGCTAAAAATGTCAGCTTTATTTTATATAAAGGGACCGATTTAATCCAAATACTCAATCACAAATTATAGACCAATAAATCAAGAAAATCGTACTTGTTCACTTAAATGGCCACAACTTTTTGAAAAATGCCCACATCGGTAAGGTTCCTTTGGGTAAAATAATCTAGACATTCTTAGCTTCCGCATGATACCAAAATTATTGATACAAGTCAACTATAAACAAAGATAAGGGTCCAAATATTACCTCATGTCAGTCCCCAACCTATCCCTATTCCCCCCTTTATAATTAAATAAAAAAATAAACATTAAAGTTCCATTTTGCGTAAATTTCATATCATCCTCCAAAACAATCGCTCTATCATATCCATTTGCCACAACATCCTTCCAAACTTTATAATGACTCAAAAAACATCCAATTTCCCCCAACTTCATTGGCCGTTTATGCCACGGGTCCAAATAACCAGGCAAAAAGTTGAGTGAATCCAGTTGACGTTTTGTCAAATTTTGGCCGTCTACAGCTTCAAAACGTTCAAATTTCATTCCTACAAGGCGCAAAATTTGTGCCATTTTGTTTAAGCGTTCGGGTCGTCGAGCGAGGTTTATGAGGTAGATTTGATCGAAGCCAAACTTTAAAAAATTTTAAAAAAAAATCCAAAAGAAAGCTAAACCTATGTCTCGATTGGACACCAAGGTGGAAGAACTGATGAAGATGGGAATGGAATTGAACCAGAATCGGAGATGAAATGGGCCAAGAATGTTGAATACTGCAAAAAATCGATTAAAAATGGGAGTTGCGGACAATCCGTAAAAAAAAGTTTGTCCGCAAGTTTTGTCCGCAAATTAAATTTATCCGCAAATTAAATCTCTTTGCTTTTTTCAAACTTATTATTAGGAGAAGAAGTCTTGGAAAGTTAAATAAGTCCTTAACGGAACGTCGTATAATAGCAAAAGCTTCCAAGCCCCCAGAAACGCTTGAAATACAAACCGTGGGAAAAAGCTGAAAATAGCAGTTTCAATTTTTTCTACGGCTTGGTATTTCAAGCGTTTTTGAGGGTTTGGTATTTCAAGATCCAAATATTTGAAGTCATTACTTATCCCATGAAAATTTAAAAAAAAAAACAAAAAACTAGTTTGTCCGCAAGTTTTGTCCGCAAGTTTTGTCCGCAAAAATATTTTCTCCATTTCCACCCTCTCTCACCTAATACTAAAACAAAAAAATAAAAATAAACAAACTAGAGAAGCATGTTCACTATTTAGCCTTGAAGGATACAAAAAATATCCATAATAAAAGTGATTAGAGAATAAAATTGGAATATTCATTTTGTAGGCGGAAACAGCAAAAACATCTATTGGATCGTTAGAACCCTCATATCCAAGTAAATTGTTCTCTTCAAATGTTAGATAAGAAGAGTCCGGATGTTTTAGATTTATCAAAAGTGGGCCATTGGAATAATAAACCTAAAAAATAAAAAAAATTTTATCTGTCCGCAAAAAATTTTTTTGTCCGCAAGTTTTGTCCGCAAATTTTTTTTTGTCCGCAAATTTTATTTGTCCGCAAATTTTATTTTTGGAACTTTCAAAAATCAATGATTTTGTTATTAACGAAAACTGACTAGAGTCGAACTTCTATTGACGTTCTCATGGCCAAAATATAAAGTATTTCCGAAGGTAAAAGCCAAAATAGACAGTACCCATTGTTGAGGATATTGCTTATGGAATCCCCACAACCTTCACACAGTCGCCCACCCAAACTAAAAAAGCGTATGTTAAATTGTGGTTTTCTAGTTGGTCGTATCATAGAGGAAGGTCCCGATGTCTCAGACTCGTAAAATATTAAAAATTAAAATATACCCTAACAAAATCCAGCTTCTCCCTCCAAACAAACTCAAAATCCAGCTCCAATTCTTGTGCATTATTAACACTTCCTTGCATCGGAGAATCCAAAAAAGGCGATAATACGACGGGTAATTCAGCAAAAGAAATTAATTGTCGAAGAGAATCACGCAACAAAAAATTGTTGGTGTCCAAAATTAACAAAAAATTGCAAGATTTGCGACGTCCAAAATTTAAAGAAAATTCTCTCCAATTTTGATTTTCATTTTCTGTTAAGCTTATTGAGAGGTACAAGCCTTTGGGGAAGTCTTGAATCCATCTAAAATGAAGAAAAAATGAAAAAAATCGAAGAAAATAAAGAAAAATAAATTTGCGGACAATCCGCAAGTTTTTGCGGAAAGTCCGCAAGTTTTTGCAGACAATCCGCAAATTATATTTTTGCAGTTTTTGGATGAATGATAATGTTCAGATGCGGGTAAGGGGAAAATTGGACAAAAAATAGAGTGAAAACCCTCATAAAGCTATTCCAAGAAAGTCCGAAAATTTTGTCCGCAACTTTTATTTTTTGCAGTTTTTAAGGATTATTGGGTGGATAATAATGAATAGGTTGCGAATAATCTGAACAAGGCAAAATTTTGGGTCCGCAAAACTTACAAAATGTCCTCAAACCCCCCAAAATCCGCAAAAAAATCGAAATCCGCAAAACTTACAAAAAATCCGCAAAAAGTTAAGAAATTTAAAAAAAACCTTATAATCCCACTATCCTCATTTTCAACAAAAAAATTTAAATGAATTCTGTCCTTTGGATAACGCCAATCTTCGATTAATCCCATAAAATAGGGCAAAACATGTTCATTTTTGATTAAAATTGAAATACAAAATTTTGGGTAAATTAAATTATAATTTATATTTGCTGCTATAGTCTAGAAGAAAAAGGCAATAGTTAAGTTTGTGTCGGACGGTACCACTCCCAATTTCAGGAAAAGATTCTGGACCGAGTTATAGGCCCCGAAAAATTGAAAAACCATGGGGGAGAAAGGTCGATTTTGGTATAATATAACTCGGTCCAGAATCTTTTCCTGAAATTGGGAGTGGTACCGTCCGACTCAGCTCGACGAGGCGAATCGAATGACATGCCACGTCCTGAACTTTTACCTCGGTACACTACATTACAGCCGAAAGAAAAAAGGGGAAACACAAACTTAACTATTACCAAGAAAATTTAATTTAAATTAAATAAGAGCACTTACCACTAAATAATTCCAATAAATCAGCAAGAAAAATATGAAATAAATGCTATCCATTTTTAGTTGAGGAAAAGTCCGCAAGTTTTTGTCCGCAAAGATTTGTCCGCAAATTTTTTTTCCTACAAATTTGCAGAACTTTTAAGCCTGAAAAATATTTTTAAATGAAAAAATTAAAATAAATAGAAGATATTTATAGGATGTATATTGTCACATCAAAAAACAACAGCTGTTTATAATGGATAGACCAAAAATCAATTTTATTATTATACAGCAGAGCTGGGCTAATTTCGGGTACAGCCTAAAACGGCGCGAGGCCATAACGGCGCAAAGCCTTAGCTTGGTGAAAAATTTCTGGCCCTTATCAATTTTGGTACCAACCTCTTCAGCTCGATAAGAGGAATCGTTTAATACTAAATTTGGTAAGATTCGGAAAACCTGAAGCAAGTTATGGCTTTGCGCTGTTTTGGCCGCGCGCCGTTTTGGGCGTGTCCCGCTAATTTCGCATTTCGCATATTTCGCATCTTTCATTTTTCGAAGCGAAAAGTTTCGCATTCCGCATTTTGCTTTTTATTTTTAGATTTCCCCAGCCCACAAAAAATAAACAAAAAATGGGAGGATATGTTGGATTTGTTGGATTGGGTTCTATGGGCGGGCGTATGGCCAGAAACTTGCTAACTAAAAATATTCGCTTGGCTGTATTCGATAACAACAAAGAAAAGCTTTTGGAATTCAAAGAAAAGGGTTCTAATATTTGTTCTAGTGCAGCAGAATTAGCTTCAAAATGTGAAAAAATATTTACAATGCTTCCAAATGGGGAAGATGTGCTTTGTTTGTATACAGGAAAAGAAGGAATTATGGAGTAGTTATTTTTTATTGTTTTCCGGAAAAGTTTCCGGAAGAATCGTAAAAGTTTTAAGGATGGATTGTAAATGTTTCCGGAAAAGTTTCAAAATTGTAAATGTTTCCGGAAAAATATTTTAAAGTTTTCCGGAAAGGATTTATAATTGTAAAAATGTTTCCGGAAGAGTTTTCCGGAATTGTAAATATTTCCGGAAAATGTTATAAGTTTTCCGGAAAATATTTATAATTGTAAAATGTTTCCGGAAGAGCTTCAGAATTGTAAATGTTTGCGGAAAAATATTTATACTTGTAAAATGTTTCCGGAAAAGTTTTCCGGAAGAATTGTAAAAATTTAAAGATGATTGTAAATATTTCCGGAAAAATATTTTAAAGTTTTCCGGAAAAGATTTATAATTGTAAAAAAGTTTTCCGGAATTGTAAATGTTTACGGAAAAACTAGTTAATAAATTTAGAGTTTCCGGAAAGCTTTAGGAAAGAATTTATCAAGGAAAATTGTAAAAGTTTCCGGAAAAGTTTCAGAATTGTAAAAGTTTTAATTATGAATTGTAAATGTTTCCGGAAAAAGTTTAATTGTAATAGTAGCTTCCGGAAAAAGTTTAATTGTAATAGTAGCTTCCGGAAAAGTTTCAGAATTATTTCCGGAATTACCTCTCTAGAAATTTAATTTTCCGGAAAAGTTTCAGAATTTATTTTAAAACAGAACGCTTCAACAAAACACTCTATGCGTTGATTGTAGCACTATTGATCAGGCAACTTCTATTCAACTTTCTGAACTTGTACAGACTAAAAAAGCGAGTTTTTTGGACGCACCTGTGTCTGGGGGAGTTTTAGGTTTCTTTTGAAACATTTTGCTTTAAAAAAATTTTTTGCTTCAGAAAAAAAATTTTGCTTCAGAAAAATTTTTGCTTCAAGAAACATTTTTTGCTTCAAGAAAAATTTTTTGCTTCAAAAAATTCTTTTGCTTCAAAAAAAATTTTTTTGCTTCAAGAAACATTTTTTGCTTCAACTTTTCAAATTTTAATTTTGTAGGTGCAGAAAAGGCAACCTTAACTTTTATGATTGGGGGTGATTTGAATGATATTAAAAAAGCAGAATATTTATTTGAATTAATGGGGAAGAATATAGGTTTTTAAAGAATATGTGTTTTTATTTAAGTGTTTTTTAAAGTCCATTGTGGAAAAGTCGGAAGTGGACAGGTTACCAAACTTTGTAATAATATGCTTCTTGCTTCTCAAATGATTGCTTTGGCAGAGATTATGAATATGGGGGAAAAGTAGAATTTTAAAAATTAAATTGGGAATGTGAAGCATGATCCAAAGAATCTGAAGCATGCTTTTAAGAACTTGAAGTATGCTTTTGATAATTTGGTTCATGTTTCTAATGACCTAAAGCATTCTTCTAATGACCTGAAACATGCTAATAATGACTTGAAGCATGCTTCTAATGACATGAAGCACAATTCTGATGATATGAAACATGTTTCTAGTGACTTGAAGCATGCCTCTAATAATTTGGAGCATGCTTCTGATCATATGAAACATGCTAATGAGTTGAAGCATGCTTTTAATGACTTGAAGCATGCTTCTAATAATTGGGAGCATGCTTCTGATGATATGATACATGTTTCTGGTGACTATGAAGCATGCTTTTAATGGTCAGAAGCTATTAATTATTTTATTTGACGTTTATTTTAATTATCTGGAGCATGTTTCAAAAATCCCATATTGGCTTCAAGGTACTTGAAACATGTTTTAAAAATTTTGAGAATGATTTCAAAAACCTGAAGCATGCTTCAAATATTACTGAAGCTTTAACATTCACTTAACAAAACCAATTTTACTTTTTTTCAGACTTGGCTTAGATCCACAAATCCTAACATCAGTAATCAACTCCAGTTCTGGACGCTGTTGGGCTAGTGACACCTATAATCCTGTCCCAGGCGTAATGCCGGGGACTCCTGCTTCTAATAATTTTGAGCCTGGTTTTACCTGCACATTAATGGCTAAGGTTTTTTTGGTGTTTCAAATGGGATTACCCAAAGTCTACCCACAACGGTCAACTCCCTATCAATAAATGACCCTTAATGTCAATTTAAGATATTTGAGCGGATAAAGAGGGATATATGGGATTAAGTATGCCTGAGGGGCATATGACGGAAATTCTCTGGTGCAACTGTCAGATAAGGCAAAAGTGAGCATGCCACGGTATTCTTGATCAACATGACCCTTTATACGTCCAATCTCCTTGACTTCGACATTCTGTGTTGACCATTTTGAGTAATTTGACCTTTTGGGAATTGACCTTCATGGTCATTTGATCACTAGAAAGTTGGCCTTTTATAGGTTGACCTTTTGGGTGTTGACCAATTGGATGTTGGCCTAATGGGAGTTGACTTTCTTTGTGTTAGTGATTTCACTGATTTTTTTCCACATTTTAAAGGATTTATCGCTCGCCCAAAACTTGTCAACTCGAAATAAAATTCCAATACCAATGGGAGCGCTGGCACATCAATTCTATCTTTATCTCCTGAATAATCCCAACTACGCGTCTAAGGACTTTTCTGTCATTTACAAATTTTTTAAAGAAAATTGGAAGAATTGAAGCTTCAAATTTTGTAAATTTTCTAGTATATTTTCTGTTTAAAAGATTTTTTATAAATTTACTAATTCACTTAAAATATTTTCTAATTGGGTAAAATTTATTAATAATTCTCTTTTTTCCATTTTCAAATGCATTAGAAATTTGCATTTTTTATTTCTGTTCGTTTATTGCATCCACAAAAATTTAGAAACCTTGCTTCGACAAACCAACCGGCCTCGAAATTCATTTGATAATTTACGGAACAGGGACAAGTAGGCGCGCGGACATAACGGCGCAAAGACAACCATCTGCTTTTCTTAAAGACTTAATCCTTTTTTTATTTCAGATAATCTTTTAAAACTTTAATTTTTTGCTCAATATGCTTCAACAAGTTAGAGCTTTTTCAACAACTCTTCTACGTTCATTTCCGCGTTCATTTCCACGACTTCCAGTTACACCACCTGTTAGTTTATTAATTAATTTTGGTTTTCGGGCATAGATGAATCGGAATTCCGATTTCCAATTTCCAAAAATTTAGTCTGATTTCCGAGTTCCGACGTTGCCATTTCCGATTTCCGACAGTTCCGATTACCGGCATCTTCGTCATTTCGATTCACCTCTGTCACCGGGGTTTACTTTCGCCTCTCCTTTTCTTTCTCAATTCCATTAACTCAAATATTTTAGCTTGCGCGTGTAGTTGCTGAAGAACTCAAGCGTTACGAACATTGCAGCCCAGTAACACCGGACTCCCATATAAAGATGGCTAATCAACACATTAGAGATCTGGACGTTGCTTCCGCGTCAAAAGAAATTCGGCTAGGATCTTCGCTTCAATTGAAAGTTTTTTTGAGGACTTACGAATTGGATGTCGACAGCTTTTCCATGCAAACAAACGTTGTGAATTATCTGACAGAGAATTGCGTAGATGATGGAGAGGAATTTAGCAGTAACTGGAATTGTGCTCATTGGTATTATTTTTAATATTAAATCCGAAATAGGCATCGTGTTATGTTTTGGCTATGATTTTTACTTTGACTATGATTTTTATGATTTTTACTTTGAGCAAAATATTATAAATTTATCCTTATGTTAGATTTTCCGAATAAATCTATTTTAAGCGCCCACAAACACTATGATGATTTTGAACATCTTCTCTCGGTCTCAATTTCTTATGATGCAGCTGTAGATTTCTGTAATGAATTATACGAAATTGTTATGAACAAGCGCTTTGACAAAAACCATTTACTTGCTGAATGGAAGGGCCGCTGGGATAAGGAGGTTTGTAAAAGTCGGGCTGGTGTTTCCTCTTTTTTCTCATTCTTTCATCTCTCTAGAAAAAGAAGGGAAGTCCATTTTCGTATTTTAGAGTTTGCCAATCGAATGTGCTGAGTTTCGAGATTTTTTCTTTGGATTTTCGATTCCGATATTTTTGGGTTTATTTCGATTTTCGGAAATTTTTTTGTTACAAACCAGCTCTAATACTGGCAAACCTCTAAAATATCGAAAAAGCACTTCTTCCTTTTTTCTAGGGAGCTGAAAGAATGAATAAAAGGGGGAACATCAGCCGACTTTTACCATTAGGTTTTAATTTATAATTTAACTATTTTGCTTTATTCAATTTTAAGTTGTTGTTCCCCGTTGTAATGAGTGATGGAACTGTTGTGTACACAAGAGGTGAAGAGATTATGAAGAAAGAGTAGAGAAATGAATATTTTGTATTTTTTATTCTTTACATTCAGAGTTCCAAGTAAAAACGCCTGTTCGGGATTTTTTTATCTGACCACCGGACTTTTCCGGATTTGGGTGGGGGCTAACTCAAGGAATACCAACTCAAGGAACAGACAATTCAAGGAACGACAGGTCAAGGAACGACCAACTCAAGGAATGACCAACTCAAGGAATATTTTAAAAATCAGAATATTTTTAGAAACCAGAATATTTCAGATTTTTTTTAAATTCTGTTTTTCAAAGTGTTCCAATTTGTTTTTAAATTCTTATTTTCAAAAAATATTCAGATTTTTCAAAAAATTTCGATTTTTAAAATATCCCTTGATTTGGTACATTCCTTGAGTTGGTCGTTCCTTGTCCTGTCGTTCCTTGACCTGTCGTTCCTTGACTTGTCGTTCCTTGAGTTAGCCCGACACGTCCGGATTTTTGTTAGACACAATGCTAGAGTGTTTATTGCTGCACATTTGTATAAGAAAGAAAATCCCGAGCAGTGCTTTTACTTCGAACTCAATTTCTTTTTTTTTCTTGAATTATATTTTCCTCTGGTTTACAATTATTTTTTTAATTTTCTAATTTATTGAAATTTTTGCGTTAAAAATTTTTTTGATAAAATTTGTAAATAATTTTTTTGTGAATTAAGAATGCATTGGAAATATGCTTTTTATTTTTGTTCATTATCTTATATTTACCATTTTCTCTATTTTCTTTTATAAATTTTATCAACCTTTGTTTTCAGGGTGGAGATAACCCCCTTCATCCACAAGGCCATCGAAAGCTTGGTCAAAAAACTTAAAGACAGGCGCGAGCAATTGTTTGGTTGCATTTTTTGTTTTTTTAATTTAATTTTTTTCAATTTTAGAGGTGTGCTAATTTCCGCAGTAACTTCTGTTGGATTGCAGCCATCTAATTGTTTTGCTATTCACGTACTTTTTAGAATTTTTATTCAATTTAATCCAATTTTTATAGAGCTCACTGGACGGTCGTTTACAAGTTGCTGGACGGAAAGGAGTCCCAAATGTTGTGTATGCAAGGATTTGGAGGTTTAAACTTTTTGTAATGAATTCACAATCGGATTAAAGGCATTTTATAGGATTTAATGGGGTAGGCGAAATGCCTTATTGTGAGTCCCATAAATAGACTGAATTCCAAACGTCTAACTAGACGGGATCAACTGGCTTAACTAATCATGTTTGTCCGTTAATCGGTTAAGAATCAAAAAGGTTTTTGCCCAAAATATGCCCTAGATACTGAACCGGCGATACTGAATCTGCCCGCCCAAAAAACTTTTCGCGATAAACCGACCTGCATAATTTTGTTTTGTACATTTCATTATGTCAACTTTTGGTTACTCAAGTTTTCATAAAAAGCAGGGAATTTCCCTTGTTTTTAACCTCAATAAACCATTTCTTTTTTTAATCGATTTACTTGACCCTTGATAAACTTACAATTTCTTTTTAATATTTCAGGTAATAAACCTACCTGCCTTAATTTTCTTGTGTACATTCTTCTGCCTTTTGCAAACGATGTTTCACCGTGTTAGAGCCTTTTCGTCTACTTCACGACTTTTAGTACCACTTCCAGTTAGTTTGTTTATCTAAATTTGGTTTTAGGGTATTTGACCACAGATCTTTTTGTTTTTCTCCCCGTTCCACAAACCCAAATATTTTAGATCCGGCGTGTAGCTGTTGATGTTCCTGTTATTGTTGACCAGCCTTGTATACCTGCGACTCCCCAGTCACACTTTCAATTGGCCTTAGAACATATTGGAAAACGAGCAGGTGCGTCTGCTTGTGAAGAAATTTGGCTGGGATCTTCGCTTCAATTGAAAGTTTTTTTGAGGACCTATTCAATGGATGTCGACTACTTTACCATGAAGTCAAGAGTGGTGGACTATCTGGCACTGAATTGTGTAGATGACAGTGATGCATTTATTGGTTTTTGGGCTAATGCCTATTCGTATTTATTTTTAAATTTATACTATATTAAAACAAAATTTATTTTAAGCGCTCACAAATTCGGTTATAACGACGTTGAATTCCTTTCACTTATCTTGCCGACTTATCGTTCTGCTACCCGATTTTGTAACGAGCTATTTGACATACACATGGAGAACCGCTTTAACAAAAAGCATTTTCTTGCTGAATGGAGGAGTCAAAAGTCTCGTTGGGATAAGAAGGTTGGTGCTCTTTATTGATTATTTCATTTATTTTTTTTCAATTCAGTTGTTGTTCCCCGTTGCAATGAGGGATGGAAGAGTTGAGTACACAAGAGGCGGGAAGATTATCAAGAAGAAATAGGACTAATGACCTCAACAAAGATTTTTAAATAATTAATTTCTCAAAAAACTTAATTAACGGGCTTTAAAAAACTAATTTATTCGACTTTTTAATTGATTCTAAAAATAAATTTTTATCTATTTCATGTTTCTTTTTGTTTGCATGTTATTTTGCATGAATCATATTTATGCCCTTATTTCTACTAGCTTTCTTTAAATGTAACTTCAATCCCTATGAATTATGAATAATTCTGTCAACAATGGGGATGGCCTTCCACTTGTACAAAATACGCAACAGCAAGCTACAACGGATCCGTGTGCTCAACTTGTTCATATTTTGATGTGTTATCATCAGGTTTTTAATTTTAAGTTGGCCTTTTTTCGGCGTTTTTAACTTCCTGTACTTTTGTATCCTGGGCGATGTTTTTCAGAATTTCTTTTCGAAAAGTCAGGTTTTGGGTTTTCCTCGCCAAGTCACCTAACAGATTTTTAAGTTTGCCATTTGAGGCTTTTCCCGGCTGGTCGTATCCATGGGACCCTAATTTACTTAATACTTTTCAAAGACTGTTCTTAAATTCCTTTTATTATCTTCATTTCAGGGTGGCGATGACCCCGAATTCATCCACAAGGCTATTGAAAGCTTGGTCAAAAAACTTAAAGACAGGCGCGAGCAATTGTTTGGATTCTAATTTTTTTAAATCTGATTTTGTTTGATTTTAGAGATGCCCTAATTTCTGCAGTCACTTCTGCTGGAAAGCAGCCCTCTGGTTGTGTTGCTATTCATGTATTTTTTAGAATTTTTGTTCAATTTATTTAAACTAATTTTTTATAGAGATCACTTGACGGCCGTTTACAAGTTGCTGGTCGGAAAGGAGTCCCAAATGTTGTGTATGCAAGGATTTGGAGGTGGCCGAATGTGAATAAATCAGGTTATTTTGAAAGGTCATTTTTCTAGAATAAAATTATGTGATTAGATTTACATTCAAAGGCGTCCCCGGGATTCACTAGAGTGCGGCAATATTGCAAATTCAGAGCCCCGTAATGGGATGTGAGAAGGCCAGTGTACCGCGAGCCCAATGTACCGCCGTCTATAACTTTGTCCAAAATTGTCGAATCTGTGGCGCCCTTGTATGGTTCGATTCAGTCGTTCGAGATGCATCGAACATACCAGGATACCGAGGAGTTATAGCTCGGCGGTACATTGAGCTGCCAGTACATCGGCGTGTACCCTAATGGGATTTTCTATTGTCAAACAGAAATAAACCGCTGGAGTAATTGTGGTTGTTGCCTGATGTGAGACTCGGGATCCCGAGGCGGGATCTCGTAAAATTCCCTCCTGTGACGCGCTCCTGGATAATTTTTAACCGTTTTATTAAATTTTCTCTTTTTTTACCCTCAGAATTGGTCAAATTGCCTGTCTGTCAAACTCCAACAAACCATCAAGATTTAATTTGTATAAATCCGTACCACTACGATCGTGTGGTTTCTTACGGTTTTTTATTTATTTTTTTAATGAAAATTTCAAAATTAAAAATTTAAAGAGCTTTCTTCGTTGCAAATGGACCCTCTTCCTCCTATTAATTCAAATCAGCATATCTTAACAAATTTGGATGGCCCTTCATCTTCCCAACAAAATTTGGAAAACCCTTCTTTTACTGAACGAAAATGTCAAGTAATCACTCACTTGGCTGCAGAAAATCAGTTAATTGGGAATGAAATGAATTTTTATTCAAATGAGCAGGTTTTCTTTTAATAAAAATTTTGGTCATTTTGTGGTATTTTTGGTCCGTTGGAGGTATTTTTGGTCAATTTTCTGGCTATTTGTTAGGTTAAAGGTTCGAACCCCACTCAGAGAAAATTAATTTTTAAATAACCTAAAACAAATTTTTATTAGAAAAGTAATAAAAAATATTTAAAAAATTAAAGAATCTTTTTTTAGTGGCAATCTTCTCTTTTTGAAACGTGTAGCAACATTTCTGGACCTTGTAACATGAATGGTTTATACCCGCAAAGTAAGAATTTTCTGTAAAAAAAAATTTTTTTAATTTTTTTTAATTTTTCTAATTCGATTTTTTATGTCTTTAAGTAATAAAAACCCTTTTTTGGATGATTACAAATTAATTTCCATGAGTGGGGTTCGAACCTTTAACCTATAAATTTCTGGGACTAAGCATTTTCCAACTACACCAACAATTCATTGGTTTTCCTTTGTAGCCTAGTTTTGGTCTTTTTTGTTTTTGTGTTTTGTTTGTTTTCTGTTTTGTTTTGAATTTGTTCTAATGTTTTTCTGATTGTTTTAATTATTTTTCTTTATTTGTTCAAATTTTATTCTGATTTTGTATTTGTTTTAAATATATTCTGATTTGTTTTTCTGCTTTTTTAAATTTTTTCTTTTAATGTTCAGATGTTATTCTGATTTTTACTTTTGTTTTTCTGATTATTTGATGTTTGGATGTTTGGATGTTTTTCTGATTGTTTTTCTGATTTCTTATTTCATTTTGTTTTTATTTAATTCTGATTTTATACTTCTGATTTTTTTAATGTTTAGATGTTGTTCTGATTTTTATTGTTGTTGTTTCTCTATCTTACATTAGCTTATTTGTGTGTTTTTCTCTTTTTCGTTTTATTCAAACATTTTGTTTTGATGTTTGGATGTTTTTCTGATTTTTTATTTTGTTTTTATTTAATTCTAATTCTATAATTCTGATTTTTTTGTTTCTAGTTTTGGTTTTATTTTGATTTGATTTTTCAATGTTTAAATGTTGTTCTGATTTTCTTTTTTGTTGTTGTTTTTCTGTTTTCCTTTATTTAAATGTTTTTCTCTTCACCTTATTTTCCAAACATTCTAAATTAATGTTTAAATGTTGTTCTGATTTTTTAACTTCTTTCTCTATTTTTCTTTCTCTAGAAAAACATTTAAATGTTTTTTCCTCTGTTTCTTTTAAAACATTTTAATTTTAGATGCTCCAAAATATTGGTGTTCTATTACCTATTTTGAATTAGACACTCAAGTTGGGGAAACATTCAAAGCTCCATGGAATATGTCAAATATTTATGTTGATGGAGGTTTTTCTTTAAATTTTTATTTAAAAATATTTTTAAAAATTTTCTAACAATAAGTGGTAGGGGAAGTGTTTATTTTCTCTTGAGTGGGCAAAAATCGATTTTATAGATTCCGAATGAGGTCCGAAATGTACGGCAACACGGATTCTGTAAGCTTGATCATATAGATCCAAATATAGTGGTTTGTCGCTAAGAAATACGTTATTTTTAGGGTAGGGCCCGGCCCGGAAGATCGAAGTCGGGCATTTAATTTTGGCCCGTAAAAGACTCGGTTGCCTGAAAAAGACAGAAAATGAAGCCCGATAACTCGGTCAGGCCGACTCGAAAAATATTATTCGAGTGTCGGTCCGACTCTGAAACCCCAACCCTATTTTTTTGAACGAGAACAACTTTTATTCTGTCTTAAAAACCTTTAAAAAAATTTTTCCACTATTTTTCCAGGAATGGATCCAAACGGATCGGAAAATGGACGTTTCTGTTTGGGAGCACTTTCAAATGTTCATAGAAGCGAATCTTCAGAAAAGGCTAGATTACATATTGGAAAAGGAATACGTCTACAAATTGTTGATTCTTCTGAAGATTGTAATATATTTGTTGAATGTTGTTCTCAAAAAGGAATATTTGTTAAAAGCTGCTTTCTTGATTTTCAAAATGGATTGGGCTATGGAAGTGCTGTACATAAATTTTGTTTTGGGGCTATTAGAAAGGTTTTTTTTTATTTTTTCATAGAAATATTTTTTCGAGAAATGTGGGGGCTTGGGGGTTATTTTGTGGGTTTCCACATTCCCGTTCATCGATATATGGAATGTGATGTCAGAGATGTTGCTTTTCTAGCCTATTTTTAACTGACAATGAGTTCCTTTTTTGACTTTTCCAATTTTTAAAATTGGCTAGGATTATTTCTAGTTTTTATCGATAAATTTAGGCCATTCCAAAACTTGACTGGGCACTTCTACTTTAGTTTGGACTAATATGTTATGGACCAATTTAGCTAAATTTTATTTCAAATTAAGTAATTTTGAAGGAGTTAGAACTTTTCTATTACTTTTATTAAGCCTAGAGTTGGAGGCTTTCTTATTCTGGTTAATGTTTTGATTAGGGGTTTGGTGAAAGGTGGATTTTAAGGACTTTAGGAATGCTTGTGTAAAAAGAAGGATGTTTAGCTTTTTATTTTTCAGGTTTTTAATCTCAAATGGGCCTATACAGAAATGGTTGAGAAAAAACGAAGAGCAAATATGGCAGGTTTATTAAATCGAAATTTTTTTTTGAATTTTTTCCAATTCTTTTAGCAATGGTAAAAGCCTATGCAGTAGCAGGCATTGCCCCTCAAAATGGTTTAGTTCAAGATTCTGGTACGGGTGTAGATGATCTTAGAGCGGTATATATTTTTAAATTATGGATTATTCAAATTAGGATTGGGTTCCGTCATGAAACCATGGATGGGTATGGTTGAGTAAAAAGCCGGGTCGGGTTGAGAAATTTTTTAGGATACTTTCGGGTCGATAAAATGTCTAGTCGAAATGTCTTCTGTCCTCCACTGCTTTGAAAGTTTCGTCCTCGACGACTTCAATAATTTTCATATGGCCTCAACCTTTAGTGATCTGATTTCTCCGATTATGCTTATTTTTAAGAATTCTTGGAAAGGAAATTTTGAATATTAAATAAATTTTTAGGCTTGACCAATTCTTTGGTGTGAAAATTTGTCTTTTTTCCATTTCCTTGGACAAGAATAGAAAAATGTCTATTCTTGTCCAAGGAAATGGAAAAGGGCAGATTTTTTCCGACTAAATCCCCACGTCTCCGAACTTTTTTTCCTTTGGGCAGGAATTGGTTTACCTTGAAAATTGGTAGCCTTTCTTACCTGCATTTCTTTAGTTACTTCCTTATTAATCCTCAACATTTCAAAAAAAAATTTTTTACTCCTTTCATCAATTTTTTAATTAAAATAGACTTGCTGTACAATTGCCATTAGTTTTGTAAAAGGATGGGGAATTGGTTATCCACGTTCAACCATTAAAGAAACTCCTTGTTGGATTGAGGTTTATTTTTTAAATTATTTGTTTTAATTAAAAAAATTTTTTTAAAGATTCAACTCTTTCGCCCTCTTCAATTACTTAATGAATTGCTTTCTTCCAATTGAAAGAAGTTTTTTGCCAAAAAATATTGGGTATACTTAAAAAGTGTTATTTATTATTTTGCCAGGTTTTTATTAATTTTTCTCTTATTTTAAAAAATTCGCAAAACGGCCTTATATTATTTTAATATTCTATTAGCCCAGATGCCTAATCTCTATAAAATAATTTTCCATTTTTTTTGGTAATTTTCCGTTATCTTCTCCCCAGTTTCCTTCTTCCTTTCTCTAAAATAAGGTTTGTAAATTTAAAAATCAACTGTAGTGCTGGTTTAATAGCAGCATTGGCCAGAATATTAGTATTGGGTTTCCCCTTTTTTCAATATTGAGGTTTATCATGTCTGCTTTCAATTTTGAAAATTGTGCTCTGTTACCTAATAGGGCATTGTTTTCTTCTACCCTTTTAACTCGGAATAGATGATATTGCTCACAATCACCTATATTCTAGAGAAAAGCAAAAATAAGTAAATGAGGGGGTGGGGGAGGATAACGGAATGAGGGAGTGATAACGGAAAATTGTACACATTTTTTATATTTGTACGTAGAATCTTTCTTAAAAAAATTTTTTTAATAAAAAAAAATTTTCTTGAATTTTTGATATGTAAATATTCAATTATATTTAAAAATTCTTTTTAATTTTATTTTTCAGTTAAAAAAATTTTTTTTTCGATTTTTAAAAGAAAAAATGGATGACCAACAACAACAACAACAAATAAATACAACAAATTCTTCTCACCAAATTTTATCTCCCCCAAATACAACAACTACAGCATATACACAATTAAGAAGTGTAGTAGCCCCACAACAATCATCAACAACAACAGCGACAAACTTTTCTCCTTTACAACAACAATTGGGAGGAAATGAGGGTTTTGGACACCAAGTACAACAACAAACACAGCAACAAATAAATAATAATAAAAAAATTATTTATTCTCCACAACATAACAAACAACAACAGTGGATGAAGGTTAGTTTAATTTTAAATTAAAAAAAAATTTTTGTATGAGGAGTGGGGAAGGGTGGATCGTCTATCCAAATAAAAATTCGAAAACGCTACCTATAAAACTCAATTCGGTTTTCTGAACCTTTCCCTGTCCTGATAGGGATATGGCTAGGAAATCTTAGGGTAAACGTCCTGTAGGATAGAGGGGCATTTTTTGGGGTATTTTCTATTTGTTTTTGGAATTTTCTCAAATTTAGTTTGATATTGGGTGGTCAGAAATTGTTTTCCCAATTTGACCCACCAAAAATAATAAACGAAATCATTTTCTAATACCCCCTCTCATATCAATTTCTTCAAACTTCACCTCAGAATTCGATCCTAAGAGGTATGTTTCAGCCATTATTTAACTTCCTCTCATACCTCAATTTTCCTCTTATATATCAGTTAAAATCGAGGTTCCGAAGGGTGTTATAATTAGAGAGGTTTTGATTTTTAATAATTCCTTTAATATTTTCAGAACCCAAGTCCTTCAATGGCAGCACCCCCAACTCCTCTCCATCACTACCAACAACAATCACAGCAACAACAACAATTTATACCTTTGCATCACTCACAATCTGAACATTCAATTTTACAACACAATTCGCCTACAATTTTACAACAATTAAATTCAGCCCCGTTGGCTACAACAAATGTTTCTACAACATCCTCTCCTTCAAATGAAAGCGTTGAACAACGTCAACAACAACAAATTTCGAACAAACAAAATTATATTCAGGTGTGTTTTTAATGTTTTTCTTGGTCAAAACTTGTTTAAAAATATATGTTTTGCTCGATCAAATTTTAAAAATAAAAACAAGCAAAAACAAATGTTTTTCTTTAATTTTAGCAACAACAATTTCAACAAAAACATCGTCCAATAGAAATGTTGTATTCTCAAAACAACAATAGAAACATTCCTCTCCAACATGAAACTTCAGAAACTCCAACAGATATTGGAACAACAAACACTGGAAACATTGTTTTACAACTACAACAAAACACGCAGCAACAACAAAATTATCCTTCGAGTTCATCAGGACCTATTCGTATAAAACAAACAAAGTTTGTAGTTATGAACTTATTAAACATGGGAAAAACATTTATTGAAACATTTATTAGAACATGAAAAAAACATTGAAACATTTATTAAAACATTTAAAACAAAAAACATCCATAAAAACATCCAAAACATCCATTATAACATTTAGTAAAACATGCTGAATATTGTTTTTAAAACTTTAAAGTTTACAACTCAAATATATTTGTTGTTTAACTTTTATTAAAACTTGTTTTAATTAGGATGTTTTGCTTTTAATAGTACACCTTGTTTTAATAAACTTGTTTTAATAAACTTGATTTAAACTTGTTTTAACAACCTATCTTAAAACTTGTTTTTATCATCAAAACTTGTTTTTATTAAAACTTGTTTTTATCATCAAAACTTGTTTTTATTAAAACTTGTTTTTATCATCAAAACTTGTTTTTATCATCAAAACTTGTTTATTAGATGTTTGTTTATAAATGTTTTGTTTGTTTTTATCAATAAAACATTTTAAGCAACAACAATCCTTTAAACATACAACAACATAATTCGTCTTTTGTCCCACTCTCTCAACAACATCCACAACATCCACCACCACAACAACATCAACGTATTCTTATTCATCATCAAAACAATCCTTTAATGACTTCACCAGAACTAACAACAACAACAATAAATCCAACAAACATTCACCCCCAACACCAACAACCTATACATTCGTCTTATATTGGTTCACAACGTTTTGCTATGTTTGTTTTAAATGATATGGATACACAAAGTTTATCTCCAAAAACAAAATATAGAGAATTAAAGAAGAAATTTAAATTTTTGGTTTATGTAAGTTTTAAAAAATTCTTTAATTGTGGAGTTTTTGAGTTAAACCTTGCACAATTTTTGAATTTTTATTGACCACGGATTGGATGAGATACCTAGGCGAAATGTTTGAGAGACTTATTTAAAAAAGTTCCACTAAGTGAGAGTGAGCAGTAATGACCGGCAAAATCGTGTTTATGGGTTCCGCCTGCTGGATTTTTGAGGGACAGTATCTTGCAGGATAAATCCCACAAAATTCGCATCCCGCAAATTAAAAAGTGAAAGGATTGTTGACGCGGGATCCTGTCATGCGCCGATCATTAGTGAGCAGTAGGTGTGTGCCGAAACAGATTTTAAAAAGCAAAAGGTGAAGCACCAAAAAAAAAGACAAAAATTAGGTGAAAGTTGAAAACCGTCCCAAACTTTTTGCGAATGTCCCTAAATGATACCTTCTATTTAAAATACACCTTATTATAAGAACGCTTTTTCCAGACGCATGGGTTTATCTTATAGTGAGGCTTTCATCTTTATACCTTTCTCTAAAAAAATTTTTTTTAAAAAGGAGAATGAATATTATCAGGAAGAATTGCGTAATTTACAGCGTAAACTACTCAAATTATCTAGAGATAAAAATTTTTTGCTCGATAGACTTGGACAACATGAAAATTTGAGTGAATCTAGTGATGATTCTGATACCTCTACGAAAACTTTGGATGATAAAGGGATTCCTAAACCTAAACGGTAATGAAATTTTTTGTGTTGTATTTGTCCTTAGATTGTTTCTAGTCTAACAAGACAATCTGATAACAAATCTAAATAAAAATAAGACAAAATTTCTTATTTGTTCTTAGATTTATCCTTAGATTTTTCATTAAATTTGGTTTTAAAATTTTAAAAAAAAATTATTTTTTTTTAATTTTTTTCAGAAAACGTCCTTCACAAGCAAGAAAAAGACCAGCACCAAATACAACAACAACACCAAATTCATTAACAAATAACACTTCACAAAAGCGTAAGACTGGTGGTGGAGGTGCTGCTAGGAAGAAAGGTAGTCACAAGCGGAATTAACCGGTCACCAGAGGTGAATCGGAATTACGATTTCCGATGTTTTTTCCTTCCGATTTACATCTGCCGGTCACCAACAATCTTAGTATAATTGCCTTGGTGTAATAAGTTCGGGAGATTTTTGATTTTAATTTAAACAAATTTACCAGAGGAAACGGACAAAAATATTCAAAAACCAGAAAAAGAAGACAATCAACAAGAACAACAAAAAATTGAAATAATAAAAAAAGGTGAAGGAGAATCAATTAATATAATTGGAACTAATATAGTAAGCAGTAGTAGCAGTAGTGGAGGAGGGAGTGGAATTAATTTAAATAATGACCAACAACAACAACAACAAATTTCACCTCCACAACAAAAGAGACAAAAAGTTGAATTAAAAGAAGAACAATTGGAGAATAATAATTGTGTTTTTGAGAATGTTACAAGTACAAGTAATAGTGGATTAAATGAAGGGAGATGGATTGGAAAATATTGAGTTTAGAAAAAAAATTTTCGCATTTTTTATGATTTTTTTAAGGAATTTTGGACAGGATACTATTATTTTTGCTAAGATGTTTTAATGTTCGAAAAACATTGAAAAACAAGTTTATAAAATAAAACAAGTTTTTACAAACTTGTTACAAACTTGTTTTAATTTTTTAAGTTTAAAACTTGTTTTCTTATTTCAAATTTAAAACTTGTTTTTACAAACTTAGCAAAAACATTTTTTGTTTAGTTTGTTTTTACTTAAGACTTGTTTTTATTAAACATGTTTATTTACAAATGCTAATTGTAAAAACATTAGTATTATAAAAACATTGTTTTTGAGCATTATTCTTCTAGTTTAAATTTTGTATTATTTTTTCATTTTTTACTACTAAATATAAATATTTTTTAAAAATTATTTTTTTTTAATTTGTGAAACTGTTTTTAATTTCTTTTATATTTCCAAAATTCTTTAATTATTTTAAATAATTTCAAGTTTTTACTAATGCCTGCAAAACAACTAACACTTATTGAATTGTTCTCAAAATCTGCTGGGAAGGAAAATGTTGGAAATAAACGTGTTGTGTCTTGTCGGTCAACTGGAGATTCTCCAGAACGAAAAAGGTTAGTTTTTTTTGTCATTTATGTTTTTCAAAACTTGTTTTACAAATTCAATTTTTTTTAGAGGTGTTGACTAAGTTTTTATAAAAACATGTTTTACAATTATTAAAAACTTATTAAACTTGTTTTACAAACTTAAAAACATTTTCAAACTTGTTTTCTTATCAAGTTTTTAATCAAGTTTTAATTGCAACATGTTTTACAAACTTGACTAATTTATTATTAAACTTGCGTCTTATTAAAACTTGTTTTCTTAAGTCTACAAATAAAAAAGCTTATTATTTAATGTTTCTAGACTTCCTTCTATAAAACTCAATGTTGAAAATATTTATTCAAACACATCAACAACATTTGATAATATTCTTGAAGAACAAAATCAACAATCATTATTATCATCCCCGTTGCCAAATGAACAATTGGATTCAATTTTTTGTACTTTAGTAGAACCTGAATGGAGGAAATTGTTAACAACAGAATTAAAAAAGGAATATATCAAATCAATTCATCAATTTTTGATTAGCCAATATGAAAAGGTGTTTTTTTTTAATATTGTTTTACAATTTTGGAATCATATTTTACTAAAGTTTTATTAAAACTTATTAAATGTTTCTTAGAAACATGTTACAAACATGTTACGCAAACTTTTAAGTTTGCGAACTTGTGAACTTGTTTAACAAACCTAAGCGTTATAAAGTTTTAATAAACTTACAAACATGTTTTATCAAAACTTAGTTTTTTTAAGTTTACAAACATGTTTACGAACATATCTTATCAAAACTTAATTAAGTTTGCAAACTTTTCTCAAAACTTGTTTTGACAAATTAAAACATTTTTAGGTTTTGGTAAAACAAGTTTGCAAGTGTTATATTAAAAATTAAAAACATTAATTTCTTTAAACTTGTTTTAAGAAAAACATTCTACAAACTTGTTTTAATAAAACTTATTTTCTTAAGTTTACAAACTTGAACCTTTTTTACAATTTAATTAATTTAAGGGTACCGATATTTTTCCGCCTCGTTCTCTTATATTTAATGCTTTCAACTTGACACCTTTTAATGAAATTAAAGTTGTTTTGCTTGGTATAATTGAGTTTTAATATTGTTAAATAATTTATTTTTACAGGCCAAGATCCTTACCACAACTTATCTCAAGCGCATGGACTTTGTTTCTCTGTCCCGCAGGGAACGCCGCCTCCTCCATCTCTCAAAAATATTTATAAAGTTAGAAAAAAATATTTTTTAATACTTTTTTAAATTTATTTAAAGGAGCTTTCCTCAGAATTCCCAGACTTTAAAATTCCAATTCATGGAGAATTAACTTGCTGGGCCAAACAAGGAATTTTTATGCTTAATGCTACTTTAACTGTTGAAGCACACAAACCAAATTCACATTCCAACATTGGCTGGCAAATATTTACCGATTCAGTTATTAAATTAATTAGTTCAAAATCAAATAATGGAGTGGTGTTTTTACTTTGGGGTGGGTTTGCGCATCGCAAAGAAAAGTTGGTTGATAAAAGTCGTCATCGAGTTATTAAGGTAGCTTTAAATGTTTGTTTTTAAGTTTGCAAAACTAGTAGATTTTTATTAAACTTGTTTTACAAATTGTAAAAAGTTTGTAAACTTTAAAGGTTTGAAATATCTGTTAAAACATGTTCTAAAAACATTAAAACTTATTTTTACAAATTGAAAATGTTTCCCAACTTGTTTTACAATTTGTAAAACAAGTTTAAAAAAATAAAGTTTATAGAACAAGTTTTAATCTTTTTACAAACTTGGAATATTAAAACTTGTTTTTACAAACATTTTTATTTGGGATGTTTATTCTATTTTTAAAAACATGTTTTCCCGAACTTGTTCAAACATGTTTTTCTTTATATTCTTCGCCTTCTAAACATTTTTATTTAAAGACTGCGCATCCTTCTCCTTTAAGCGTTACAAAATTTTTTGGTTCAAAATGTTTTTCAAAAACTAATGATTTATTAAAAGAATTAGGAAGAGAACCTATTAATTGGAATGTTGTTTTGCCTTGAACAATTCAAAAATATTAGTAAATTTTTTTAATTTTATTTTTTCTTCAATTTCATCAAATTACCTTTCTGCCTCAAAACTTACACACATTTTCTTTATTAAAAATTTTAAACGAAATCTCATTAAACTATAAAACATATTCTCTTTGTTTTGTTGGGTAAAACCTCGAAACAAACAAAAAAAACTTTGTTGCTTTTTTTAAACTAAAACATGTTTTACAAACTTTGTTTTATTAAAACATTGTTTTATTAAAACTTGATTTTACAATTTGTAAATTTTCTATTAAAACATGTTTTACAAACTTCTTATTTTATAAACTTTTTAAAAACTTGTTTATTTCCTAAAACATATTTTACAAATACAAACATTATTAAAACAAACAAGAAAAGTTTGAATTGTAAAAAATGTTTTACTTCAAAAGCAACAAAGTTTTGACTTGTTTTTCAAGTTTTGTTTCAAGTTTTGTCTTGTTTAAAACTTTAAAAACATGTTTTTAAGATTGCAAAGGTTCTTCCCTTAACAAATAATTATTGGCATATTTTTCGTATCTTTTTATAAAAATATTTTAAATTATTTTTTTTCATTATTTTCATTCCTCGAATCTCTCTCAACTTCTTTTTTCAAATTTTTCAATGTGCAGTTGTTGCTCTGTGTCCTCCCCCAACTTCATAATCGGCTGGTGGTGTGTCTGGTCTGGCTTTTCCATTTACTATTAATTCTGTTCTGCTAGTGCTAGGTCCTGGTTGTTGTTGTTGTTGTGCTATTCTTGTTTTAGTTAACGTTCCATTATCCCCGTCACCGTTCTTTTTATTCCCGCCAGCGGGACTTTGTCCTCTTTCTGCCTTTGGTGTTATATTACCTGCGTTATTGCGTGTTTTTCTAAATGTGTTCGCCTCAACACCGCTTTCCCAATAATCAGCACTGGCATCGGAATCTGTACGGCTCATAACATTCTAAAAAGAATTTTTGTTTTACAAACTTGAGATTTTCTTAAGGGTTTTTAAACTTTATTAGTTAAAACATGTTTTACAAACTATGTTTTTGTTTTTTAAAACATGTTTTATTGGAAGTTTATAGCGTTGTTTTTAACATGCTTTTGCAAACTTTGTTTTATTAAAACATTTTTGTTTCCTTAAAACTTGTTTTAATAAAACTTGTTTTCCCTTAAAACTTGTTTCATAAAACTTGTTTTCCTTAAAACTTGTTTTAACAAAACTTGTTTCTTAAAACTTGTTTTACAATCTTAGTTATTTTACAAACTTTATTTTGTAAATATCTTTTGTTTACCTTTCTCTCTGTTGTTCTTTGCTGTCTATATGTTTCATAATAATGTTCATAAAGTTCGGGTGAAAAAGATCCTGGCTTATAACTAGCTTGAGGGGGAACTATATTATCCGTAGATGGCATATACTAAATTTTTTTATTTTTAAATTTTTTAAAAAATATTCCAACTATAGGCTCTTCATAAGTTGTTCGATTATTGCGAGGAAATGTATCATAAGCTGTTTCAGTGATTATAGGGCCACCACCCAATCTTTCAGGGGATTTGGGACGTGTATGATGATGTCCTCCTCCTCCCATAAAATGGGGTGGCATAACCATAAAGAATGGGCGCATCATAAAAGGTGGTGGAGCGGCAATACGTCCTTAAAGAAAATTCTTTTTAATTTTTCTGAAAAAATATTAAAAATAACCAAAATGTGGTGGTGGAGGAAACGGCGGAAATGGTGGCCTAGGAGGAAAGAAATGTGGAGGAGAGTGGTGATGCATTGGTGGTGGTTGGCGAAAGAAATGTCCAGGCGGTTGGGGTGCTAATCCTGGCGGTATAAATACAAGGCCTGGATGAGGAGGAGGTGGTGGTGGGGAAGACATTGGGCCTCCAAACATGAAAGGATTTGGCATAGGAGGACGATGTCCAAATTGTTCAAAATGTTCTGCTGGTGATAGTTGTCCAACAGGCGGGCGTAATTCTGTAAAAGTTAAACTTATTTTGTAATCTTAAAACTCTTTTTAACCAGTCCTTTTTTTATAAAACTTGTTTTACAAACTTAATTTTCCTCAAACTTAAATACTTCCTAAAACTTGTTTTTAAACTTTAAACTGCAACTTGTTTTACAAACTTGTTTTACTTATTTTCTAAACTTTTTTGTAAAACTTGTTTCGCAAACTTATCTCTTAAAACTTGTTTTACAGACTTTACAAAAACTAAGTTTACAAACCTAGTTTTATTTTCCCTAAACTTGTTTTACAAACAATGTTTTTCTGATTTAAAAACAGTGTTTCTACAAATAACCTTTATTATTGTTTTTACAACTTTTTTGTAAAACAAGTTTTACAAACTTTGTTTTCTCTAACTACCTGTATGACTTGTTGTTCGTCTAGCATTATTAAAGTTGTTATTAGCAACACCGTTCCCATTTTCTCTGTAAGGTACTAAAATACCCCCTTCATGTTGTTGTTGTCTCTCTCTACTATAAACACCTCCACCTACACCTCCCTTTTTAATTAAACTTGAATTTAAACTGCTTCCATCATATTCCCCAGATTGTTGTCTTCGCTTCCAAGTTTTTTGACTTATCGCCCTATCATTCCATTCTTGTGTTCCTTCAACTATTACTGACGGCCCTGGTGGTGGGGGGATTCCACTACCATTTTCTTGTTCGCTAAAGTTTGGTTCACTGCTAGGAGTGCCACTTCTGCTTTGTATTTGTTGTTGAGGTGGTGGTTCTCTTATACTTTTTAAACCTCCCGGTGAAGGCATTTTTTCATCCAATTTTAAATACATCTTTAAAAATTTTTTTCAAATTAATTTTATTTTTCAAGTCTTTACTGTATCTGCGTAAGCATGAAAACAACAACGAACGAGGGCATTTGCCGCCTTTTCGTTTGTGCAAACAAATCCATGGCATTCCAAAACCTTTAAATTATTTTAGTGATTTTTGTGTTGACGAAATGATCAATTTTGTCATTTGTGGCGAAATGTCCCGATTTTCCCTTAGTGACGAAATGGCCTAATTTTCTCTTGGTGATGAAATGTCCCAATTTTCCCTTGGTGGTGAAATGTCCCGATTTTCCCTTGGTGACGGAATGGCAAATTTTTCCCTTAGTGGCGAAATGTCCCGATTTTCCCTTAGGGGCGAAATGTCAAATTTTTCCTTAGTGACGAAATGACCAGATTTCCCCCCTAGTGACGAAATGGTCAACTTTTGCGTTTTTTGGACACAAAACAATTCGGTCAAATAAAAATTTTCTGCAAAAAAGTAATTAAACCGACCTTGACCCCCGTAGTGCGTCGAAAGATAGCAGCAAATATTGGGGGATGTGGAGAATCAGTTAGCGCAAATGGCGAGTCCAACGGGATAAATCTTTCACCACCACCTTCTACAGCAAATCCCCCCATATTAACATAACGAACAGCAGCACAATAATGTAACGAATTTATTGCAAAGAATGCACTGTCTGTTCTCTTCTCTCCATCCACATATTCTAATAAGAGTCCATTATACCAAACGGAAAGCCTGGAGGGGAAAATTGGGAGATTTTTTGAGTGATTATTTTTGGTGCTATTAGAGTATGGCGTTTATTTGTTAGGGGGTATTAGAGTGGAGGGGACATTTGAGTCTGAGACCCCTTCTACATTCCCCGCTTAATTATCACTCGATGGGACATTAGAGTCTGATTTCTAATAAATTTGTCCTTTGTGGCGAAACGCGTAAAATTATCCCTGAGTGACTAAATGTCAAAAATTTCACTTAGTGGTGAAATGACCGAAAGTTGACAAAATTGTTTGTGGGTCTAAAAGAGTCTAACTGGTTGTTATCTAGGGTTATTACAGTCTCATTTTGAAATTGGGGAGCATTCGAGTCTGAATTCTAGAGTGAGGTGTCATTAGAGTTAGAGTATTAACGCGAAGGGTCTTTAGAGTCTGGTAGTGTCAATTTTCTGTTATTTTGAGTCCGGATCTGAGGCATATCCCTCCGATTTTATGTTTCTTAACATTATTTACCAAGAATCAATTCCTCTAGCTTCTGGACTCTCACTGGCTGGATATCGTTCTCGCAAAGGTTGTTGAATGCCCTGAGGGGAAATTTATTTATTTTGTGTTAAAATTCCTTCCCTACTTGAAGTCCATCTTTTGTAACAGTAGGGACAGCACTTCCAATATATAAAACCCTACAGCGACACAAAGGAGTTGGAGGGCTACCACCACCACCAGAAGCAGCGGAAGTGCCTCCTAATGTGCCCATTTAAATATTTAATTTTTTAAGAAAAAGTAAGGGGAAAATACTGTAGAAATGACTACTGTAGCAAACTAAAAATTATTTAAAAATTTAGGGAAAAATATACAGAGGTACCCTAAGGGTGTCAAGCTTAGGAAGCCAAATGCTTCTCGATTAATTTCTCCCCCTCAGGCAAGAGGTTGAAAAATTGATTAATTTTACCAAGGTTGATTGTCCAAGAAAATTACGGTATTTATTTTTGGCGTTTATTTTAAAAAAAATTTTTGCGCACATCGATCATCAAAAAGAGAAGTCAGTTCAGATATGGACTAGTGACCGGACGGTACTTTTCGGTTCTGCCACACCCCTCCCATATATTCGCAGATTATATTTTATATTTTTCCTTCATTGTAAATTTCTCCTTCATTCAATTGGTATCACGACTTTTGCGCCGAGAACATTTGCGCCGCGACTTATGCGCCGCGACTTTTGCGCCGGGCGACTTTTGCGCCGCGACTCTTGCGCCGCGACTTTTGCGCCGGGCGACTTATGCGCCGCGACATTTGCGCCGCCATTGTTTAAAAAATCCGGATCCGAAAAATGCCGGATATCCGAAATTTTCAGTTCGGATATCGGATCCGGATATCCGAAGATTTCCAACTATCCGACAACCCTACTAAAGTGAGGCCCGGCTGTAGTTATTGATATATTTTTAATGATAGTGGCGGCGCAAAAGTCGCCCGGCGCAAAAGTCGCGGCGCAAAAGTCCCCCGGCGCAAAAGTCGCTCGGCGCATAAGTCGCGGCGCAAAAGTCGCGGCGCAAATGTTCTCGGCGCAAAAGTCACGGAACCCATTCAATTCACCCAATTTTCCCTGTGGCATGTTCAATGAGTGCCATTAATAAAGAAAAGATGATTTTTTACTCAGTTTTCCCTTCAATCAATTTTTCGTAGAAAAGAGGAAGTCTGACCATTCTGTACGTATGAAGGAAAAATATAAAGTATAACCTGCGAATATATGGGAGGGTGTGGCAGAACCGAAAAGTACCGACCGGACTAACGGGATCGTAAGGGTATCGAAATACGATAGTCCCGAAAAATCCCGACCTCGATAACCTAGATTCTTATTCGAGATCTCGACTTGGTATGAAATTTAGTGTGCGCAAATTTCTGGCGTTTTTGGCGTTTACTATTTTAGGCTGGCATTTTGTCCATTTTTGAGCCGTTTTGACTGATAAAAATTTTCAAGAGATATTTAACTAATATGTAAATGATATACAAGTTTAATGAGAGAATTAATGGGTCAAGTACTAATAATGATGGAATTTGGGGGAGGGGAGGGAGAGAAAAATATTTTTCTAGGGGAGAAGAAGATCGCGCAGGAATTTAAAGGCGAGAATCGATTAATCTGTTTGATGATGAATTGGTTGTGACTGACAAAAGGGGGAGAGGTGATGAGTAGGTAGACCAAATATGGAGTGAAGACGCGCCCCTTAAAAAGAAAAAAGTTGTGTGGCTGGCCAAGTTTTTATTTTAAAAATAATGAAAAGAAAATTGCGGGAAAAGGAGGGGAGGAGTGTTCAAAACAAACACAAAAGGGTTAAATATTTTTCTAACAATTTGAGTGAATTTTGGGTGTTTTGGTTATGTGCGTGTTGGCATTTTGTACATTTTGTGGATTATGGACGTTTTGAATAATTTCTGTTCTATGGGCGTTTTGTCTGATTTCTGGGTTGTGGGTGTTTTGTCTTATTTTTGGGGTGTGGGCGTTTTGTTTTATTTTGGGTTGTGGGCGTTTTGTCCGATTTTTAGGTCGTGGGCGTTTTGTCCGATTTTTGGTTTATGGGCGTTTTGTCTGAATTTTCAATTGTGGGTGTTTTGTCAAGAATTTTCGTTTGTTGAATTCTGAAATGTTTCTGGTAGACGTCTTGAGGATCAGAACAATCGAACCCCACTATAAGAGACACCCTTGGGATCGTGCCTTATAACGAGGTATACGATCTCAAGGATGCCTCTCCCATCCAACGGCCAACGAAATTAAATAAGTCTCAAAACATTCCCAACAATTAAAATAAACTAAAAATACAAACAAGGAAAAAGATCAAAAATAAAAATTCCCTTCTTTCTTCTTCAATTGCTCTTTTCGCCACAGGAATTCGACACAATTGACACATATTTTGTCTTTTACTTCTCACACGTTTGTTCATCACTTCCTTTTTTTGCTCCAAAAATTCTACGAAAAATATGCCTTCTTTTTGGGTTTCTTTGAAAAGAGAGAAATCCTCCTTCCCCCCGACAATCTCGCGCTGCGCAGACACACACAGAGAGAAAATGATTTTTTGGTGTGCGCAAAATTTTTTGGCGTTTTATTTTTTCTTGGCATTTTGGACATTTTTCGAGGGTTTTTGAACAGAAAATTTTAGAAATATTTTAGAGAGGCTTATGAACGGAAAAAAACTAGCTGAGACATTTGATCCCACAATTTTGGCGTTTTTGGCGTTATTGCTTTTGCCTGTTTTTTGGTTGGCATTTTGAGCCATTTTTGAGGATTTTCTTAACGAAAAATTTTAGAATTATTCTAGGGAGTTCTCTGAGCAAGAAAAAAATACTAAGAGACATTTGATCCCATTTTTTGCGATTTTGGCGTTTTGCAAAGATTTTATTGCGCACACCCAACCTATAAAGTCTTCAATTCCCCATAAAATATGTGCACAGAAAATAATCGCTGGAATGCAAAACGGATAGAAAAAGAAAAATGCCAAAAGGAAACGATTAACGAGATTAAATCAGTGTCAAGATTAGTAAAAAGAAGAAAAATTTGAGAAAATAACAAGAAAATATATAAATATTTTTGGAGATTTTTAGTTTTCTTATGGGGTAAATTAAACCGCAGTAAAATTGGGAATAAGTTTTTTAAAGGGATTTAAATAGGAAAGAATACATTACATTGGCATTTGCAGTTATCCAAAAATTGCGAAGCTTTATTTTACTTTTGATAGTAAAAAAAAAACATTCATATGTGATAGTTGGAAAAAAAACAAAGTTTGATACAGCACATTTTAAGGCTTAAAAATAAATAATTTCATTTCTTTCTTCTTTTGGCAATATTTTTTAAATGTGATACAGTTGGGACCTCACTAATACACTCTTGTGACTAAAAAAGATCGTAATAAGGGATATTTCAAAGGTATCTGATCATTTACACGCCCACCAAATAGAGGTGTATTTAAGATTAAAATTGAGAGGCGTATTAAAGCGACGTGTGTCTAGTATTGGGAGTATATTATAATGAGGTTCAACTGTATATGGGGTTAATAAAATAAAGGACTTGCTGATAATAAGGAAAAAATGAGGGAAAATTAAAAAAAAATTTTGCGGATCAAATTTGCGGACAAAATTTTTTTGCGGATCAAATTTGCGGACAAATTTTTGTCCGCAAAAATTTTTGCGGACAAATTTTTTTTCTCAAATTTAGTAAAAATTCTTTTCCTCTTCTAATCTTCAAGTTTCAAATTAAATTCATTAAAACATTCTTGTGCCAATCTCTTCATTTCATTTTTATGTTTATTCAAATTTGAAATAATATTTATTTGTTGCTTTAAATGTTTTTCTTTTTGGTGTGCCTCAACGGCTAAACGTTCATGTGTTGAAGAGAATAAACAATATTTACATTTATATATTGGCTTTTTTAAATGTTTTTCCAATAAATGAATTAAACGACGCTTTTTACTGAAAAAATAAAAAAAATATTTTTTGCAGAAAAAAATTTTTGCGGACATAACTTGCGGACAAAAAATTTTTTGCGGACAAAAAAATATTTCAGCGGAATCAATTTTTGTCCGCAAAACACCCCCACATATTTCCAAATTGGACCAAATGTTTCATTGACAAAACGTCCCAAATGTCAATGAACAGTGTCACATGGACAAAATGTCACCCTAACAAAAAATTTTACCTTATAGTCATTCCACAGCCTCTACACTTTGCCCTTCTGCTTTCATCAGCAATAGTAATATTAGATAAACGTTTAGGCCTTCCAGGAAAACATTGATTGTGTAATTCTGAAAATTCACTTCGACGTTTTTCAACGTTGGCGATTGGTTCTAGTCCCTTAAAAATTGAAAAAAAAATTTGGAAAATTTTTTTTAAATTAAAAAACCTCGCATTCCGTTAACGTATGATTATTTCGCATATGTCTCTGAACTAGTCTAGCTTCAGCAGCGCCATACTCACAAAGTGGGCATTGATGTAGAGGTATATGTAAATGTTGTTCAGCAATGTGTCTTTAAATTTTAAAAATTAAAAAAATTTTTTTAAGTGAAATTAAGGGGTTACAACATTAAAAATAAAATTTAAAAAATTTTTTTCTACTAAAAAAATTTTTTAAGAAATGTTTTTGGAAGTGAATGAGAGAAAAAAAAGGCAATTCTGTAAAGCTGGATTCGAACCGCCACCCCATACGGGAAGGAATCAAGACGACTACCAACTAGACCACAAGGGTGAGGGGGAAAACGAGTATTAGCAAGACACAGACAGACAAAACACGGTCCAGATTTATTTTAAAAATCAAAAAAAATTTTAAGTTTGGAAATGTGCAAATTTTTTTTCTGCGGACGGTGTCTGTTGGCCTGGCACGACCAGTTTCTCCCCTTAATTAAAAATTAAATAAACCTAGAAGTTTGTCTAACATCCATTCCACAAAGACGGCAACTATTAAAATCCTCAATTAAACTAGCAGGAAGTCGGCGATTTATCCTTTAAAATATTATTTTTTAATTTCAAAAAAATTTTTAAAAAATTTTTTTGCGGACAAAATTTTCAGTCCGCAAAAATTTCGCGGACAAAAAATTTTTTGCGGACAAAAAAATTTTTTTGCGGACAAAAATTTTTTTGCGGGCGAAAATTATGTCCGCAAAAATTTTTATTAAAAATTTTCTAAAATTAAAAAAAAAATTTTTTCACACCATCCAGGAAAGCAACGTTCATTCCATTCAGCAATTTCTTTAGAAAATTTCAGCAAATTGGCTCTAGGCATCATTTCAGATTGATTCTTGTGTGCTCTCAAAATATGATTTCGAACATCAGAGGAACACGCATAATGAGAAAAATCGCAAATTGGGCACTCATATAGACGAGGTTCTCGTAAATGGTGGCGGTAGACGTGGATCTGGATTTTAAAAAAATTTTGAAAAAAAAAATTTTTTTTAGGAGGTATTGGAAAACGGGTACACCCCAACCTACCGCCGAGCCCAACCTACCGCCGAGGCTATAACTTCGTTCAAAATGGTCGAATCTGAGAAAACTTGGTATGGTTGGATTCAGCTCGTCGAGGCATATCGAACCATACCAAGGCTTCCTGGATTTAACAATTCTGAAAGAAGTTATAGCCTCGGCGGTAGGTTGGCCTGCTCCCTTGGAAAATATGAGTCATGCGTTACAGTGGGGTGCAAAAGTAAGGTTGGCCTGCTCCCTTGGAAGGCATCAGTCTTCGGGCAACTTATAAGCTCCCAGCCACCTAGACAAACTGAAGGAGTTATTTAACTGAAGGAGGAATAGCTAGAAATAGCTATTATTTATACTCCCATACCGCATAGAGAAGAGAACATTTTTTTGGTCAGTAAAAATGTTTTTTTTTAATTTGCGGACAAACACTTGCGGATCATCAGTGTTGGAAAAAAAGACCTTTGATATTTGGGTATGGGCCACTATAAGGTTTTTGGGTCTTGAGTCTGGTTTCTGAATCGATATCAGATACCAATGAACGAGTTAAAAAATACAGGTAAGAAATCCGCAAATAGAAAGAGTCCGCAAAAGAAGGAAAAGTCCGCAAAAGAGGGAAGTGTCCGCAAAAAAAGTAAAGTCCGCAAAAAAATGGAAATGTCTGCAAATATCGTTCTGAAGCTACCCAAAATAACAGATAAAAGGAATCCCTCAAAAACTTGAAAAAAATCCCTTAGAAAAAACCTGTCTATCCTCAGTTTTCATTTCCTGCCAACACTCTTTACATCTAACTTTAGCTTCATCCAAAAAATTTTTATCATTTTCCAAAACCATCAAAGCCTTTTCCCCTCCGCCAGCTTTAAAATCTTTGTGAGGAAAGCATTGTTTCCAAATATTTTCAATTTCTTCAATATTTTCTTCCAAACTGCTAAGGGGTTCTAAACTTGTATCTGCATTGTGTGAACGTAGCATATGTGAACGAACTTGAAAAAAATTTTTTTTGAAATTTATCTTAAGGTGAAAAGAAGTCTACAAAAACCATCATTTCTGGACTCGACTAGGGAAACCCCTTCTATAAATTAGGGATTGGGGTCGAGTTACTCGATACCCAAAACTTCGACTTTTTTGGCCAAAACTCGACCCAAAGAAATTTTGAAAACCCGATTCGACTTCCTTCTCATGTCAACCTGGTCCATCCCTTCTATGGATATGTACAAGAAAAAATAATAAAAATGTGGGGCATACCCAAGAGTTATAGGAAGGACAAGAAAACCGACCCTTTGGTACGCCCATCCTGCGGATGAGATGGGCCCTACCGAATTTTAAAAGCGAAAAAGAGCCCATCCTTGGTATACCTGATTCAGGATATAATAGGGGTGGCAAAAAAAACGTGAAGAGACGAGAGACAAGTTAAGACTATTTTTACTTGTATCCGGATCCGTGAAATTAAATATCCGTGGGCAGAGGCTACCTAAGAATAAACTTTAAAAAAACCTTCATAAGCACTATGAGCACCATGATTTTCACAAATAGGGCATTGATAAAGTGGCAAATTCAAATGGTCTTTAGCTACGTGCCTTAACAAGTTTGTGCCTGGTCTGAGAGCTACCCAGCAAAGCTAAAAAAAGAGAAAATTTATTTAAAAAATTTTTATTTGAAAATATGAGTGCCCTCCATAAAGACCGGAAAAATTGTTTAAAAATTTGTGGTAGTCAGGACCAGGGGAATTTAGACGACAATTAAAAATGTTGTTGGTTGATCAGTCAATCTCCTTACAAAGAAAAGTGCCTGGGGTGTCCATGGGACTTCGCGGGATGAAAGTTGGTAGACAAGTAGATCATACCCCGCCAGCGGTACCTCCGAATCTCTACCTATGTGCCAAATTTCATCCCTAAGTCCAACTGACACCCATGGCACTCTCTCCTTTGTTAGCCCTCATCACCTATCAAGAAAAAAAAATTCCTACTCCTCTATTCCCCCTCCCCCCCTACCCCACTCTATAGTTTCTGCTCCCCCCCTCTTAATCATTTAATCCAAAAAAAATTTTTCACGTTACCCTACAAGTCCAATCCAAAGCATTAGAAGATTCCGGAATTAAATTGTTTCCTCCTCCTCCTTTACCTTCCTGCCCTTTTTGTTGTTGAAAAAGTTCAGCCATAGTTTTCAATGCTTTTTGCATTAATTCAAAGTCTGTCGCTTCCTCCCCTTCCCCCTCAATTTTTTCTTCATTCCCTCCCTTCTCTTCCTTAAAATCTTCACTTTCTGGAGAAGAAATGTGCCTTTTACGTTGCCAACCAGGAAAACATTTTTCATTTGTTGCGTCAATTTCATCTCGAAAACGTGCCTCGTGTGATATTGGTTCAAGAGGGGAAGAACCGTTGTTGTTAGCTACAAAATCTTTGTGATCCCATCTGGAAAGAAGAGAAAATATAGAGAAGGGAAATGGGAATGGTCTAAGGGGGTTTAGAAATTCTGATTTTGTTAAAAATAGAAAAACAAGAAAAACTAGAAAAAAACCAGAACCTTCGGAAAAAATCAGAAATTCTGATTTTTAATAAAATCAGAATTTCTGATTTTTCCAAGGTTTTGGCTTTTTTCCTACCAGAATTTATTCAGAAATTCTGATTTTTCGCAGAATTCAAGCTAAATTCTGATTTTTTTCTGAAAGTTCTGATTTTTTTCCAAAATTCTGATTTTTAATGAAATCAGAATTTCTGATTTTTTCCAAAGTTCTGATTTTTTCCACCAGAATTTATTCAGAAATTCTGATTTTTCGCAGAATTCAAGGTAAATTCTGTTTTTTCTGAAGGTTCTGATTTTGTCAGAATTTTTCTGATTTTTAAAAATTTACCAAAAAACAGTATTTAATTCCGATTTTTACAGCTCATATTTAAAGATTTTAAGTTCTTCCAAAATTTCTGACTTTTTTTCTTAATTTCTGTAGGTTCTGATTTTTTCCAGAATTTATTTAAAAATTCTGGTTTTTCAAAATTAAACCAGAACCCTGAATTTTCAGAAAAACTATTTAATTAAATTATCCTCCTTACTTTATATGCCATTTGACTCTATGTATGTCATAATTTGAAGAGAACTCGCATAGTGGGCATTCAAAAATCTTTGAAAAAAAAATTTTTTTATTTAAAATTCTGATTTTTTAGAGAAATTTCAAAACCTTCCCCTTCCTCAAATGTTTGTGATAAACATGTCTTTGCCTATCGGATTGAGCTACATCGGCCCCACACATTCCACAATGATGCCGTTCACGCGGCCTGCTTTTTCCTACAGCGTTTAGAGGGCGAACTAGCTTCATTTGTCTGTTGGGAAAACACCGAGCCTTTAAAGAAAAAAATTTTTTAGAGAAATTTTGGAATTAAAGAACCTGTAAATCACGAATCTGATCAGCATATTTTTCCAAATTACTTATTGGTGTGAAATCCGAAGCTTCTGGGTGTACTTTTTTAATGTGCTAGAAAAAGATATTTTAAAATTTGGGGGAGAATAAGAGGGGGAAGGAGGGGGAAGAATAAAGGAAGTGGATTCAGGACCTGTGAAAGTCAAAACTAACAATAAGTTAAATAAATGGGACCGGCCTATTTAAGAATAGATGTGGAGCGAATGAAGGCAAAGGAAAGAGGCTCTCAGCCCTTATGAAAATCGACGATCCCTTGATCGCGCATTAGGCTGATCGAACACACAAATTAAATCAACTGATTAAGTTGTTTCCCTACTTTCCTTTAGATTTTATAGTCAACCTTATGGGTGGGAGCTCACTTAGTAACCTTTCAGACATCCATATTTCATAGGTTTTCCCGATTATAGCCTACTTTTAGAGATATTAAACCCCTAATTACGCGTTTGGCCCTATTTTCCCTCCCAAACCAAGGATGTCACGGATTGAAAAAAAAGCAGAATCGGACTTCGGAACGGAAAAAAGTCCGGGTAACTCGTGGCATAACGTCTAAACAGTAGAAAACTAAAACCTTTACAACAGTGCAACTTTCATAACTTCCAAATTTAAAACAAACAGGGCATTCATAGAGAGGTTGATTTAAATGGCGTTGAGCAATATGTCTTCCAGGGTATTTTGATTCCTCCCTAATAAATTTCATTTTTAAAAATCCAAAAAAATTCAAAACAAACATGCAAAGATGACACAAACGATCATTTACATCATTATTGCTTCCTTCTCCATCCCCTCCCCCAGCACTTGTTGTTGTTGTGGATGCTCTCCCTCCATCATCTTCTTCTTCCTTGTCTTCCTCAGGCTCTTCCAATTTTTCCTCTTTTTTCATTTTTCGTTTTTGAAAGGCAGGTCCTTCAACCTCTTCTTTTCTGTCCTCCTCCTTTACTTCATTCAATTCATCTGTTTGATATTTTCGTTTTTGAGGCTTTTGTTTCCATTCAGGAAAGCAAAGATGACCCCACATCTGAACAGAAATTAATTTTTGAAAAATAAATGGAGATGTGCCCGGACGCAAGGGCGTATCCAGGGGGTCGGTTTCGGGGGGGGGGGGGGGGGGGGCTAACACTGGGTGGGCGCAAAAATTTTTGGCGTTTACCTTGGCGTTCTGGGCGCAAATTTTTTTGCACATAAATTTTCATCACTTCAGCGCCGCAGGCAAAAATTTTTTAAATTTCAGAGGCCGTAGGCCAAAAAAATTCACTTTTTTTGCCCCAGCCCTTCCCCAAATTTTTTCCTTTTCCCCATTTCGGGGAGGAGGGGGGGGGGCTCTAGCCCCCCCCAGCCCCCCCCCTGGATACGCCCTTGCCCGGACGTGTTAGAGGAAGATGTGTCAGTGGGCTATCGATAAGTGATTCAGGAGTCTATTGATCCCTCAAATTAGCCTATTCCCTTCAAATCCACTTTTATCCACAAAAGTCCACTTAAATCCTCGATATCCCCAAATCCCTCATATCTTTCTTAATCCTAGGAAATTCCCCGATATCCTTCTTAACCCCCCCCCCAATTAACACCCTTAACTCTTCGAAATCCTTTCAAATCTCTGTTAACCCCCCAAAATCCCTTCTTATTTACCACTAATCTCTTTATATCTCGGTCCACAGAACTATTATCCACTGACACCTTGCCCAGAAGTCAGAAAAACGGACTCTCAAGCCCAAAAACTCCCCTCCATCCCACTTCTAATCTAAAATCTGAACTAATAAATTAACCTGTATTTCCAGTTTGTGTTTCTCTTCCTGGCTGATAGGCCTTATATCGGAGGCTAAAAATAAAAATTAAATAAAAAAAATTTAAATATTAAAAAAAATACAATGCTGCATCCGTGTGTGTTTCTGAACTTCCCATAATGAATTTGAATTTGTATATTCACATAATCTGCATTTAAATAGGTCCTAGAAATAGGAAGATTAAAAACTTTTTTAATTGAAATTTTTTGATTATAGGCTTGATTAAGGCTAGAAAAAATTCTAGAAAATTTCTAAAAATGGTCGAAGATGAATTGAATGTCAAAAAACAAATTTACAGAGTTGTGTAAAGAAAAAGGAGGCAAGCGGACACGAACCGTCCACCCCTCCCCCACGCCAGACGGAAGCGTTACCCACTTGACCACAACATCCCTTATTGCTTACAGGCATAGTTAAGGGTCGAAAAAAATTCAAGAATAGAAAATTTCTAAAAACCAAGTAAAAATGACATGTGTCGTGTCAAAAAACCCCAGAAAAGATGAAAGCAAGAAGAATCGAACCCACCAGGCCCGTAGCCAGGGGGGGGGTGGGGGGGGGGGGGAATTCCCCCCCCCCCCCCCGAAATGGGAAAATGGAAAAAATTTGGGGAAGGGCTGGGGCAAAAAAAGTGAATTTTTTTGGCCTACGGCCTTCTAAAATTCTCAAAATTTTCGCCTGCGGCGCTGAAAATAAAAATTTTTGGCGCCTTCGGCGCCAAAAATTTGGCGCAAAAAAATTCCCCCCCCCCCCCCCCCGAAAAAAAATCCTGGCTACGGGCCTGGAACCCACCACCCACCCTACACCCAGGCGGAACTGCTACACCCACTTAACTACGCAACCAAAAGTCAAAATAAAATTCTAAACAACCTTCTTCTTCAAATGCACCATATATACATGCCGTTGACGTGCTGTAGAACAAATATCCAAATCGCATACCTAAAAATTAGAAAAAAATTCTTTTCTTATTAAATTCAATTTACTTGACAATGCGCTTTTCTTATAGCTTTAGAATCTACAACTGCAGCACGTGAAGGTGTTGAAGTGCCACTTCCTTGGGCTGAATCTAACGTTGAAGAGAGTAACAAGGATTTCAGGGGAGCGAAGAAATCAAGCTGAAAAATAGAAAGAAATTACGGATATTGGCATTTTGAGTCAGCGACCAAATGGTAGGTGACCAAATGTCAACGACCAAATAGTAGGTGGCCAAATGTCACTGACCATTTTGTCACTGACCATTTTGGTCATTTAAATTTTAAAAACAGGACCTCGAAGTCATTGGATGTGACAGAATGGTCAATGACCAAATGCCACCAAAATGGTCAGTTATATTCGATCGTTGACATTTGGTCACCGACCATTGGATAATGACCAAATTGCCACTGACCATTTTGGTCATTTTAATTTTTATATGGAATCCTATGACAGAGGAAAGCCATCGTCTTATCACGAAGGGGATGAGAAAATTTTTTTACCTCGTCAGTTGCCTGCTGCTGTTGTTCCTCTTCTCCACTAGCTACAAAAATATTACTAGAAGTGGTTGGCTGTTCTTCTTCTTGTAATTTCCCTTCCTCTACCTCTTCAGTCACCTCCTCATTCACCTCTTCTTTCATTTCTTCCTCCCCTCTTTCCTCCCCACAAAATTGTTTCCCTCCACCATCATTATTTTCAGCAACGGATTCCAAGAAGCCTTTGAGTAGCATTAACGCGTCACCCTGTTGGTCTTTGGTTTTGGTGTTTTCGACAGTGAATAATTCAGTGTTTTGCTGGAAAAAATTTTTGCCGTAATTAAAAAAAACTTGGAAAATTTTTTAAAAATTTTAAAATCATAAAAATGCCCATCACCCAAAAGATCACCTCCCCACAGAATATCAAAAACAAAAAAATCACTGCCCACCCAAAAGATCACCACCAGAAAAAGAAGCATCGTAGTGGTGATCTCTTGGAAATCCCTTTATTTATCTTTGCCTACCCAAAAGATCACCACTAGAAAAAGCAGCAATTTAGCGGTGATCTTTTGGTCTTAACACAAAATTAATTTAAACTTCACCTTATTCGTTTGAATATTTGTGCCATTTGAAGTGGACTGCGTTGAATAATCCACGCTTGCCTGTTCAAATAAATTTTCAAAAATTTTAAAAATTTCCAAAAAAAAATTTTTTTAACTCACCAAAAGCCATAAATGTATTTTGTCATCAACTTTGGGCGTTAAAAAAGTTTGGGCGACGATTTTTGAGTGATTCTATAAAAGTGGGATATTTTGTCATTTATTTAAAAATTAAAAAATTGCCTCAATCAAGTGTTCTCGTAATTGTTTTCCGTTTTCAAAGTGAGTAGCTTCAAGTCCCTGACTGGGACAAATTTGACAAGTTTTCATTTTTTAAAAAAAATCTGAAAAATAAGGGGAATAAAGATATAGACATATCGGGATATTTCAACGTCCGAACAGTTAACCGACTGATTTCGGGACCTACGGCCACTGGGTCTTGGGCTAGTAAATTGCCCTTTTGAAGGAAAAGAGTGTTCATAGTTTTGGAACTGCCAAACGCTCAAGAGGTTATTTCTCCTATAGAAACCCCCCTGATTGTCCCACACAGTAAAAACAAGGTAAAATACCAACCAGAAACCTTGTCGTTGTTGAAGAAAAAAAAATTTTTCTTCTAGAAAAGATGGAGGAGAGTGGCAAGCAGCAATATATAAATGTCTATGTAGTGGTAGAAGTAGAAAATGGTTGGTTGGTTGGAGGTGGAGGACTACTACTTGCTAGCTGTTGTGTGTTGGAGAAGAAAGGCAGCACAGAAAGGCTGTTGCTGTTGAGCGTTTATATGTTGGTTGGCTGCTGTCGTTGTTGATGATGAAGGCAAAAATGGGAGAAGGAAAGCACAAGGCAAATGAAAGGAAGAAGGCTATATTTTTAGCAGCAGCTGGGAGAGAGGAAAGAGTTCTTCACGTTTGGTGTGGTGGTGGCTGTCGAGCAAGGCCGACAATGTCGTCGTCGCTCGATGGATGGAGGCGCTGATGACAACGGGCAAAAAGAAGGAAGAAAGGAAGGGGGAAAAGGAAAAAGAAAGAACTGCTCGTCGTCTACTGACACACATGAGTTTGTTGGTGGTGGTCCTCATGATGGAGAGGGCTCCCACATATTTTACCAATAACACATTTTGCCAATAAGACTAAAAATGCATGTTTTGCCAATAAGACTGTTGGCAAAATGAGGAATTTTAGCCGTATTGGCAAAATGTGGTATTGGCGAAATGTGTGGACATAGATGGAAAGGGTAGAGAAAGAAAGTAGCTCTGTGGCAGGCAAAAAGAAGAAGAAGAAAGTGATGAGGGGATATCAACAACAGCAGCAGCAAGCAAACTACATTATTGCCTTGATGGCCAAAGTGAAGAGAAAGGAAAGCAATCGAAGCCTAAAGGCTTTGTTGGTGTTAGGAGGTGAATAAAGCTGTGGAGAAATGATCATCAACAAATGCTTAAATGAATTTATTTGGGGAAGATTTGAAGGGCAAGAAAGGGTGTTTTCAGAAAAGAGGGAGAAGAAGAAAAGATGGGCTTAAAGGTTGAGACTTTGATTTTCAAATCAAAAGAATCCGCTTCATTAAGGATTCAGAGATTCGTGTCACATATTCTGTCAAAACCATATTTTGCCAATAAGGCTAAAAACTTACATTTTGTCAAAAGGTTGTGTTGGCAAAATGTAAATTTTTAGCCTTATTGGCAAAATATGGATTTGGCAGAATAGAGTAAAGAGTAAAGATGAGAACTTTAAAGTTGAAAAGAGAAGGAGAGCAGAGAAAAATAAATTTTGAAATAACGCAGAATTAACATGGAGAATGTCAAAGTGTTAAAAAGAGAAGAAAATGTAAAAATGTCAAGAAGGGAATAATTTGACAAATCGACACAAGTCTTTCCGTTAATTTTCCTAATTTTTATCCGTGTCGTGCTGGTTTTGGTCATTCCGTGAATTATCCGTTCTAATTTTGCTCGACGTCAGTTCACGAACCGACAACTCATGGAACGGACAAGTCACAGAACGGACAATTCACTGAACGGCAATCCACGGAACGGACAATTCACGGAACGGACAATTCACGGAACGGACAATTCACGGAACGGACAATTCACTGAATCACCAAAACCGTGATTTGGAATTCCTCGAGTTAGCCCCCACCTATTTTTATCTTGACGATTTTAATCATTTTTTCTTTAGCCTGTATGTAATTTTGAATAAAATGACTTCATTAACTTCTACAAAATCATCAAAGTCTACAAATCTAAAATTTGACGAAACAACTGATTTTAAATATTTATTTTCACAATCTAACGATGTTCAACCTTTCCTTCGTGCTAGTCTTTTTGATAATGTGCCTCCAACGATACTCTTTTATGTTAAGGGAACTAAAGGTTTTTTTCTTTTGTTTTTTTATTTTTTGCGGATAAACATAAAACTTGCGGACAAATTTTTGAGGGAGGTTGAAGAAGTATAGATATCCGCAAAAATCTGTCCGCAAGTTTCTTGTTTGTCCGCAAAATTGAAAACGCATTAAAAGTCTATCCGCAAGCTTTTTTTTCTGTCCGCAAATATGAAAACGTCATAAAAAGTTGTCCGCAAGTTTTTTTGTCTGTTGCAAAAATTTGAAAGGGGTTGAAAATCCTGTCCGCAAATTTCCTGTCCGTCCGCAATAGTTGAAAACATTTTAAACCCTATCCGCAAATTTGCTTTGTCTGTCCGCAAGTCTCTTGACTTTCGCAAAAGCAAGAAAACGGCTCAAAAAATTCGTCCGCAAGTTTTCTGGATATCCGCAAAATTTAAAAAAATGTTGAAAATCCTGTCCGCAAATTTCCCCTGTCCGCAAAAATAAAATAAGTTAATTTTAAGTCAAAAAACCTCATAATTATACTCAACAACTTACCTGGTGCAACAATTCATTATTAGCTTTGGTTGTACGTCACAGGTTTTTTTCTTCAATTTTTCTATTTAGTTTCTATTATTTTCTAGTTTACTCGCAAGCCATTTCAAATTAGTCGAAGAGGATCAATTTTGGTTTGGATATTGGGGAAGACATTTAAAATCAGCCCAGTATCAAACTTTAAAGCCTTGTCAAAAAGTTTGTGGTTTTTTAGAGATCGAGATTTTTAAAAAGCCTGGGCCTGTTAATGGAGTGGGGTTTGATTTATTGACCTGGGCCGGATCATTGGCCTATATTCCAGGAGAGACCCAGGAAGGTAAAAAATGCTTGGGCCTGGACTTTGGGTACAGGAAAAACCCTTTGGTCCAGACTTTAGTTTTTTCTTGGAACAATTCTTTGATTTATTTAACTGGGACTTATTATTGGGTAAAAGTCAGGGTTGTTAGCTGTTGGTTAACCGGAACTGAAAACTAGGTTAACTAGTTAATAATCGGTCCCAACGATCCTAGTTTTTGCCTTTAACTGTTCCGGAAAGTTCAAAAGTACTCTCTTTGGTAACACAAAAATCCACCCCAGATAGTCAAAACACAGAATCCAACACCCTAGAGGTCAACTGACCCAGAACGGGTTAGTTTGACAGAAGAGGTCAGTTGACCTTTGGGTTTCAACCTTCTGGGTTGATCCCTCGACAATCCTAGTTTTTATTCTTTATGTCATCTTTCCACTCATTCAACCAAAAATTTCCAGGTCAATCACTTCCCCGGCGCCTTCCATCTTGGACGTAAAGACCGACTTTGGTTACACTTATTTGACATGATGCAGCGCTTTCCAGATGACGAATTTTGCATAATGCCTTATACTTATATTTTGCCTAAAGACATTAAAAGGCTCAGGGTTTACTTGTCAATGAAGGCTGCTGTTCGACACGTTATTCTGAAACCTGTAAATTTTTCAAGTTTTTTTTAATTTTTTTGGTCTCTCGTTTTGTGCCAACTTTCTGGCGAGAAACTTATTTTAAACCTCTGGGTTATGATCCGAACTAGGGTAGCACCTCGAGCCTTCGTGGGCGGGAGTGTCGGTTTCGGGCTTTGCCGGGGTAGAGCCTTCGGGGTTCAGTTCGGGGTTTGCCAAAAAGCAGTCGGGGTTTCTGGGGACGGAGTGCTACCCTAGTCCGATCCATGGATGTCCTGAGATGAGAAAAAATCGGGTCATGCTTTTGGATCGGTTTTCCCAAATTTTCGGATTTGGTTTTGGATTTTGGCTTGAAGGGATTAGGATCTTCTGGTGTCGAGTTTCAGACTTGTTGGTAGAAATACGTTTTAGGATTAAACTGGTACCAAGGCCTGGGTTTTTCCTGTACCCAGAGTCCAGGCCCAGGCATTTGCGACCTCCCTGGGTTTTCCTGGACTACATGCTTAGGTCAATAAAGCAAACCCAAAGTCCAGGAACAGGCCCAGGCTAATCCCTGTTGGCTTCCTATTAAATTCAACCTTCCAATTTTATTTATTTTTTTAGCCAGCTTCAGCTAGAGGAACAGGAATTAACATCGTTTCACGTGTTAGTATGGTGCCTGAAAAAACTTCTTTGGTTGCCCAACAGTTTAATTTTTTTTTTGAATTTTTTATAAAATTTTAAAATTTCAGTTACATTGAAAGCCCTTTTTTAATAAATGATTCAAAATTTGATTTGAGAATTTATGTGTATGTTACAAGTTATGACCCTTTGCGTATTTATGTTTACAAGGAAGGATTAGTTCGGTTAGTTTTTTTTGGGGGGAATATTTTTTTGTGGGAAGGCTTGGAAGCATTTTTTGTAGAGGGAATGGTATTTTGATGGGTGTATCACATATGAAAAGGGATAACGAGGATTTTTTGGCTTTTTTAATCAATAGAAAAATCGGTCCTTTATTTTTCCAAAAGTCCGCAAGTTTTGTCCGCAAATCATTTTATTAATTTTATAAGTGAAGTGATTTTTTATTTTTTTTTTATTTGTTTTTTTTTATTTTTAGCTATTTGTTTATTTTGTCAAAAATGTTTTACTAACAAATCTGACCAAAAAATCATTTTTTTTTCCTCATTGATTCCTTTACCACTTTAGGGATGGATAGGGTTAACTGAAACCCTGACTTTTTTTTTACCTTATCATTTTCGATCTAAAGAAAATTTTGAAAAGTCAATTCGAACTCCGATTTGACTTTCTTTCTCACTCCGACAATCTCTGAACTTTCTCTAACCCCTCCCATCTCTGCAATTTTTTACTGATTTTTGAAATTCCTGGAAATTTTTTTAAAGTTTCGAATATTTTTTAAAAATTTTCAAGTTTTGCAAGTGTTTCTTACAACCCAGAAATTTCTTCATTTACAAATCAATTTATGCATTTAACAAATTATTCAATAAATAAATTGGCTGTTTCTTCAAGTAGTTCAACACAAACAGAGGATGGAGGGGAACAACAATTTGTAGTTCCGAAATGGAAATTGACTCAATTTTGGAAATATTTGGATAAATTGGGGCATAATTCAAACAATTTAAAAGAGGAAATACACAAAATTGCTATAAAGGCTATTATTTCTTGTGAAAGCCATATTAGAGCGCATGCAGCTCATCATTGTAAATATCCGTTTATCAGGTTTTTTTTTAATATTTTTTGTAGGGAATAGGTATTTTTAAGGAAAGTAACTATTATAGGACCCTTTTCCCACTCTCATTTTTGGATTTAAATAATGGCAGGTGGACAAGGACGTAGCCAGGGGTCGATTTCAGGAGAGCTAAAATGGGGTGTCTTCCCTTTTCCCCATTTCAGGGGGGGTATAGCCTTAGAAGGCCCCCGGCCGTTGGATTAAATCTTTTTTTGATTTGGATTCGAGGCTAAAGTAGTGTCCGGCCAGATTTCTCTGATTAATCCTGGAAAATCTGAAGATCACGGAAAAACCCTGGGTTTGGAACTCGGACCCTTAAAAAGTCCGGTCGGATCCAGTCCGCCTCGGTTACTGGTTTTCAAACAAATTTTTGGATCCCATAACAAGGACGTATATAATAGAGATCGAGCTGGGCCTGGACCAATGCTTGGGTTTTTCCTGTACCCAGAGTCCAGGCACTGACATCTTTTGACTTTCCTGGGTTTTTCATGAAGTACAGGCCTAGGATCAATAAATCAAACCACAGAGTCCAGGAACAGGTCCAGGCTTTTCAAAAATCTCGATCTCTAGTATTCAGGGCTTGTTCACTTAAGCAACTTAATTGTTTTTTTTGGCACGTAAAAATTTTGTTTTTAGTTATGAGCTTTATGGAATGGATATTCTCGGTTATTTTTTATAATATTTTTTTATTTTCTTTTTAAAATTTAGTTGATAGCAATTTACGCCCTTGGCTAATTGAGATGAATATAAGCCCTTCTCTTCATTCTTCAACACCTTTGGATATTGCAGTAAAAGCCCCACTAGCAAAAGACACGCTTATTTTGGCTGGAATTCCGTTTCCAGTAAGGTTGTAACTTTTATATTTTTATTCTTAAATTTGTGTCAACTCACTTGGGAAATTTTAGAAAATTTTCTTGAAATTTTTAAATGTGGTTGTGACCATTTGGGTCAATTTTTGAAAATTTTTTTGGAAAATTATTTTTTTGTTTGGGTTGGCCACGTTTGGACCAATTTTAGAAATTTTGCTGGAATTATTTTTTTTATTGGGTTATGCTCGTTTGGGTCAATTTTTGAAAAATTTCGCAAATTTTTTTTAAATTTAGGTCTCATTTGGGACAATTTTTAAAAATTCTGGAAAAATTATTTTTTTAGATTTGGGGCAGACCCATTCAGACCATTTGGGTCAAAAATATTTTTTGGGACATATTGTCTCTCTTCTGACACTCACAATTAAATCCGATTTTCTAAAATATTTATATTTTTAGCAATGAAGATGAAGACTTCTTTTCCTCTCTTTACTTCCTTACAAGAAATTTGAAGGCTCACAAAGATGAAGAACATTTGGAAAAAGAAGCGACTCATTTGGAATATTTTAATGAAAATAAGGTTTTTTGATCTATAAAAAATTAATTAAAAAATTTATTTAAAGGAAATTCGTGAAGATATTTGTGATGTTCTGACTGGTTCTGATTTACGAATTTTAAGTAAGGGGTATTTTTTAAAAATTAAATGGGGAATTTTTGGTAGTCCTTTATTAAAGTTGTTTCGGGTTTCCCTTACACTTCCACTTATTTAACCCGCCCTTTAAAGATTTTACCTCACACCAGGGTTGCCGCCCGAAACCCGACCCGATATATTTGCCAACTTGAAACTTGTGACCCGAAATGAAAACGCTCCAACCCGAAACCCGTACCCGAAGATTTTTTTTACCCGCGGCAACCCTGCCTCACACACTCTAAACCGAATTTTTCGATATAAGCCTTAAAAAGGCCTTATATATGTCTTAAAAATATCTTTAGATAATTTTAATCTAAAATATTTTACAGTGGCGTAGCCACGGGGTGATTTCGGGGGTGGGGCGCAGGCGGAAATTTTTTTTAATTTTCACGGATATAGGCTAAAATTTTTTTTACCTTTTTGAGCATCATTTTCCTATTTTTCCTCAATTTCAGCTCCCGGCTACGCCCTTCTGTTTCACCGTATTCCATATCGTAATACCGACTGTAATACCAATAAATATCGAAAAATCTGGCCTTAGTACTACGGTCCGAACAACTATATTAACCAAACCCGGAAATGAAAATCGTGTGTTGAAACCCGGTGATATCCAAAAAACCTGTTGTCCTCCCTAGTAGAGATCGGATTTTTGAGAAGCCTGGACCTGTTCCTGGGCTTGAAGTTTGATTTGTTGCCTTGGCCGCCTTCCAGGGCTGTAGCCGGGAAAACCCTAGGAAGGTCAAAAAATGCCTGGGCCTGGACTCTGGGTACAGGAAAAACCCAGGACTTGGTTCAGACCCAGGCTGATCTCTACTCCCTAGATATAATCTAAAATTTTTTTTAATTTTTTCAGTTGAATTTGAAGACGAATTAACTCGAATTGGTGAATTTGAATTGGTTTATCCTTCAACAAAATTAAATTATTTAAAATATATGAGGTTACCTCTATATTCAAATTTACTTCTTTCATTTTGGCAAAAAATTAAAAAAGAAGAAAAAATGATAAAAATGAAAGAAATTTCAAAATTGTGTTCAAAAAAAGAACATTTGGCTAAAATAAATAAAATTAATTGGAGGGAGGAGGAGGAAGAAGAAAATGTGGAAGAAAATTAAAAAAAAATTTTTACAGAGGCTGCCAACGAAAAAAAAATATTTTTTTTTTCCAAAATAAAATACTCTAAAAAGCCTTAAAAATATTTTTAGATAATTTTTGAATTTTTTCTTTCTTATTTTAGTTTTTTAAATAAAAAGTGTTTAGAATAATCGGTAATAGTTTGGAATTCGCCCCTCTGTTTTCATATTTCCCTGACCATTTTGAGCTTTTTTTTTATTTGATAAAAAGAGCTCTTCGAGTTTGGTCGAATGATACCATAATTGGCTAGATCTGATTATTTTTACCAAAATTCTGAGGCTAAATCCTTATTGGGAAGACTTTTTGTGTCAATGCAAGTGGATAAAATAAACGATCACAACTTTGTTCACTTAAGTCAGATTTCGTTGATTTTAATGTCATTCGACTCAGCTTGAAGAGCTCTTACGAATGATATATAATTAGCCATAAAATTAATATTAGCCATAAAAAAATTATAATTAGCCATAAAATTAAAAGAAACCAGGAAAAAATAGAAAGGAAAAAAAGGGGGGCGAATTCCAAACTATTACCGAATAATCAACCTAATCATTTTTTGATTTTTTTAAAAGGAATGGGCAAGAGATACCCTCTCTATTTATTCTTTATCCGATCTCTGCCTTTCTTTGATCCGTTAAAACTTTATTTTTTTTTCTTTCTGTCTACCCCTGTTGATGATTAAAAAATTTTTTCACAACAAAATCAGAATTTAAAAAACCAGAATTTCTCTCAGAATAAATCAGAATTTCCTGCCTTTTCTGCTTATTCCTTATTTTTTACTGCCTTTTTTCTTGCCCATTTCTACTGATTAAAAAATTTATAGATAAATTTTTGAAAAATAGATCAGTGAAAATTCTTTGGATAAATTCTGAATTTTATTACTTTAAATAAAAATATATTTTTTTAATTTTTTAAAATTAATCTGAAATTTTTTAAATTTTTTTTCAGAAAAAATGTTAAATATTCGTTGCTCTAATTTTGTTAAAAGGACAGTTTCTTCTGTTACCACTTTATTTGGACAAACAACAAAAATGCCTTTATTAGTGGAGAAATATAATTGTTATTTGCCTACTCAATCTGTTAATTATTGGAGTTTGAGACGTTTTGAGGTAGTTAATGGGGGGAATTATTTGGAATCAGAATAAAATCAGAATTAACAAATAAAAGTAAAATCAGAATTATTCAAATCAGAATTTAAGAATAAGAACAAAACCAGAATTTTTAAAATCAGAACAAAATCAGAATTAAAATTCTGATTTGAAAATCAGAATTCATCAGAATTTTTGAAATCAGAATAAAATCAGAATTTAAATTCTGATTTTAAACATCAGAATTTGAAAATCAGAATTTTCAAAATCAGAACAGAACCAGAATTGAAAAATTTTCAAAATTCAAAAAATCAGAATTTAAGCACATACTAGCTTTCAGGTTCTTCCACTACGTCATTTTTCTGCTCAATCAGAGCAACAAACAATTTTTGATGTTGACTCTGACGATGGTTTTGACGAGCTCATACTTAACTCAGAAAAGCCAGTGATTGCCTGTTTTCACGCCGATTGGTATTTTAAAATAAAATCAGAATACCAGAATTTCGAAAAATCAGAATTTCAGAGAAAAATCAGAATTTCAGAATCAGAATTTAAGAAAAACTAGAATTTCTGAAAAAATCAGAATTTCAGAGAAATCAGAATTAAAATCAGAATTTCTGATATTTTCAAAATTCTGATTTTTGTTTTGAATTTTGGAATCAGAAGTTCTGAAAATAACAGAATTTCAGAACACCAGAATTTCTGAACAAACCAGAATTTCAAATCAGAATAAACCAGAATTTCAGAATCAGAATTTCAGAACAATTCCTTTTTAAGGTGTGGCCCTTGCCAAAGCTTTGCACCCAGACTTGAAGCAAAAGTAACTGGACAGGGAGGCAAGGTCTGTCCAATTTAAACAAAAATAAATATACCTAATATTCCCCCTTATATTTAAAGATTTTATTAGCAAAAATCAACGTGGAGGGAGGGGCAAGTTCCCTAGCCGAACAGTTTGAAGTTACTTCAATCCCAACAATTGTGTGCTTTAAAAATGGGGAATTTTTTGATAGAATTGAGGGGGCTGTTGAAGATGTTGATTTGGATGACCTTTTGGAAGATTTGTTAATGTCTGGGGAAGAAGGGGAGGAGGAGGGAGATGGAGGAGGAGAAAGTGTTAGGGAATAAATTAAATATTTTTTGTTGAATTGTTAATTTATATTTTTTTTTTGATTTCTGATGGTTCTAAAATGTTCTGATTATAAAAATTCTGATTATTAGAAAAATTCTGAAATTTTAAAATAATTCTGATTTTTTCTTCAAAATTCTGATGGACATTTTCTAAAACTATTTTTTCAGAATTTTGGGGTTTTCTGATATTTTATAGAAATTCTGATTTTTATTCTGGTTTTTTCTGATACCTTCGAAAATTCTGATTTTTCAAAATTCTGATTTCTGATATTTATTCTGATTTTTTCCAAAATTCTGATTTTTGTCTGATTTTCTGATTTTTTCTGATACTTGCAAAAATTCTGATTTCTTCAAAATTCTGATGAACATTTTAAAAATTATTTTTTTTCAGAATTCTGATTTTATTTTTTTTCTGTTTCATTTTAAATTTATTACGCTTTTCTGATAAAGATGATTTCAGTCAAAAATTATTTACTTGTCTATACATGTTAATTAATTACATGTGTATTTAATCAATATTTATTTTTTCTTTTTATTAATTTTATTTTTTAACAGTCTTGCCTTATTTTTAAATAAAGTATTTTTAAAAAATATGACTGTTATCGCAGGATTGTTTGAAGTCACAGCTACAGGTTGATTATTATTAAAATCAGAATTTTTCGGAAATTCTGATTCTGAAAAATCGAACTATCAGAAGTTAATTTTTCAGAAATTCTGATTTTTAAAAATTTAAAAATCAGAATTTTTCGTAAATTTTGTTTCTTAGAAATCAGAATAACAATTTTCAGAAATCAGAATTACGTAAAATTATTTTTTGAAAATTAGAATTTTTTCACAAATCAGAATCAGAATTTTTAAAAAATCAGAATTTTCAAAAATCAGAAATTCTAATTTTTGAAGGTCAGAATTTTCAGAAATTCTGATTTCTGGTTTTCTTTCTGAAAATCAGAATTTTTTCATATGTCAGAATTTTTCAGAAATCAGAAATTCTGATTTTTCTAATTTTTTCCAAAATTTAGATGTTGTATTGCTCATTCTCTTCATTTATGTTGTTTATAAATTATTCTTCAAAAAACACCCAGTAATTGAACCCCCAACACAAGAAAAGGTTTACCAAGTGGAAAAGAGGGATATGACTGTTGAGGAACTTAAAGGTTACAATGGGGTGGAAAATGAACGGATTTATATGGCTCTGAATGGGAATGTAGGTTTTTTTGATTGCTGATAGTTGGGGAAGAAAATCAGAATTTATTTTCTCAGAAATTCTGATTCTGAAAAATCAGAACTTTTTAGAAATTCTGGTTTTTTAGAATAAACCAGAACCCATTCTGCCTTTATTAATCCTTAATATAAATTATTTACAGATTTATGATGTTACAAGAGGAAAGGATTTTTATGGTCCACAAGGAGCTTATGGAGGTAACTTTTGAATTTAAAAAGATTATAATTTCTGTTGGGTGTCGATCTGTAGAGTAAGTAATCCTAATTTTTTCAGAAATTCCGGAAATTCTGATTTCTGAAAATTCCCAGAAATTCTGATTTTTTGATTTATGCTTAGCTGATTTTGGGAAATATTCGGATATCCGGATTCGACATCCGAACTGAAAACTTTCAGATATCCGGACCGTTTCCGAATCCGTCACCCCTGCCCTCAGTGCCCCCTCCATCATCACTCCCCCTATCCTTTCCCCTCACCATTTTTATTTTTATTCTTCTAGCACTCGCCGGTCACGATGCTACACGCGCCCTGGGTACAATGAATATTAAACTGGTCAAAGACAAATATGATGACCACACAGGAATGACTGCAGACGATTTAGAAGAGGCCAAAGAATGGGAACAACGACTTTCTTGTAATTTTTTTTGAATTTTTTTCACTGAAAAAATTTTTTTTAGTCAAATACCCGTTGGTTGGACGTTTGTTGGCACCGGGGGAGTCAACTGAAATGGAAACGGAAGTGGAAAAACCTCAAGAAAAAATTCAAGAAGAACCTCGGGAATAATTTAAGAATTTTAAGTTGTAATGGATTTGGATTTTTTTATTTTTTTTAATTTTATGTATTCCTCACTTATTAATTTTAAAAAATATTTGTGGATAAATTTAAAATTTGCGGATTTTTTTTCAAATATGCGGGGTTTTTTAGCACTTTTTCAAAAAAATCCGATTTTTCGGCACATTATTGATCATAACTTTTTTACCAGCCCGTCAGTAATTTTGATTTTTCGGCATATTGTAGGCTATTTAATACCCTATCCAATGATACCAAGAGAAAAAAGTCTCCATGAAGTCCAAGCTCTTTAAGCTCGGAGGAGATTGTCCTCCTCAAGCTCTTCCTCTCCAAGCTCCTCTCCTCCTCAAGAAGTCCAAACTCCTCAGCCATGACCCTACCAACCAGCATTTTTGGTTGACAATCGGGTCTAATTCCTCTCTTCGGACCTAAACCCACTAAAAAATATTTCCAAAAATTAATTTTTATTTTTTAACAAAATTTTATTAAAAAGTCTCAATTTTAAAAAATTATATAAAAATTTAAAAATAATTCCCTTTCTTTCTAAGTAGAAACAAAATTAGTAAAAGTACCCATAGGAGGTCTAAATTCTTTTGGTAAAAAATTCATTTGAAAAGGGCTAAATTTGTATAGAGGCTTTCCAACATTTTTTCGACAATTTTCACGTCTAACACCTTCTTTGCGTAAACAAGAAATTATTTCCAGCATCTAAAAACATTAAAATTTTTAGAAAAGTGAAGCAAGTAATAAAAGAGAGGAAAGTGTAGCCCTTAAGCAGGCATTAATTCCCAAACCCACTGTCAGTTTATTGCTAAGCGCTTTCGCTCAACATGCATACGAGCTGAGGTGAGCTCTGAGCTACTGAGTCTCTACTTTTTCATATTGAAGCAAGTAATATATAGGAAAATCATTCTAAAATTTGCTTCAAAAAGTCTAAGGCATGCTTCAAAAAAACTGAAGCATGTTTCAAATTTAATTGAAACATCCATAGGGTCGTTTACAGCCTAAGAAACTCAACTCGATCTCCAATAAAAAACACATTTTTACATTTTTTAGCCTTTTGACCATTTTACAACTTTCTTTTGCGAGTTCTTGCAACATTTTTTTAAACTTTCATTCAATCTCCATTACCTGTTGATTAGAAATTCCACAAGTTTCCTTCAAAATCCTCCCCTCCTCTAAAGTCAAAGCCATTGAAGTCCGATCCTTTCCACTTTGACAGGATAAAATAGAAATACCAGACAAAATTCGAGTAATTTCCATTACAAGCTTAAATATTGTCAAATTCTTTTTTGAAGCATTTATTGAAACCTTGGAAAAATAGAAAAAAATTATTTAAATTAAAATTTTAAATGTTTCAAAAATTCGAAATGCTTAAAAAATTCTGAAGCGGCTGAATAAATTATGAAATTTGTTTCCAAAAAGTTAGAAGCAAGTTTGAAATAATCAGAAGCATATTTCAAGCAAATTGAAACTTGCTCCAGGAAAACTTGAAACATGCTTCAGATAAATCTGAAACATAAACATGCTTCATGTTTAAATTTGAAGCATAATTCAAATAAATCTAAAACATGCTTCAAGACATGTTTCATGTCTAAAAACTATGAAGCATGCTTCATGTTTAAAAAATTCCGAAACTTGCTTCCAAAAAAGATGAAGCATGCTTCAGATAAATTTGAAAAATTTTTCAAAAAAGACTGAAGCATAGTTTCCAATATATAAAGCTTCTCCCCTCTCAAACAATTTTCTTCAACTCTTACCGTTTCTCTAAGATCACCCATTAATCTATTAACTGCTTCAACACAATTTAAATCCATACTTGAAGTTAACAATAAAATAGAAATATATTCATCTAATTGTTTTAATGCTGTTCTATTAATCATTTCTTCTAAAGAATTATTTCCCCCTCCAACAGAACTTGCTGCTAATGATGCTTCATGATTTACACCCAAATTCCAGTAAATAATTTTCGGACAAAACCATTCCCCTTTTGACATTCCTTTGGGTAATTCTACAATTTTTTCGGAAGGCAAAGGTATTGAAATTTTTATATTTGTTCGAAATCCTTCAATTTGTGGAAAACATGTTTGGATAATCTGGAAGAGAAAGAATAAAAACATGCTTCAGAATTTTGAAGCACTTATGAAACATGCTTCAATTTAATAAAGTATGTTTCAGGTTTAGTGAAGCATGTTTCAAATGTAATGAAGCAGCTTCATATTCAGCTATACACGTTTCCTATCCGAAAAATGTTTCCGATTTGATGAAACATGTTTCAGATTTAGGTAAACATGCTTCAAATTCGATGAAACATGTTTCAGATTTGTTGAAACATGCTTCTGGTTTAATCAAAAATGCTACAAGGTTAGTGAAACATGCTTCCGATTTTGTTTCAAATTTACAGCTACAGAATGACATGCTTCAGGTTCAATGAAACATTTTAAATTTAGCGAAACATGATTCAAATTTAATGAAGCATGCTTCCGGTTTAGTGAAACATCATTAAATTTAGCGAAACATGATATGATTCAGATTTAATGAAGCATGCTTCACATGTAATGAAACATGCTTCAGCTTTCTCTGAAGCTTTCACTTTCAACGTTTCTCGTTGTCTGAAACATATTTCTCAACATACCGATGAATTTGTTGGAATAAATCGAAACTGGGCTACATCATGGAATAATTGCCACATGTCAAAAGCATCTTCAATCTTGATTTCAAAAAATTATTTTTTCCCTTTTTAAATTTCCAAACAAACCATTCCATGTTCATCACCATAACAACTCAAAAAGGAAAAATTAATTAATAAAGGTGTTACATTTGTTTTTGAATAATTTAAATTAATTAAATTTTTTGAAAAATAAATTAATAAAAGAAGTGAAGTTGTTGCTAATGTTATTGCCTTTAAATTAAATAGAATTGAAACAAGGGAGAGATTATAATTGTTTGAAACTTTTCCGGAAAAAATATAATTCATAAATAATAAATTAAACCTTTTCCGGAAGATTATTAAATTATTCTGATTTTTCCGGAAACTATAGAAATATACTTTCCGGAAAATAAACTTTTTCCGGAAAATTAACTTGAATTCTGAAGCTTTTCCGGAAAAATAAACTTTTTCAGGAAAATAAACTTCAATTCTGAAAACTTTTCCGGAAGCAAATTTCAGAAACTCTTGAATATTTAGAATCTTTCCGGAAGCTTTTATTAAATTCTGAAGTCTTTAAAAATACGTTTCATGTACTTTCCGGAGAATAAACTTTTCCGGAAAACAACTGTAAACTTTAAAAATGTTTCAAGTTTCTCCAAAAAAAGTTTCAGGTTTCTCAAAAATGTTTCAAGTTTCTAATTACTTGCGAAAGAAGAGCATCATGTCTCAATTGAAAATGAAAAAAAGTTTGACAATCAGTTTTGTTTCTAAGGCATTGAATTAATGATAACATTTGTGCTGATTCAATACTTAATGCTGAAAAAACAAAAATTATTAACCAGAAACTAGAAAGGTCAAAAGTTGAAGCAAATCAGAAATTAAAACTCTACCGGAAATTAAACTTTTTCCGGAAAAATAATTATATTTCCGGAAACAATTTTGAAAAATTATAATAATATTTTCCGGAAAGATAATACAAAAACAAATCAGAACAGAAATTAAACCTTTTTTCCGGAAAAACATTTAAATAATTCTGATTTTTACGAAAACTATTACACAAACTTAAGTTTATTGTTTTTAAGATTAAACTTAAGTTTTATTAGGTTTGTTATTATTCTGATTTATTTTTTCAAGTTTTATATTATAATTCTGGTTTTGTTTCAAGTTTAAAAGTTTGCTTCAACTTTTTTTAAAACTTGAAGCAACTGCTTAAAAATGCATTAAAAATTTTTTTTATCCAAAAAATTTTTTAAAAAATTTTTAAAATCCAACCCAAATGGTGTAAACTATCCAAAGTAGAATGAAATGATAATTTAATATTTTCTTCACAAGATTTCTTTTTCTCTTCATTTTTAATATCCACTTTTTCTGCTGCAGCCATTTTTGAATTTAATGAAACAAAATGTGCTTCTAATAAATCTAATTGACTTGACAGAGTATCTCGAGGAACTGAATCTGCATTTTTTCGTTGTAATTGGGCTAATCCACCTTCACTTAAAGCATCAACAAGATTGGAAATATTTGGGAAGGAATTGATTAAATCGAGAAGCATTTCGTGAATCTGAAAATTTTTTGGAGCAAAATTAAAATGATTTTTAATAGGCCTCTTAAGATTATAAGAAGACTATCTAAGGTTGGAGGGGATCCAGATCCCAAAGAAAAATATAGGAAATTTTCTTTTCGGATAACCGAAGATTTTACAAGAACCGACAACCATCCTCTCAATTAATTATAAGGCTTAAGAGTAGGATTGTATGTGCTTGGGAAATCTTCGAATATCCGGAACAGGAATGTCACAGGTTACCCAAAACCCTGAAATCCGGACTTTTTCTCAACGCATGACAAGGGCGTATCCAGGGGGGGCTGGGGGGGGGGCTAGAGCCCCCCCCCCCCCCCCCCCCGAAATGGGGGAAAGGGGGAAAAAATTAGGAGAAGGATGGTCGAAAAAGTTAACTTTTTTCGCCTACAACCCTCAAATTTTAAAAAATTTTCGTCTGCGGCGCAAAAAATGGAAGAAATCTGGCTGCTTGAGCTCCAAAATCCTCAAAATTTTCGCCTGCGGCGCTGAAAAAGTGAAATTTTTTGGCCTACGGCCTTCGAATTTAAAAAAATTTTCGCCTGCGGCGCAAAAAACTGAATTTTTTTGGCTTACGGCCATCTAAAATTTAAAAAATTTTCGCCTGCGGCGCTAAAAATATAAAAAGTTATGTACAAAAAATTTGCCGTAGGAACGCCAAGGTAAACGCCAAAAATTTTTGCGCCCACCCAGTGTTAGCCCCCCCCCCCCCGAAACCGACCCCCTGGATACGCCCTTGACGCATGACATCCCTATAAGGAACCGAAACCCGAAAAATCAGCGGTCTTTGGTTCCTTCCCAATCCAAAAACAACGATACTTAAAAGGTGATAATTCAAGGAAACAGGAAGAAAAAAATGAGAAGGTTACTTTCGAAGTATTATTACCCTTCTTCCCAACAACCCAAAAAATAATTTGAAAAACCTGTTTAGACTCAGCAAAAATTCCAACAACAATTTTATCAGCACTATTAACCCCCTTTTCATTTATTTTCCATTCAATATCAATTCTTCTACTCAATTCTCCAATCATTCTTTTTAATTTAATTAATGTTTGTTTTCGTCTATAAAAACGTCCTTCGTCTGTTTGGTCAATTGCTTGGGGTGTTAAGTTGGATAGAAATTTGTTTCTAAAATTAAGTAAAATTAACAAAAATTTTTTTGAAGTGTTTGAACATTTAAAAATTTTTTTACTTTAATAGGTCCCAAATAGGGTTGCCCCCCCCACCCCCCGTAAAAAAATAAAAATTTTCATCGTCCCTCCCCCGTGGTGCTGCCTCCCCGAAAAACTTACCCGTGCCCCCGTCGGGGACCAACCCTAATCCCAAGAGTCAATTCAACAAAAAAGACAATTTGGAATAGACCCTGCTCATTTAAACAAGCAAACCAGATTTCATTTAATTCAAAAAAATTAAAAAAACCTTAAATTAAACATTCCTCCATTAGAATAACGTAAAGGCATTGCTGTTAATGCTCCTTTATTTTTAAAATTATTTTTTTTTTCATTTATAATTTTTAAAAATAAACCTGAAGTTACAAAATTTCCAACATTTTTACTGTCTATATAAAACATTTGTACATGTAAATTTGTTGGAACGTGAAGAAATGAGAGACGATATTTTTCTACTGAAGGTCTGAAAGAAGGTCCCAAATAATTTTCTAAAAATTCTGAGGCCTGTGTGTGGATCTAAAAAATAATTTAAAAATTATTACTAACTCAAAGCTAAGAGATATCAAAAAATTAAAATCAGAAAATGCGGACAAAGATTGCGGACAAGTTTTGCGGACAAAACGGTTATGTGCCCATTAAGGCCAGAAACTATGTGTGGGTTAGGAGCTCACCAGTAAGTACATTTGGTTAAAATTATTCTGGCCATTTCAGTCATAAAATTCTTTAACTATAGGGTAGAGATGACAATTTGTCCCACCCCCCGCAAAACCCCTCAAAAACTTTTTTTGAAAAATTTTTTTATAAAAAACAAAAAGAAACCTCAATATTAGAATTCAAATGTCTAACAAACATATGTAAAGTATCCAACATTGTTGAATTTTTAATTCCCCAAAGTTTGTCCAACAATTCATCACGCATTTCACTTGTCCATTTTAACGATAATTTAATCATTTCTTGAGGAATTAAAAATGAAAGTCTTGTTTCGTACATTGCTTCTTTTAATACAACTTTTTTGTTTGGAATGTTTGCTGACTAGAAAAATTTAAAAATAATTTTTTTAAATGTGTGGAAAAAGTTGAGAGGTTAGAGAAAACTCTCTTAATTTTCCACACTATTTCTCCACGTACCCATGACTTCCTGTCAGTTATTGTTTCATTCACCAGGTACGAGCTGATTGTGAGACAGACTGATGTGAGCGGGCGGCTGCGGGGACCTGCTTTTTCCCTTTCCTTCATGGATCTTAAACCCCAGCCTTAGAAGCGTTTATAAATGGGAGTCAAGGATTCCCCTTCTATCTTACAATAATTAGAAAAATTAGAAAGGCTGGGCATCCATAGGAAGGACTATAGGACACAAGGGCGTAAGAAAAGTGGCTTCTGGGGCTATAGCAAGGGCGTATCCAGGGGGTCGGTTTCGGGGGGGGGGCTAACACTGGGTGGGCGCAAAAATTTTTGGCGTTCCTACGGCAAATTTTTTTGTACATAACTTTTTATATTTTAAGCGCCGCAGGCGAAAATTTTTTAAAATTTGAGGGTTGTAGGCGAAAAAATTTCACTTTTTCGACCATCCTTCTCCTAACTTTTTCCCCCTTTCCCCCATTTCGGGGGGGGGGGGGGGCTCTAGCCCCCCCCCCCTGGATACGCCCTTGGGCTATAGATATAGCACACCTGAAATGGAAAAAATATCGTGAGAAAGTTTGCGTTCAAAATTTCGGCGCACACCCCATTCTAGCCCCCTGAAATCGCCCTCTGGCTACGCCCTTGATAGGACACCCAACAAATCAAGTCAAAAATCTTTTAAAAAACCTGGAAAAGATTGAAAGTTTGTTCCTTTGCTAATTGAGAAAGAAGAAAAGAACTGAACGGGGAGGGAGGAGAACATCCAGTTTTGGAAGCATCGTGTGAATAATGAGAAAAAAGAGCCTAGAAAAAATTTAATTAAAAAAAAATTTAATAAAAAAAACTTGTTCATATTCAGCCTGGGTAACTCTGTGAGAGCAAACGCCCAACTAGAAAAATAAAATTTGAAAACTATTTGTGGAGTAAAATTGAAATTATTGATCAAAAAGAGACGGAAAAACTGATCGGATGGGAAAAATGGAATATTGTAGTGAATGAGCCCAGACGTGAGCCCAGGTCAGCCTCTTATTGTTATACAGGGATTTTTTCCGGCTAGGGGTCAAAAAGGAAAATTTTTTTAGCCTCGAATGGTCCCCCTGCTTCGGTGCCAAAAATTCCCTTTTGGTTACGGGCTTGGCCCATATCCAGGGAATAACCCAAGAAGATTTAAAACATAACCCCCCTCCCCCCTCCAAAAATCCCCTCAAAAATTAAAAAAAACCTGCATCGCCCATTTATCCACACAATCTCCCCCAACAAATTCCATCAAAAATTCTTTGCTGTTTTGTCTTAAACTCAATCCATTTTGTGATTTATTTGAAGGCCAAAATTCAAGTTTTTCGCAGACAAACAGAATTGGCTCTGCCGTAAAATCAACAGCTTCCAAAGCCAACAAGTTTCCTTTCAGTCTTGCCTTGTAAAAAAATTTTTTTTTGAAATTTCAAAATTTGAAAAAAATTTCAAAAAATTTTTTTAAAATTTTCAAAAAAAATTTCAAAAAAATTTTTCAAAAATTTTCAAAAAAATTTCAAAAAATTTCCAAAAAAATTTTCAAAAAATTTTTTGTAAAAATTTTCAAAAAAAATTTCAAAAAATTTTTAAAATTTCAAAAAAAAATTTCAAAAAAATTTTTCAAAAATTTTCAAAAAAATTTCAAAAAATTTCCAAAAAAATTTTCAAAAAATTTTTTGTAAAAATTTTCAAAAAAAATTTCAAAAAATTTTTAAAATTTCAAAAAAAAATTTCAAAAAAATTTTTCAAAAATTTCCAAAAAAATTTTCAAAAAATTTTTTGTAAAAATTTTCAAAAAAAATTTCAAAAATTTCAAAAAATTTCTAAAAAATTTCAAAAAAAAATTTCAAAAAAAAAATTTTTCAAAAAATTTCAAAAAATTTCCAAAAAAATTTTCAAAAAATTTTTTGTAAAAATTTTCAAAAAAAATTTCAAAAATTTCAAAAAATTTCAAAAAAAAATTTCAAAAAAATTTTTCAAAAATTTTCAAAAAAATTTCAAAAAATTTCAAAAAAAATTTTCAAAAAATTTTTTGTAAAAATTTTCAAAAAAAATTTCAAAAATTTCAAAAAAAAATTTCAAAAAAAAAAAATTTTCAGAAATTTCAAAAAAATTTTAAAAATTAAAAAAAAATTTTCAAAACTCAAAACCTCCCATTTCGTCTTCCTCGCTCCATCCCCACTCATTTCAACAATTCCTTTACAGTCAACTTGTGTTTTGTCTTTAAATAACCATTTTATTATGTCGTTAGCATTGTCCTCTTCCATTAAAAATTGAAGAAAAAAATTTTTTTAATTGGAAGGGACCTGAAAAAAAAATTTTTTAAAGGGATTTTGAATAGAACATAATAAAATTGTGACTGGAAAAATTGCCCCGATCCCGAGTAAGAATGTGCACCAGTGATGGGACGGGTTTTCGAAAATTCCTCGAGTCGGATTTCGGGGAACCCGGCTCATCCCTGCTGTGCACCGAAATTATTTTTGCGTGATGTGCAAAGTGCCAAAACCATGTGATTCCACAAGCCCTTATATCCCCCACCCCCCGAGTATTTCTAAAAATGTTGGGAAAAGACAGGAAAGAAATATGAAATACTAAACATAAGCACAATTTTACATTAAAAAATTGATGTGAAAAAAATATAAAAAAATGTTAAGGAAATAAAATCCTTTTAAATTAAAAAAAATTAAAAAAAATTTTTTAACCAAATTTAACCCCTTTTTAAAATAAATTAAAATTGAAAGATTCTCCCTTAAATAAATTCAAAAAAAAACTTTTTTCTTCCCAAAAATTCCTCAACATTCATCAATAATCGAAAAATGGTCATCATCCAAAGTTGTATAAATTTTCCCTTCATCCAACAAAAATTGAATATCACTCATGAAATCTTGTCCAGGTTTAATTGATGAACGGATTTGTTCTACATGAACGCCCGATCCATCTTTTTTTGAAAAAAAATTTTTTATAATAAAAATTGATAAAAAAGGAATGTGAGGAAGGACAAAGAGCACAGGTAAAGAAACGTTAGACTAACAATAAACAAATCCCATTTAACGCCCACTTAAATGTAATAACCACAACTTCCTTGCACCTTAAAAGGAGGAAGGAAGGAAGCAAAGTCAGTGCTGTCATACTACATATTTCTCCTAGCTAGAGATAGAATAATCCAAAATCAGTTTCCGCCTAAGGAGTTTACTGATGCCCCTACTATTTCTAGGCCATTTCAGGCGACAGCGAATCGCCAGGTAGGCTATACTGGTGAACGCTTCACCAATCATTTGCTCAACCCCAAACTCCTTAGTTATCAATCCATCTTAATTCCAAAGGAACCTCGAACCCACACTTTCATTCTCACTAAAAGAAGAGGTTGAATAGAAAGGAAATGACTAATCAGAAAAACCCCAAAAAAAGCCTTCAACAAACCTTTATTTGCATCTCCAAAGCGTTTGATAAAGTCCATTATCTAAAATTAAAAATTTTCCTTCACCCAAACTTAAAAAAACCTTGGCTTGTTGTTGTGATAAATTGGCATATTGATTAGATTGTTTTGATGGTTGTTGTTGACGATTTGGAGTGATTGAAGTTGACATATTTGTAGTTGAACGACCTGGAGTTGTTGTGGTTTGAGATGACATTCCTGGACGAGGCAATGTTTGTGCATTGCGGAAAATTGTGTCTTCTAATCCGTTGGAATTTTCAGGTAAATTCTGAAAGAAAATTTATAAAGTCAAATTCGGTAAAAAAGAAAATGAAGGGAGGAAATCGAAAAGTACCGAAAAATTATTGAAACACGGACTCTCACAAACTTTGACCAAATTCTTAAAAATTTGGAATAAGCTAAAAATTTATGACTTTAAACCAGTCCTTACAATTAGAACTGAAAAATATTTTAATTTAATTTAATTTATTGAGTAAACCACAAAGTACATAAAAAAGTACAATTATAGTGGTAAAATAAAAAATAAATTTTTAAAATACTATAAGAAAATGTCATAATAAATTTATAAAAAAATGTCAATCTAGGAGGATAAGGGAGTTGCGAACTAAAACCTCTATTTTATAAAGTTATTAACAAGTACTCTAAATTTTTGCGAATTATATGTTTGTAAAATTTCATTAGGTAAGCTATTCCAGTTATTTATGATTCTATTAAAAAAATTATTTCTAGTTTTACCGTTAAACTTTTTGTTCCTTAAACAAAATATTTTCCTTTTAGCTTTTACTGCAAAATCAAAGTATTTTTGTGGGTCTAGATGCGTCTGTTTTGAAATAATTTTGTGCGCCATTACAAGATCGGCTACTTTTCTTCGATGGCTTAGTTGTTTTAGTTTGAATTTGTTAAGTCTTTGTTCATAAGGTAGTGGCGTTATTCCTGTGATTTTTAATGCTCTTCTTGTAAAATATTTTTGTACTCGCTCTATTTTATTAATTTGAAGAATTCTGTTTGGGTTCCAAATTTCAGTGGCATATTCAAGTTGAGGACGAATATAAGATTTATATACATTTATTAAAGTCTTAAATTCTCTAGTTTTTAATATTCTTAGTATTTGATAAGTTATAAAGTATGAATTTTTAACTATTTTATCAATATGTTTGTTAAATTTTAAGTTGTTATCAATTAGGATACCTAAGTCTCGTACGCAATCTGATGTGTTTAATGTTTGATTAAATATTTTATATTCCTGTTTAAGGTTTCCTTTTCCTATATAAAGTATTACACATTTCTTAATTGATATTTCTAAAAAGTTTGATATAACCCAATTTTGTAATATTGTTATTGATTCATTAAGATAATTAATATTAGAATCATTATTATGTGAAATATAAAGCTTTATATCATCTGCATATATTTTATAGCCTATTTCTTTTGGAAGGTTGACAGGGAAATCATTAATAAAGATTGTGAATAAAATAGGTCCCAAAACACTGCCCTGGGGAACACCTGAATATGTATGAAAAGATCTTGAAAACGAGTCATTTATTTTTACACGGTAGGATCGTCCTGTTACAAAATGCTTTATGAATTCAAAAATTTTTCCAGATATACCAGCATTTTTAACTTTTGTAAGTAATAAATTTATTGGAACTGTGTCAAAAGCTTTTTTTAAGTCGATATAAATTACATCTATATTCTGATTGTTACCTACTGCATTGTAAAAATCTTCTAACATTGTTAGAAGTTGTGTAGTAGTAGATCTTGATTTGAGGAAACCAAATTGATTTTTATCAAAAAAATCCTTATTATGTAAAAATTCTATAATATTATTAGCTATGATTCTTTCAAAAACTCTACATAATGTACAAGTTAGGGAAATTGGCCTATAATTTTCTGGATCTGTTGTTATTCCTTTTTTATGTATAGGTACTATAATTGATGTTTTCCAAATGTCGGGTATATTTTTACTATCTAATATTAGTCTAAAGATTTCTGTAATATATTGTGCGATTTGATCACACGATCTCTTTAATAATATATAGGGTATTTGATCTGGTGATGTTGAATTTCTATTTGGAAGTCTTTTAAGTAAATCTAGAATTTGCAGAATATCAAAGTTTATATCTTTGATAAGATTTTGTGAATTAGAGTTAGGATTTTGAGAGTAGACGTCAATAAATTCTTGACTTTGAGTTTCTTTATCAGTGAAGTTACTTTGAAAACTTTCTGCAAGTAACTCACATTTTTCCTGATCTTTTGTAAGTATATTTCCTTTTTTATCTATTAATGCGTCAATACATGCGTTTGTTTTAAGTTTCTTTTTAATAAATTTGTGAATTGCATTTGCACCTTTTGATATAATGGTGTTCTCCTTATTATAATGAAATTTTTGTAATTGAATTTTAAGTTGTCGTGAGATAATTTTATATTTTGTTGCTAGATTAGAATTAGGAGATTCCTTCAAGGTTTTGTGTAATTTTAGTTTTTCTTGATTCAGAGATCGGATTTTTTGTGGATATTCGTTTTTAATTATGGTATTTATAGTCCTAAGTGGTATGAATTTATCATAATAAAAATATAGTATTTCAGTAAAAGAATTATATTTTTCATTGATTGCATATTTGTCAGACATATATTTTATAAAATCAAGTTGTGTTAGCTCTATGTTTAACTTGGAGAAACCTTTTTCTGTTACTTTTCTTATATATATCTTCTTTTTTGGAATACGCATAGTGCATAAGGAAAGATTGAACTTTAAGGATTTGTGATCAGATGTTGAAAAATTTTCAGTGATCTCTAAATTTCTAACTAAGTCATGGGGTCTCGAAAATACAAGATCTAAGATATTATCGCCGCGAGTAGGTGATGTAACATGTTGTTTAATTTGGGTGCGATTAACAAATTCAATAAATATTTGTGTAGTATTATCGTTTGAACAAGAGTTTGTTAACCAGTTTATTGTGTTAATATTAAAATCACCAGCTATTATTAAGTTTTTATGGTTTAAGTCAGCAATATATTTAAGTATTTTATTAGTACTAGATTGATTAAGTGACTATCTAATTTCAAAGTGAGAGCCAAAAGTCAAACTGGGTCATTTGGCCTCCTGGGATTCGACTTTCTGTGTTGATCCCGGTTAATATTCGTGAGAGCCGATCGTGGGGTTTTGTGATTTTGGGGCAAAACATCACTTAAATAAAAAACAAATGTATTTAATCCCAAACTCTAAAAAACCCTTCAACAAAAATATTTTTTCTTCAAACCTTAGAAAAGTAATATTTAGCAAGTTTACACTCCATTTTATAAATTTCAACTTCTTCCATTGAAACGTCCCGAATGTGAAAACTGACAAGACTGAGGCGGTTATTGAACTTTAAAAAATAAATTCAAAAAAATCAAAATAAAAAAATAAACCAGTCGAAGTTTTCCAACAGCCTGAACTGTTTGACCCTCAGAAAAGACTTGCTCCATATTTGGTTGCTAAAAATTGAAAATATTTTGTTGGGAAAATTCTGTCATGTGTCCCGGACTTGTTTCAAACAACCATTACGTCAATCGAAAGGGGAGGACATCAACAAGCAGTCCTCGAATGACAACATTTATTTACAAATTTTTAGTTAGAGTTCAGCCGGGTTCATTACTAATTGGGAAAAGTTATATACCCAGGCATTTCAGATCCTTAAATAAAACCGGGGCTTAATTTTGGTGTCGCTCGACTCACACCCAGCTCGTAGAGAAACTCCAAATGATAGATTTTCTTTCTAATGCCGTGCTTACATAAAAAGCGTCTTGCGTTTTGCGGAAGAAAATAGCATTCAAAAGAAGGAGAGACAAAATCGCGTCTCTTTATTTTCAATGCTATTTTCTTCCGCAAAACGCAAGACGCTTTTTATGTAAGCACGGCATAAATTGAGTTCGGGACATGACAGAATTTTACAACTTTCTCAAAATTTAAAAAAAAAAAGAAAAATTAAAAAAATAACCAAATCAGTTCCTCCATAACGAATAACCGTAAAACGTTTAGCTACGCGTTGATCACCAGCCATTCCGTCACAGATTTCGTAGGTAGTACATTGATTTGAATCGGTAAACACACTCACAATCCTGCCCATAATTTTGACCTTAAAAACGTTTAAAAAAATTTTTTTAACAAATTTTAGAAGGCTAAAAGACTTCTTTTAGCCGATTAAACATTTGACTTAACCTTTAAAAAATATTTCCCCCAAAGGGGTTCGAACCACGACCCCTCATAATTAGAACCTAAAGCGGACCAACTACACCATATTTTCAAAAAACTTGTACAAAATTTTACAAATTTTTCTCTGAACTTATTAATCGCGAAATAATTCGCACTTTAATAAAATAAAAACGCAAACGGGGTTCGAACCACACCCCCTCAAATCTGTTATCCAAAAACTACCCAACTAAACCAGACCCGACAAAATTTTAAACTGAAAATTCCATTGCCTTTAGAGGCCACAACGACTTTATAGCCAGTTAAACTCCTATAAAAGAGAGATTACCCAGACCGGGTTCGAACCACAACCCCTCAACGCCAAAAACCACCCAACTAAACCAGACCTGACAAAATTTCTAACTGAAAATTCCATTGGCTTTAGAAGGCCCCAAACGACTTTATACCAGTTAAACCTCCTAAAAAAGAGATTACCCCGCCCGGATTCGAACCACAACCCCCCCCCCCTCTCTAAAACCAAAATGGAACCCACTACACCAAACTCCCCAAAACCTTTTAAAATTTAAACAAACCGTATTGAACGAATATCCACCAATCACATACTTTTCCTCATCATTAGACATTGTCAACAAATCTTCAACAATTGCTGGGATTGGAATTTTATCAGTTATGTGGCTTTTTTGAAATGGTGTCGGAATGTTAAAATCTTGTCCACCTCCACCTCCTCCAGATTGTTCTCCCCATCCATAACCTCCAAATTGATCAAAAGACGCGTCCATTTGAATAAAGCTCTTTAAAAAATTTTTTTCAAACTAAAAAATAAATAAATATGATGCTAGGCCACGGGGTGCTGCATTTTTTTCCTAATTGGACTGACTAGATCTGATCATTCTATAAAAAGTTATCACTGATAAACGTCGTCACAAGCAGAAAAAAAAATAAATTTTCAGGCTTTAACTTTTTTTGATGATCAGATCGGGCCAATTATGAGAAAGATGTCCAGTCTCTCGAGACCTTTCGAAAGATATAAAAATAATTATATAAAGATATGAGAATTATACGGACAACATATAAAATTTTCAGAATATTTGTCAAAGCAATAATTTTAAAATTTATTTAATTGTCAAAAAAAATTTTTTTAAGTAGGAAAAAAATTTAAAAAATATACATGAACTGTTAAAAGCTCTTGAAAGAATCAAAAAATTAATTATTAAATTCATCCACTTTTTCCATAGTCAAAATTCGATTATTCGGTTTATTTATGCTTTGCATTTCGCCTTTTAAAGAAGACACAATTTTGTTAATGTCCAAATCATAACCTTGAAATAAATTTTTTTGAAGAATTTTAAAATTTTTTTGTCCGCAAAAAATTTGCGGACAAAAAATTTGTCCGCAAAAAAATTTGCGGACAAAAAAATTGTCCGCAAAAAATTTGCGGACAAAAAAAATTTTTTGCGGACAATTTTAAACTTGCGGACAAAAGTCGAAATCAAAAAAAAAATAATTTCCTTACACAATCCTTGTCCTTGAATAAATAAAAGAAAGGCTTGGACAACTTCTGCAGGTCTGTCTTCCAAAACTAATCCAGAACTGTCGGAAACCTTTAAAAAAATTTTTTTAATCTTACCCAAATTTAATTTGTGGACATGTCCCCAAAAATCTCTGAAATTTCCCTAAAAATCTTTAAAATTTCTCCTATTGACATCTAACGACCCCCCAGAGACACTACTTAAAAAACATTCATCGATTCGAATTAAAACATTTTGCGGACAAAAATAAAAAATTTGCGGATTTTTTAAAGTTGCGGACAAATCATTATAAATTGTCTTATTCTTGGATAAAAATTTAGAAAACGCCCCCCCCCCCATAAAATAATTACCCTCCCAATAAATTTTTAAAAATAAAAAAAAACCTTTAACCATTCAGTCATTTTCGGGTCTAATTGCGAATTGAAATAAACAGATTCATCAATAAATGCAGAATTATTTCCAACAATTACAAGGGTTGGGATTTTTGATAAATTGAGTAAATTGATTTCATCTCGACTAAAATTTAAATTTTAAAAAATTTGCGGAATCCGCAAAAAATTTTGCGGACAAAATTCGAAAAAAGGTTTTTTTGCGGATTATCCGCAAAAATTTTGCAGATAAACGAAAAGTCACGAAAAATTTTTTCTACATACTTTAAAAATGACTCCACAAAAAGAGCGAGATTCCAAGGCTTTTGATGATAATAAAAATAAGATTTGTAAAGCTTTAACGAGTCCTGATTGCAGTCTTCAATGCGTCTAAAAAATATTTTTTTTGAAAAATTTTTTTTCGGATTACCTTCCAAAAAAGTGCCACATAAAATAATCCACAGTAAATTGAGACATCTTCCCATTTCGAAGATTATTTAAATTTAACTTGAAATTTAAAAAAATATAAAATTAAAATTAGACCTCTATTGTAAATACACCCTCGGTTATTCCCCTCAACTGATCTGCAATAAAAGGGTATCCTAAATAGAAGGTATCGCTTAGGTAGTAGTGATGTTCGAGAGTCAAAAAATCCCGAGAGTCGAGAGTCGAGACCGAGAATCAACCCCGAGACCGAGACCAAAACGAGAGTCGAGAGTCGAGACCGAGAATCAACCCCGAGACCGAGACCAAAACGAGAGTCGAGAGTCGAGACCGAGAGTCGAGACCGAGAGATTAAGAGGGATATCACTTGATGTCCCTCCTAATCCCCAAAAATCCCTTGATATACCTCAAAATCCCCATACTCGCTTGAATCCACTTGTCCACAATATATATTCAATGATATTCACATTAATCTCTTAAAATCCCCTCATATCCTTCCATATCCCTACAAATCCAACAATATCTTTTTGATCCATCGATGCACCCATCCCTTGATATTAAATTTTATCCTTCAGAATCCACAGTATCTAATATACCACAAACCACAAAATCTAATCCTTTAATCTTATTAAATTCAAATTTTTGCTGCATTTTTGGCGCCGCAGGCGAAAATTTTTTGAATTTTGGAGCTCAAGAAGCCAAATTTCCTCCATTTTCAGCGCCGCAGGCGAAAATTTTGAGAATTTTGGAGCTCAAGAAGCCAGATTTCTTCCATTTTTCAGCGCCGCAGGCAAAATTTTGGGAATTTTGGAGACTTTTCCTTAAAAATTTTAATATCAAAGTACGCAAGGTCCGAGTAAAGTTCAAAAAATTTCCGTCATTAGGGGTGTAAATTTAGTCTCGTTTTCCGAGACCAAAACACCGAGACCGAGACCGAGACCGAGAGCTCAAAAAACCCGAGAAATTTCTCGACTCGAGAGTCGAGACCGAGAGTCTCGAACATCACTATTAGGTAGCTCCCTCAAATTGTGACCAACCCAGCTTTAAAAGTGTAGCTTAAATAGAGAGGTGTATTTAATACTGGGAGTTCCTTATAGTGAGTATCTTATACCGAGTAGAGATCGGTCTGGGTTTTCTTGTCCCTAGAGCCCAGGCATTTTTGACCTTCCTGGGTTTTTCCTGGGTCTGGGTTTTCCTGTACCAAGAGCCCAGGCCAATAAATCAAACCCAAAGCCTAAGAACAGGCCCAAGCTTTTCAAAAATCACGATCTCTAATACCGAGGGGTATACTAAATAGGGGGCATCGATTGGGCAGCTCCTCGTCCCGATGGCCAAACAAATTTCAAAATATTTAAGAGTTTATTTAGTATTGGGTGTGTTGCAAGTCCACATTAAATTAAAAAAAACCTTTTGGTAAAACCATTCAATCCACCCTGCCTTTTGAGAAATTGGATTAATTAAAACTAGTGCATCAACAATAGATGGATGTTTTGTCTAAAAATGAGGAGAGAAAGTAAGTCAAAATTAAAAATAAAATACAGCATATCGCATCAATACATTCGTACCGGCACCAGATCCAAGTCCAATGAAGGATTTTATCCTTAAAAAATAAAATTAAGAGGAAAAAAGGGAAAAGAGGGGAAAGGTCTATGAAAAACCACCTCCGGTAATATTGAACATGACAGACCCCCTTTTTTCCTCCCCAGTTTTTCCCTTATATTCTTACAGAATGGACAGACTTTTTCTTTTCTTCCATTCCAAATTGTCTTTCTACAACTTTTGGCAATTGGGAAGGAAGCAAGGAAAAACTGTTATGTTTTTAATTGATTGTAGGATTTGTAGAACGGCAATTGGGATGGGAGAAAGAAAAAAGTTTGACCATTCTGTGAAATTATAGGGTAAAACTTGGGGAGGAAAAAAGGGAGTCTGTCAGGTTCAATATTACCCCACCTCCCTCTCCTCTCCTAATTTGAGTCTCATATCAATTTTTTAAATGTAAATAACAGTCAGGCTTTCTTCCTCAATTCCTCCCAGTAATCTAATCAACTGATGTGAGAGGCATTAGAGGAAGGCCATTTCTGTTCCCATAATCCAAAAAGTCACAAAAATCAATAAAATAAACTCAAAAATATTTTAGGTATTTTTAAGCAAGTAAATTAATAAAAATAATTAAATTTTGACTGATTAGTAACCCATTAAAAAGAATTCCATTGAAAGGACTCGAACTCGGGACCCCAAAATGGTTGAGACTGAAGTCCTAACCATTACACCAACGACAACTATGGTAGATAGATTTAATAAAGAGAATATAAATTAGAAGAAAAATACCCAAAATGAGAAACAACATCGTCTACAATGCTAGCCAGTCCTTCCATGGTTGGAAAAGTAAAGCTAGAAAGAAAAGCTCCTTTTAAACAAAAATAAATTTAAAAATCATACTCCCCAGCCAATTTGCTAGCCCCAAATTCTTGTCCAGGCGCATTAATATTATAAACACAAAAGCGTTTCATCAACTTTGAAGGCGTCAAAAAAGTAAAAAAATTGTTAAAATTCATATCAGAATTCATTCCAATGTCATGAAAAGTTACTAGAGGAAGGCCATTTTTGTCGCCATAAATGATTACTTTAATGGGTCCATATTGGGTTTCAATAATTTCTTCACTGCCGTCGAGATTGATTTCTGATTCTGGCATTGTTGAGTAAACACCCATTTCTATTGAATTTGTTGTGTTCATTTTCTCTGAAAATTAAAGGAAAAATAAAGAAAAACGAAAAACAGACAAAAAAACTGACGAAAAACAAGAAAAAACGAAATAAAAAAAAACTCCTCAATATTTGACCAATAACACATTTTGCCAACAAGGGTAAAATCCTACATTTTGTCAACAAGGCTTTGATGACAAAACGCGAAATTTTACCTGTATTGGCAAAATGTGTTATTGGTCAAATATGAGACAGAGTCTAAAGAAAAGTCTAAAGAAAAGACTCTAAAGAAAAATTCTTAAAAAATAGTGAAAAACATAGAAACAAATTGAAAGAAATAGTATTCTAGACAGACACAAAAAGTGTAAAAATTAATTATTTTTCGAAGCGAAATAGCTTAACACTCAAAGTTTGCACTGAAATGGAGGTTAAATTAAGAGCCGTTTTGTAGCGAATTTTTTCTTATTTTTGGCAAAGTGTAATGTTTTTCTTCTTTTTACCAAAATGAAAATTGACAAATTTTCTTTTTAATTTTTTAACAATTTGACATTTCCGGGAATCTTACAAAAAATTTTTTTGTATTTTCTGGCCTAATCTTTTTAAGATTTTTGGTGTTTCTTAGACGCGTTCGCTCGAAATGATTCGATTTATTGATAAATTTGGGCATTTTTGCCTACTTTATTTGTGTTGCTACGTGTATTTTATGTTCTATATTATATTTTGGGGAATTTTGAACTTTGTATGTGCACCCTTTTTTCTCCACAAATTTATTGGAGGTTTAGGGGAAGCATGCGGAAACTAGTTTCAGCAGTTAGAATTTATGCAAATGTTGGGTGCTTCTTATGGCACACACGCATTAAACCGGGTCGTAGGTCCTAACATGCAGAGCTGTGCGTAATATTGTTCTTTATATTCTTTATAAACCCCCATTTTCCTCTCCAAGTTTTTCCGTATATATGTACAGAATGGTCAGACTTCCATCCCATTTACCTTTCTCACCCCAAAGTACCGCGAGCCTCGTTCAAGATTGTCGAATTTGGGCCGCCCTGTTATGGGGGGGGGCTGTTACTTTGGGCTCGCGGTACGTTGGCCTGCTCTTATTACAAACAAACAAATACACTTTTTGGGGAGGAAAAAGTGTATGGTCTGTAAACGACACTATTACTAAGTTGGTTACTTGTAGGGGGAGAAAAAGGTCATACAAAGTTCAAAATTCCTCATACATATTTTGGCTCTTGTCCAGTTTATGCGTCCCATGAAAGTATATGCGTCCCATCAACAAAAAATTGAACATTTCTTGGTGTTGCAAAGTAGGAGTATGGTTCCAAAGCATTTATTCATGTTCGGGATCTACGTCCACTGGGTCTGGGACCGTTCCTTACCCTATCCTTCGAAATTTCTGAAAGTTATAGCCAATTTTTAAAAATTTCAGAAAAACGATTTTAACCTTCAGAAATTTCGAGGTATAGGGTAAGGAACGGTCCCAGACCCAGTGGACGTAGATCCCGAACATGAAGAAATGCTTTGGAACCATACCCCTACTTTGCAACTCCAAGAAATATCCAATTTTTTTTTGATGGGACGCATATACTTTCATGGGACGCATAAACTGGACAAGAGCCCATATTTTTTAAAGGATTAACTTGTTTTAATTGGATTATATGGCAGAATCGGATCAAATATCTTTAATTAACAAATACGAGGATCAACAACAACCCGAACGTTTTGACCAATTTCAAATTGAAAAGCAAAGATTTAATACGGGTCCATGTGCTAGCAAGACACTACCTTCGCAATTTGTACGGTTTTTTTTTAATTTTTTATTTTGGTGGTCCCTCATTGAGTTTAATATCGATTAAATTAGATTTTAGTATAATCGATTTGTTCCCGCCATTATTAGCGTCCTTTTGTCAAAGTCAAATCGTATTGATTTTTGTTGGTTTAATTTTTTCTGTTCACTCCTCCAGATAGGTTTTTGAAAACCATAAAAACACCGGTTAGGGACGATTCCGCGCCGACGTTTCCGCGCCAGGTCAGTTCCGCGCCAGCACGTTTCCGCGCCAGCTATAGAAGTTCCGCGCCAGTTATAAAATAAGTAAATAATACTGATGTTTTCTACTCCGTAATGCTGTGCTTAAATAAAAGCCGTGCGCGTCTTGCGACAGAAAAGATAACGGGAAATGAGGAGAAAAAATTGCGCGCGATTTTTTCTGTCGCAAAACGGCATAACAATTATATACCTTTATCCTTATTTTCTGACCATTTTGAACATCTTGAACAAAAAACTGATTGGGAGAAATGCCAAATAATTGCCTGGGCTTTTAACCATTTTTAAATTTTTTGCATTAAACTCTAACCAAAATTTTTTCAATTTTCAGCATATGGTTACTAGCAGCAATTCTCATCAACTAGAAAGAAATACAGCAACAACAACCCGTTCAAGTACACATTCCTCCCCAGAAGACTTACAACCACAAATTGTCGTTAATAATGCAATGAATGGTCCAAGTAATGAATCTTCAAATTTAAGTGTAAATTCTGATAAGGAGGTTGATATTTTATTTTTGAATACTTCAACAAAAGAAAAAGTCGTTGGGGGAAGTTCTATAGTTGAAAAGGGAAGAAAACGGAAAAGGTTGGAATTTAAAAATGATGTTGGAACTAAAATTGTGGACAATCAAAAACATGAAAGGAAGATTACTGACTATGCTTTCAAGGTTTTTTTTTGTTATACGTTAGGATTTTGGGGTTTTAGGAGGCTTCAGGGTAGGATTTCGGGGTTTTAAATAGAAGGGTCTGGAAGATAGGTGACATTTGATCCCATTTGGAAAATATTTTTACGGGTTGAATTCTTTGCTGGGACACGTTTGGTGTTTTTTACTTTCCAAATTACTATAAGTTTACATATTTCGGGAAGCCGGTTTGAGTTCTGGGTCGGGGTTTTCAAAATTTTCTTCGGTCGGATTCTGATAGAAAAAGTTGTTTCGGTTAAATTGACCTATTCCGACCGATGTATATACTTTCCGTGTTATTTTAAGCTGGCTCTTGTCTTCTATTATAATTTGCCCTTAAGATTTTGAAGTTTAATTTTTTAAAAGTTTATCGATTTATTTTAAAGATAAAAACAACCAGCCCAAAACGCCCTATTATTGCCACCTATCCAAATGGGGATAGTCTAAGTAGTGATTCTATTAATGCTCATCAGGTTTGATTAAAAAAGTTATTTGGTTAAAAGTAAAGCCTTCCTACTTACCTAAAATTCTAAGCGACTCGTTGTTTATCCGAAAATATCTTTGATTGACCCATCTTGTGGTAGGATAAAGGGAATGTGGTTTGTCTCCTCCGCTAGATGGCCAGTTATTCCCTCTGCTACCTGGCCATTGGATTTTTCGGCTTAAGGCGTCGATAGAAAATTCTTGGGACCAAATGTCCTCCCTGTAAAATTTTTTTAATTTTGGGGTTCCATCAGTTAAGAGATTTGATTCTGCTCCTTTCTTTCGCCTAGAAAACCTAATTAACTCCGAGAAAAAATTCTTGTCTGTTAACAATTTAAAATTATTGGGACCAAATGTCCCCTAATTTAAAAGAATTTTTAATTTCTTAATTTTTAGACCACTCCAATCCACATTCTTTCTTCTCCAATATCAAATAGTAATCCAAAATTTGGTGGAGGAAGTAGTATTTATTCTGGTAGTGATTCAAATTTAAGTCCTCCATCTTCAACAAATTTAAATTTTTCAAAAACTGAAAAATCTGTTCAAACAATTGAAAGTGGAGATTTGTCGGATAAACAAGACGAAAAAAAATCTAAAGAAATTGAAAATTTGGTTAGGGCTACAACAGAATTGAAGCAAGTTATAGAAGTTCAACGAATTAAAGTTAGGGCTAGTAAAGAAACTATTAGACGTTTACTGGTTGAACAATCTAGAATGGAGAGAAAACAGGTTTTTTTAAATTTATTTTGGAAATTTTGAGAGGTTTTTGAAGGGAAAAATTTTTTTTAACTTTAGGGGAAGGAATTTTCAATTTTGAACTTAATTTGGGGGAAAACGTGTCTTGTCCAAGTACTTGCTTTTACTTCCCATATTTCTCTTTACGGGATTCCTGTAATGACGCTAGTTCAATTTATGCGAGGATTTTTTCTGGGGAATTTGTGATCTTTTAATTTTATTTTAATGAGAATAGATTAGCCACAGAATTTTTTCCTTCTTTGGAATTGCTTTCTATACTAGGTTTTTCTTTGAGCAGCTCCTTTTCCTTATGCTTCTATGTATATTTCTCTTTTTTGGGATTTATTTGGACCACTTTTGAAAATTTTCTGAATTTATATGTCCTCCTATAAGGGCGTATCCAGGGGGCCATGTTAGCCTCCCCTCCGAAATCGACTCCCTGGAGGCGCCCTTGCCCTCCTCTTCTATTCCAAAGACAGATTACACACACTTCCCCACCCATTCTTCCACTTCTTAAAAATTCATTTTTCAAGGCAAAAGAACGTGTAATGGAAGCAACACTTCGTATAGGACAATTTCGACCAGCCCGTGTTGGTGAACATTTTAAAGATCAATGGATAGATGGTTGGGCTATGGAAGAAATAAATAAAAAATTGCAACGAATAAATCAAGAAAGGAATGATATTGTGAATGCTACAAAAAATTTGAAAAATCGAAAATCAATGAAAGATTCAAATAAAAGGCAAAGTTTGTCGTCGTCTTCTACGTCAGATTTGCCCTGTACTTCTTCAAATAATGTTTATTCTGATGATGGTTTTTTGAAACCCGAACTTCCTCCAAAGGAAATGACTGCTCAAGAGTATATTGAACAAGAAGAAATTTATCGTCTTAGAAAGGTTTTTTTTAATTTTCTTTTTAAGTATGGGCTTCTTTTGGGGTCATAAATTCGAAAAAAATTTGATTTTAGGGTTAAAGCTAGGGTCCCTATACCTTGTCCCCCGTACCCCGACCTTAACGATTTTTTTGGCAAAAACCACGATCCTAACTTCGACCCAAAAGTCAACTCTGACCTCAAAACCCGACATGCCCTCCCCGACAAACCCCGATCCCCGACACTTCCCGACCCTGAAGGCTCGGGAACTACCCTAGGTGATAGATTCTAGGGGAAGTTAAGATGGTTATCCATCATTGTTGTTGTTGTTGTTAGTTGAATGGATATCTCTCTAATTCCTCGACTTTCGGGAACGGGGAACAACCCTAGTTAATTGTTCTATCCAATTTTTTCCAAAAATTCTTTTAATCATCTCACTTTTTAGGAACATCTTAAAAAAGAAGAGACAGACCTTTTGACCGAAAAAGACCGCCTTGAGCGTGAACGAAATTTGCATATTCGGGAAATGAAGCGGGTTCAATGTGAAGAGCAAAGTCGTTTTAGAGATCATCTCCTTTTAAATGACCGTTATTTGCTTTTGTCTTTGCTGGGAAAAGGAGGATTTAGGTTTGCAAATTTTCATGAATTTTGGGGGTTTTTAACTTTTAAAAATTCCTTGAACTATTTTAACCTTTTATTTTTTCATTTTCCTAAGTGTTAATGCTATCTATTACTAAATTAATCTAATTTTACCAGAGAGGGTTCGAACCTTGGTCTCATAGTCTAAATTTTACCCACTACACTATAGGTTCAGAAAGGTGCCTTTTTACCCCCACCAATCTTCTCCCCTATTTTAAATCATAACTTGACTCCAAATAATCGTATAGATTTACTTTTGGTGTCATTCAACGCGTATTAAGTTGACGAATCCAATGATACCAAAATCATTTTTATATTATGTTTTTAAAAAAAGTTAGAATTAAAAAACAAAAAAATTTCATTTTCAGCGAAGTGTGGCGAGCATTTGATTTGGATGAGAATCGTTATGTTGCCTGTAAAATCCATCAAGTAAATAAAGATTGGAAAGAAGACAAAAAGGCTAATTATGTAAAGCATGCAATGCGTGAAAAAGACATTCACAAATCTTTGGATCATCCTCGGATAGTTCGTCTATTTGATTTGTTTACTATTGACAATGATTCTTTCTGTACTGTTTTGGAATATTGTGATGGAAATGATTTGGATTTTTATTTGAAGCAACATAAACAAATACCGGAAAAGGAAGCTCGTTGTATTATTATGCAGGTTTTGATTTTTTTGAATATTTTTGGGATTTTTAGTGGATGAATAGAATGGTCCTACTGACTTTAGACTGGGGGTTAAGATAGATCTCTCAACACGACCAACGATATACTAGAAATGGGAATCCTAAACAATAAGGGTAAATTAGGGAAGGTTCGTAGAGAATTTTATTGTTCGAAAAAAATCAAAAACTAAAATTGATCCTTATCAAGTTGGACTTGAGTGAATACACTCTCCTTTTATTTTTTCGATTTTTCCGATTTGTAAACGGCCAAGCGGAAATTCTTACAATTGGATATCTTCCCCCTCATATCACCCTTATTAATTAAGAATTGAATTTTAATTTTTATTCTTCAAATAAATTTTTTCCCTTTCTTAAAAGGTTGTCAGTGCACTCAAATATTTGAGTGAACAAAAATATCCAATAATTCATTATGATTTAAAACCTGCCAATATTTTGTTGCAATCTGGAACTACTAGTGGAGAAATAAAAATTACAGATTTTGGTTTGTCTAAAACAATTGAAAATGCTGATGATGGGGATGAAAGTATTGAATTGACTTCACAGGGAGCTGGAACTTATTGGTTTATTTTTTTGTTTATTTTTTTAATCTAGGTTTGAAATAGGGTTCAGACTGACTAGGGACGTGGTGACTCGAAACAGGAACAAGTCACTATCCGCACAAAACAGATTAATTTTTCTCGACGCACCCATCCTCGATTTGAAGGGATCAGTAAAAAATCAAGTCCGGTTGGATAACGTTTAAAACCGTGTCAGGAAATTTTGGGACTACAATTGGGTAATGGACATTTGGGGGCCTAATGGGATTTCAGCTAGGTGGTTTCGGATGGTTTAAAACGCTTAAAAGTCTGGAGTTTATCATCTTTTAAAAAGGAAGACCTATGTTGGGTAGCAAAAGTTCCTAGCAATAATTATCATGAGGGCACGGGATCGATGCCGTCTCGGGCTACACTTTTACCTCTCTCTTGCTCTAATAATAGGCGTTTATTAGAAAAATTTTTTCCTTCTTTAAAGGTATCTTCCACCTGAAACATTTACTCCATTTGGTGATGGAGGTCCTCCAAAAATTAGTAACAAAGTTGATGTTTGGAGTGTTGGCGTAATTTTCTATCAATGTATTTATGGAAAACGGGTTTTTCTTTTTAAATTAAAAATTTTTTTCAAAAAAAATTTTTTTAAAGCCTTTTGGACACGAAAAAACTCAACAACAAATATTAGAGGAGCGTACAATTTTTAATGCTCAAGAAGTTGTTTTCCCGTCTAAACCGCCTGTTACGCAATCTGCTCAGGTTTTTCTTTTGAAAATTTTTTGAAAATTTTAGAAAAAAATTTTTTCCCCAAGGATTTTATTCGTCGTTGTCTTCAATGCCGTAAAGAAGAAAGGGCGGATGTGAGCGAATTAATACGCCATGAACTTTTTAGGCCGAGAGGACAGGTTTTTGATTTTTTTAAATTTTATTAAAAATGGGTTGGATAGTGTTAGAGATTTGAGATTTCTCTTTGTTAGTGTGCCCTCTTGAAATCCGACCCATGTATATGCTTTTGGGGCTTTACTTTAGGACATGCGTCCCATGAGCTTTTGAGCATCCCATGAAATTTTAAGCGTCCCTTCATAAAATATATTTCACAAAAATAAAATTTGGTAGGGTAAGGGGAAGGAGGTTGGTCTGTGATATTTATTTTTGCAACAAAGGGGAAGGTCCGTCCGAATTTCTAAAGGCCGAAAAAAGGAAGACTGAAGAGATCCCATCCCTGTCTTGTGTACCAGCTTCGCCTTTGAGCGATTTTCTCCTTTTTTGTTTTGCTTCCTCCTTTCAAGTCTTTCCATCCCTGTCCATTAAAATAGGAAATTTAAACAACAATTTTTTTAATTTTAATAAAAATCTTTTAGAAAAGCCAACAACCCCAATCACCAAGTGCCAAATCAGGAAGATTTGAACAGGCAGATTGTGACTAAAAGAAAAAAACCTAGGAGGGTTCGGAGAATGCGGGATATACAAAAATAGAATAAAAAAATACACACAATTAATTGACTTCAAAACAAAAATTTCTTTTTGGATTTTTTGTCATCATCTACCGACTTTTTTTTAAATTTTATTTACTATTTAATTCAAGCTTACCCAATTTTTTTTTCAAAAAAAGAAAATGTTTGGCGGGGATTTCCACACACACACCTTTCATATAAAAACTATATATATATAAATATTTTAAATATTTTTTTTTGTTTTCATTTTGAATAAAATATAGAAGATGTAAGTTAAAGTTTCAAAATTTTTAAGTTAGTTCGGGTAGTGGCCAAATGTTAGGCTTGGATTATAGACCAAATGGCAGCGAGGTACTTATTGGAAAAATGACCCTCCAAACGGGGTACATATTTTTGAAAATATTGGGGTGAAACAAAATTTTTTGAGAAAATCTTCCTTGATTTGTGTAATTTATAGCTCGTTCGATTTCTGACGAGTAATGAGTGCAAATATCTAGACTAACTTATCTAAAAGATAAATTGTCAGAATTAAGTTATTTGGGATAATGATTTGATACTTGGTAACTTAAAAGAGGTCGGGGTCCATGAATTTAAAACTGATGATAATATTTTTCAGTTTTATAGTTGGAGACTCAAAGCGGTATTTTTATAAAAATACAATAAATATTCAACAACTTTTTAATTATTTTTAAAAGATAAAAACAACATATAATTGAAAATAATAAACCGGAAGGAGATCAAAAAACATCAAAATTTTGCGAAAAAAATCTGTTTTCAATTTAAACAATGTTGAAAGTGTGTTTTTTTTTTGGCTATATCAAAGGTTTGGCCCAATGATTGGCATAAGCTATAGATTCCAAAGTAACAACTTACGGACTTTAAGGGAGAACATAGCCAAAAAGAACCAAAAAAATGTGTCAAAATGTATTTCAAAAAAAAGAAAATTTAAATTTTTTTTTAAGTTCTTCCCTGAATAATACGATTATTATTACTACCCGCACAACGTTCTTCTAATAAATGAACTAATTTTTGCACATAATTTGGCAGTACAAGAACACCTTAAATGAGAAGAATTAATTTTAAAATCAAAAAATTTTTAAGTCGAGTAGTCGAGACCAGGCTGGGAGTGTCTTACGAGAATCGAGATCTCGAAAGAAATCTCGATCTCGATAACCGAGATTTTCGATCAAGATTTCGTCTCAGTTCTCTAAATTGTAGTCAAACCTTATTTTTAGATACCCCCCCCTATGGTTGAAATGTTATCTTATAATGTGGTGAACTTAAAAGGTATCTTATGATGAGTGTATCTTAGATAGAGGGGTTATGAGATGGGTATCGTATGTTAAATTGGGGGTACCTTATGAAGTGTAGCCACAGAAGCACCCTGGTACGCGATTGGTATCCTATAGTGTATCAAAGATAGAGGAAACCTTATATGAAGGTGTATGTTTAATAGAGAGTATACATATCTTATGATCGGGTATCTTATAATGAGGTGAATGAAGTGTCAATTAATTAGGGGGCTATAGCTTAGGCATTCTCCTAATCCAATGGCCGACCAAACCGTGGTTTTTCTAATTTCTAAAACCCTATATCGAGGTTCAACTTTTCAATTTCTCTCTCCCTTCCTTACCAACAATTCGTTGATTATTGTCCGTTTTAACCCGAACAATTTGAATTCTTCTCAATCTTTTTAATTTCCCAGAATCTGACAAAATTAATTCCAATTCTGGCCAGACACAAATTAAAGAGCCTGACAAAACAAAATATGTTCGAGATTGACGGCCAACTTCACAAAATATTCCTCGTTGTTGTTCAGCATTACATTTTCCAAAATAATAACGATGATGACACATTTTAGAAAATGCTTGAAAATAAAATTTTTTTTGGTATTTTTGAAGATTGTAGAAGTGTTCGATCTGCTGAAAAAATGTCCGCAGAAAATGTTCGCAGAAAAAGTCCGCAATAAATGAAAAAAGTCATCAAGAGATGTGCGGAAATGAGGAGGAAAGTCCGCAATAAAATCCGTACAAGTGGGGAAAAGTCCGCAATGAAAGAAAAATCCGCAAAAAAGATGAAAAGTCCGTGAATATAAGGAAAATCCGCAAGAAACAGGGAAAAGTCCACAAATAAAGAAAGTCCATTAAAACGGGGGAAAAGTCTGCCAAAAAAGAGTTTAAAATCCGCAAATAAAAGGAAGATACACAAATAAAAAGAAAAAAATCCGCAAAAAAGGGGTAAAGTCCGCTAATTTGTCACCCCCAAAAAACCCACTACACCTTTTACTTTTTAAAATATTAACCTTCCAACTGTTCTTTCCACAATTCTTCCCCTTCTTCATCAGATATCGGGTCAAATCTTAGCAACAATTCACTCAAAAGTTCATATTTTGGACTTCTTCCAGTATTAGGTCTCGTTACACAATAAAGACGAGGAGCCCCAGCAGGTGTAGTTGACATATTCCCCCCAACACCCATTCCAAAAATGAATGCAACACTTCTTTTTCCGTGTAAACCAACAGTTGAGGTATAAAAACCGTCTTTGTAACCCTTGTGTTTTTTGTTCAATTGTTGGACTTCCTCCCTATAAAAATGAGGAAAAAATTTTTTAATTTCAAAAATCTTTTGTCCGCAACTTTAAAAAATTGTCCGCAAATTAAAAAAATTTTGTCCGCAAATCTAAAAAAGTGTCCGCAAATTAGAAAAATTGTCCGCAAAATTAAAAAAATTTTTGTCCGCAAAATAAAAAAATGTCCGCAATTTAAAAATTATCCGCAGCTTTTGTCCGCAAATAAAATTTTTTCCAAGTTTTAAAGAAATTTCAAAGATTCACAAACCATGAAACACTTCTCAGCAAGCTAATTTTGTGTAATTCAACTGTAAAGTCTCCAGTTTTCCCCGTTCCTTTAAACTTTCTTGATTCTTTTTTCTGAACACGATCACATTCCATTCCAAGATCTATTGAAAAAAATAATTAAATAAAGGATATTTTTTAAGTTTCAAAAAATTTTTCAAAAAATTTTCAAGTTTTCTAAAAATTAAAAAAATTTGTCCGCAAGTTTTGTCCGCAAAAATTTATTTTATCCGCAAAAATTTTCAAATAAAAAATTTCAAAAAAAACCTAATATTCCCATATCAAAAGTTCCATCAACTTTAGCTTGTTTAATTAATTCTTCACAAATATCCGTAAAATATTGAAAAAGTTTGTTTTGCGCATAAACTGGGAATCCCAACAAACGATTAAGAAATTTTGGTATTGAATTTGAGTCTCTTTCTATTGCATAACGTCCATTAGGTAAAGAACAAATCTGAAAAAAATTTTAAAAATATATTTGCAAATTTATTCTCACATGATTAAAAGCATCATGTTGTAGATGGTTAAGCCCCCGACTCTAATATCGAAGGAAGGGGGTTCGAACCTTTTTGTGGGAAAACTTTTTTAAATTTCTCAAAACTCGCTTAAAATTATTAGTTCAACTTTATTTCTACCACAAAATTCAAAAAAAAATTTTTGCGCACAAGTTTTGTTCCTAAATTCCGCTTGCAATTTTCAAAAAAATTTTAAGGGAAAACAATGCTAAATAAAATAGCGAGGAATATAGTTGGAAATAATTACTCTCATAATGAAAGCATCAATTGTGTGGATGGTTAGGCCCCCGACTTAACATCAAAGGTCAGGGGTTCGAACCTTTTTGTAGATAAACATTTTTTAAATTATCAAAACTCTCCCACATTTTTCCAAAAAATTTCAAAAAAAATTTTTTGACCGCAAGTTCTGTCCGCAAATTTAAATTTAAGGGAAAATGGGAAAATGTTATAATAGGGTGGGGGTTCGAACCTTTTTGGAGGAAAACATTTTTAACTTACTCCATAATTCTTCTAAAATTTCCCCAAATATCCCCCCCCCTTCCCTACCCAAAAATCCCCCAAAAATTTTTTTCTCAAAATTTCCTTACCATTCCAACACCTTCCAAATAAATTTGCATATCTTTAAAAAAATCTCCTCCACTGTCATAATCTTTTGGTGGTTGTACAATTGGTTCACACGCCCCAGTTAAAGTTCTCAACAAAACGTTTAAAGCTTCCCTTCCATAAGTGTTATCAATATTAAATTGACTCAAATCTCTAGATTCTGTTGCACGTCTGTCCCCTTGAGTTAAAGCTCCCAAAGATTCTAAACGTTTTGCTACAATTGAGGCAAAACGTTTTTCTCCAGCCAATTCAGAAATTAAAAATAAATATTCTGGGGCGCTTTCTTGGTTTGAACGGTGTGTACGGCCTTTAAGAGAAAAAAATTTTTTAATAAAAAAATTTTTTTTTAAAAAACCAAATTGTTGTATAGCCTTATCTGCTGACCATGGCAATTCTAAAGTTATATGAACACGTCTTCTTCTGTTTGGAGCTCGTTTGTCTGACTGGAAAAATGAAAAAACTGAATATTAAATTAAAATAAGAAAAAGTCCCAGGCAACTTTAAAGGGCCAAGGCAACTTTAAACTGTCTTGGTTTGAATCGAGGGATAACTCGTCGTGTTAAAAAACGGAGACGGACCACGAGAGTTAAAAATGGACGGAAGTAGTGGCATAAAATTTTGTAATGTTTGGAGGAGTAGCCCTTTTGCACCCCCAGCGTTTTTGTTATTAACATTTCATTTCTGACCCTTTTGAGATAGATAATGTAAATAAAATTTTAACATATCCAATAACAGCATAAACCCTTATTTTCCCATATTAGGGATGCCATTGTCGTTTAAAAGACGAGACGGACCGCGTGAGAAAAACCCAGTGACCGATTATGGCCATTTCATTTCTGACCCTCACGCCAACAAAGGAAAAGAACCGAGGAAGTAAAAAAACTGAATCCTGTAGAAGACTACAACAAAGGAAAACCTATCCCTACTAAAAATACCACTCCAAATAATCAAAAAACCTGTAAAGAAATCCCCGAACTAGCAGCTTCAGAAATTATCGCAACCAATTTTTCTCCTCTCATAAATTTATCTTTTTCAGCAATATTCATCATTTCCAAACAAATTTCAGAATCTGCAGTTCTCAATTCATATTCAACATCCCCTGTTCCAACTCTAGCAACAACACGTCCACGTCTACCAGTTAATTCTGCAACATATTTTGGCCCACCAAGTAAATTTATTAGGCTGTCCAAAGTGTTTGGGGGCAGTAATTTGCCTAATCTTTCGATGGCTGCCAATAAATTTGTTTTGATTTCTGTTAAATTGACACTTCCGTCATCATCTTCACATGAATCGCCTATTCCATTTAAGGAATTTACAAATTCTTCTGCTGTTTCAGTACACTAAAAATGTAAAATTTTTTTGATTAAAAGGTTTATAGTCTCGCTTGGCCTATTATGTTCGTGACATGGAAAAATCCTTGGATGGGAGATGGAAAAGAACCATCGTGGAATGAACCCAGACCGAACCCTACCAGACAGTGCTGCCATTATAGAGAGAACACTGAACTTCTTCAAAATCCTGGACACCTTCATAGAAAATCTACTATACATGTAAAATATGTACATGGTGGGATTTTTGTTCAACGACCCATGTGGACATGTCAAGTACATCCAGGGATCAAGTTTGGTTTAATCGGAATGAGACCATGATTTCGGATATGGGCAATGATAGACGTGAGTTGGAAGGAGGGTCAAACGATACCATTGTCCCGAAGAGCATATTTATTTTAAAAAATTTAAAAATACTCCACAAAAAATCACAAACCGTCACATTGGATATTTCAGGCTTCAGCAGTGGTATATGCTTTTTTACTAATTCTGCAAACTTTTTGTGCTTCTTTGCTTTCTTCTTCTTTTTTGAAATTTTCGGAATATTCTCAATTTCAGGAAGAGGTGTAGTATCCTCTGAAGTACCTTGAACATCAGCCCAGGGGTCCTTGAAAAATTTTTTTATTTTTAAAAAATTTTTTTAAAAATTCAAAAAAACCTCTTCTCCCAAATTTACAGAAAATGGATTTATTTCTTCATCGTTAAACGTCTTCTTTGTTGGTTTCTTCAAATCTGAACAAACAAGACGTTCAAGCTCTTCTTCATCACTATCAACATCCTCATCCTCTCCGTCAGTTTCTGAAAAAGAATTTAAATTTTAAAACTAGTGAAAAATTTTTGGAAAATTTTCTGAACAATCAACACGTTAAGGTCCGAGATTTAAAAGCCTAAGGAAACAAGACGTTCACATTCTCCGAAAATTCTGGCCGCAAAATAATTGCGGATTCAAAAAATCCGTTTACTGACAAGGGAATTGTCGCGAAAGGCGACAATTAGAATTCAATTTATTTAAGTTTATTTTTTCTAAAATTTATTTTTTCTTTAAATTCCAATCTTTGTTTTTTTTCTAAATCTAAATTATTTTTAACCGCACCTGCTGTCTAGGAAATTCTTTTCTGTTTAAGAAATTTTTTCTATTTCTAACTTTTTAATTAGCCTTCTTTTGTTTCTTTAAGCGCATCTATCTAATTCATTTTTTTGTACCAGCCGCTATTCACTAATTTCTACTTTTTTGCCCACTTTTGGAATGTTGTTTTTCTTAACTTTGTTCACCCGCCTATTTTCCTGGCCTATATAATCTTCCCTCCAAAACCCACATTAGCTTGCTTTTGTCTGTCTCATAAGCTCTGCTCTGTTCTGTTCCATTTCCTTGGTTCACTGGTTGGCTCTTACTTATTGGCTCTATTATTGTTGGCTTGTTTTTAATTATTGGATTTAATTTGATTAATTGGAAAATAAAATTATTTAATTTGTTTGGAAGCTTTTTGTTTGAACTAGGCGATTAGGCTGAAACTTTGAATTTGGTCCCTAGGCTTTACTATAAATTTGTTGGTGCAACGGCCGGGAAACCATCCTGGTCACCGTGTGGACTTTATTGCTTCTCTTGGAAATTTATTGCTCTGGCTAAACCTCTACTGATTGAACAATGTCTGGACGTATTAGACGTGGCCTTACTACAGTTCTGGAGTCCATACAAGCTTATACGAAGAATGCAACTCAAATAATGAATGAGGAAATAGATGAAGACACAGCTGGTAAATTAGGAGTGGAAAAGGCGAATTTGGAATCTGCCATTGCGTTAATTGCTGAATTGGATGATAAATGGGGCAATTATATAGATAGCCTTGATGCACCGCAAAGAATGGCTGAAGAATCTGTTTACATGAGTTTCCCGCACAAAGCTGGTAGATTTGAGGATGGAAAAGAGGTTCTACTTTCTCAAAGGCACTTTCTGGATCAGAATCAATTTGCTCGTGAGGTTCTAAATATGGTGAAGGAAACAATCAAAAGCTTGGAACGCTCCCAAACCAACTCTCGTCAGTCTGCGTTGAGTGAAAGCAATCATAATGTTGATTTGAATGAGGAGATAAATAATGCTAGAACAAATAATTTGGATGCTAGGATGAATATTACTGGGATAGAGGATTTGAATGCTAGAATAAATCGCCTGGAAATAAATAATGCAGGGAGGAATGATGCAAGGACGGCTGGATACCACGTGCCTCAACCGCGAGTTAACCTTCCGCTACTCCATTTGCCGCGTTTTTCTGGTGATGCAAAAGAATGGCCAACCTTTTGGCAAATGTTTTCGTCCACTATCGATGATGAACCAAGCTATAATAATGTGTTGAAAATGAGCCACCTGTTTTCTCTTCTGGATGGACCAGTTCTAAACGTGGTAGCCGGATACCTTCCGACGAATGAGAATTACCCGCGTGTGGTGGAACTATTAAAATCACGATATGGAGACGCAAAAGCATTGAAGGAAGCGTTGCAATCTGAGCTGTATCACCTCGCGCCAGCCCATGACTCCGTGATAGGACTTAGGAAATTTCTGGATGTAGTTGAGCGTGTCTGTCGGCAACTGAGTGATTATGGGATCCAAGACGATTCGTGGATTATTTTTGCTCTCAAGGAAAAGCTACCCAGAGGAATACTAGCCAGATTGATTGAAAAAGAAAGAATGACCGGAATAACTTGGAAGATTGAGAATTGGAGGTCTGAACTCGACTTGCTCATATCTGTAAAGGAGGAAGTGCAGAGATGTACAGTTAATAAGGAAACAGAAGGACAACCTCGAAGAGATGGACGTCCATTTTACTCGCCAGAGCCTACTCGTTCGTTTCCAGTGGCTAGCCAATATAAAACGCTCTTTTGTTCTTTGTGCCGAGAAGGAGGCCATTACCCAAGCGAATGTGCTAAGTATGGAAATCCGCAAGCAAGAAAGGACCGATTATTGGAGCAGAACCGTTGTTTGAACTGCCTAAGAGATGGTCACCGAGCTATTGACTGCCCGAACCACCGTCGCTGTAGTAATTGCCAGGGACGACATCATTTTTTTGTATGCTTTTCGCATGATGGAAGTAATCAAACTCAACCTAAATTTGTTGGATCTGCTCAGAGAACGTTCTTTCAGCCTAATCGTGTTGAACCAGTTGCTAGCCCAACACAATTTACTCAGTCAACATGGGAAAGAAGGGATGAACCGCACGCTATTGATCATGGGACAAGATGTGACGCTAACTTGCCAGCGCCTAAAGAAAATTCTGTGGTAGCAACAGTAACGAATGCCAAAAATAAACCAGCTGCGTACCTGATGACAAAAAGATTAATGGTCACTGCTAGAGGCCGTAAAGAACGAATCCCTGTTTATGTATTCTTTGATACTGGAAGCCAGACTAGCTTTGTTTCTCGCCGATTAGTGGAAAAACTAAACCCGCCTAGAGGCCGCGAAGTTGATCAATTGGAGATTCATGGATTTGGAGGAGCTTCGTCCAACCCGCTGAAAATCCGATCACCCACGTACATGCTTAAAATACAAAGAACCGATGGAAATTGGGAAGAAATTGCCCTAAATTGTACCGAAGAAATCGCTACTCCATTTGATATGATAAATTTTGATGAATTCTTCTATAACCGTACTGGAGTTGATAGCTTGGAAATTGTGAGAGAAAAACCAGATATTATGATTGGAATTAAACAATTTTGGAAATTCTTTATATCAAAAGAGAAGCAAATCTTACCAGGCCTGTACTCTATTCAAACCGTTTTTGGAACAATGACCGCTGGCGAAACTAATTTTGGACACAATTCGAACAAGAAATCTATGTCTTTGGTGGCAGTAAATGCGAGTAACAATAAACCTCTCCCAACGCCTGACACTGTTGAAGATTTCCGGAGTATGGAGTCTCCCGTGCAAAATCATGCTAAGGAAGCTGTCGCGCCGTTGCCTTTACGGCCTAATGATTTGGTGGTACCACATGGAGCAATTCCTTTGAAGATTGACTCAGCCGATCAAAACCAGTTAGTAAAACATCCGATAGTTACAGTGGCAAAGGCTAAACTAGCAGCAAGTACATTGGTGGCACTTTGTCTTGTTTGCGTCATGGTCTTTGGTCCAACTGGAAATCGAAAAATGGAAATATGTTGTGATGAATCACCCACTGAGATGCTTTGGACTGATTATCATTCTGTGGCCAAATTTTGGAAAAGCTCGCGAGAAATGTTTCAGACAGAGATGACTTATCCGGCTGTAAATGAATGCACCTTTTGTATCGACCGCCTTGCTGTTCCTTGGGCACTTGTTACTCTAACCGCGTTTTTTGGACTCTGTTCTGTGCTTACTCTTTGTCGATCATGTCATAAAAACTTTCGGGTGATTGTGGCTATTGGAAGGATGGGATGCCAATGCTGGAGATGGACGAAAAGGAAGACTGCTTACACAAGGGCGCGCACCAGAGAAAAAAGTCGAAATAAAAGAGAAAGGTCCACACGTGAACGCTTCACACCCTATGGCCATAGAGGACGAACCGAAATTCACTGCGTCTTCAATCAACCTGCCATACTCACTTTATGGCGCGCGAGACAATCTGATGCAATGATGATCCGAGATGACAAAGAAACAATAGAAGAAAGAAAACAATTGGGGGCCGGGAATGTCGCGAAAGGCGACAATTAGAATTCAATTTATTTAAGTTTATTTTTTCTAAAATTTATTTTTTCTTTAAATTCCAATCTTTGTTTTTTTTCTAAATCTAAATTATTTTTAACCGCACCTGCTGTCTAGGAAATTCTTTTCTGTTTAAGAAATTTTTTCTATTTCTAACTTTTTAATTAGCCTTCTTTTGTTTCTTTAAGCGCATCTATCTAATTCATTTTTTTGTACCAGCCGCTATTCACTAATTTCTACTTTTTTGCCCACTTTTGGAATGTTGTTTTTCTTAACTTTGTTCACCCGCCTATTTTCCTGGCCTATATAATCTTCCCTCCAAAACCCACATTAGCTTGCTTTTGTCTGTCTCATAAGCTCTGCTCTGTTCTGTTCCATTTCCTTGGTTCACTGGTTGGCTCTTACTTATTGGCTCTATTATTGTTGGCTTGTTTTTAATTATTGGATTTAATTTGATTAATTGGAAAATAAAATTATTTAATTTGTTTGGAAGCTTTTTGTTTGAACTAGGCGATTAGGCTGAAACTTTGAATTTGGTCCCTAGGCTTTACTATAGGAATAAAAATTTTTTTAATCTGCAAATACTTGCTGAAAAATTTTTGCGGACTCCAAGAATTTTTTCCCCACTTTTCCCTTTTTTAAAATTTCCTTAGAAATTTACAGAAAATTTTGCAAAAAAAATATTTAAAAAAACCAGAAAATTCAGAATTAGCTTCATCACTTTCTTCCTTCGATTCTTCTCCACTTCCAGATGTATTAACTTCACTATAATCATCTTCTTCATAATCACTATTTTCCCCATCCTCATATTCACTATTTCCACCACTTTCACGTTCAGCAGTTAATCTTTCACTTAATTCACTTTGAATTAAAGATAGGCCACTTTTTGATCTTTTATGTCCATATTCTTCTGAATAATTTTCTCCCGTAAAATTTGAGCTTCCTTAAAATTTAAAAAGTAAATTAAGAAAAAATATTAAAAAGTCCGCAAAAGATTTGCAGACAAAAAAAATTATTGAAAATATGTCCGCAAAATATTTGCGGACTGAAAAAATTATTTAAAATTTTGTCCGCAAAAAAATATAAACTCCAAAAAACTAATAAAAAAAATGTCCGCAAGATTTTTGCGGACTCCAAAAAGATTATTTAAACAAAAAAATTGCGGACACCAAAAAATTATTTTAGAAAACTTGTCCGCAAAAGTGTGCGGATTTTAGAAAATTATTTAAAAGTCCGAAAATTTTTCCCGCATAAAATTTTGCGGACTCCCCAAAAAAACCTTTTCTTCTTACTTTTTCTTTTCCTATGTCTAGAACTGCACAAAAACATTCTTTGAAAATCATCAATAGCACTACTATCATTATGTGTTGGAAAATGATTTTCAACCAGAGATTGTAAAACAGATTTGGCTGTACTAACAAATTCAGTAACTTCTCCATTTTCTTCCAAAAAATCCAAAATATGCGATTCCCCTGTTGATTGAAGCCCAATAACAACACATTTTCCATCTTTTATTGCTTGTAAGGATATTCGAACACAAGCATCGACTTTAGCAGAAATACACAAATATTTGAAGAAGCGTTGATGTGCACCCCAAAAACGTGCCCAAATATTTTGGCGTCCAGCGCTTGAGTCAGGAATTTGGTTTAGTGCTTTCTGAAAAATTTTTGTGGAAAATTTTTTAGTAAAAGAATAATTCAAAATCTAGAAAATTACAATTATTTGAGGATTTTGGAAATATGACCAAATGGGCATTTCATTAACTTGACCAAATGGTCACTTTGGAAAGTTGACCAAATTACCTTTTTTGGTACATTGACCAAAATGATCATTTTGGTTGATCATCTCGGACCAGGCGAGGATTATGGTAAATTGACCAAATAGACTTTCGGTAAAAAGACCAACTGAAAAATTTCATAAATTGGCCCCGTTTAGGTGCTTTGCCCAAATTAAAAAAAATTTAATAAAAAAATACCGCAAATTGTCGTCTACATTCCATCCATAATTTAGCTGATTCGTCATACACATTGATAAAATCACGAGATAACGGAATTTCTTCAACATAAAAATCAGCCCCTCTAAACGATAATTGTCTTGAAAGGTAAAGACCGCGTAACTATAAAAAATTGAAATTATTGACCCAAAAAAGAACTAAAAATTTCAACTTTAATGTCCATAGCGACCATTTCCATTGCACCAACTCCTCGATTCTCTACAGAATGAATAAATTCTCCAAAGGTTCCAAATGTCAATCCTGGACCCCAAAGTCCAAGTCGTGTCATATAAGCCATATTTCTTGGTTCTAAATTAAGATTTTAATTACAAAATGGGAGATTCAAAATAACGTGTAGGGGACGGTTGCTAAAGGAGCGTCTGTTTCCTATATTGAGTCATCCTGGACCCCAAAGTAAGGTCGTGATTTTTAGAAAATATGGGACCGGGCTAATTTCGAATTCAGTATTTGGACTAGAACACGAGCCTCTAATTCAAATACCCAAGAAGTCCAAAAAATGTTTGAACGTGAGCATTGGCTAAAGTAAAACCCCAAGAACCAGACCAGCCTATTTAGTGGAAAACCACCTTTTGCCCCTTATTTTTCCTAAAAACACAAAAAAACTTTAAAAAAGCAAAAACCTGTAGCCCCCGTAGCAGATGCATAAACAATCCTCGCCGTAGGCAGAGCTTGTTGCAATTCCAACACAACTCTTCCCGTTTTTGTTGAACGAGTACCCGCTGAAGGACAAAGGTTTTTCGCTCTGTGGCATTCATCAAAGACCACAACACCTTCAAAATCTCTTCCACACCATTGAACAATTTGTTTAAGACGCGTATTGTATTCAGCACCTTTAGTAAAAGTAAAATTTTGTATGCCCTCTGTTTTCTATTTTTCTTCCCTCCCAAAATCTCCTCTATTTATTCTACTTGTGTTAGCGTAGGCACTAAATCGAACGAAAATCAAAAAAATATCGGACTAATGGTTCGATGTTGAACGTATGTCGTGGACGTCGAAAATTTCTTGCGGACATAAAAAAATTATTTGAAAAGTGTCCGCAAAAAATTTGCGGACAGCAAAAAAGTCCGCAAATTTGTTGCGGTCAAAAAAAACAGTAAAAAAAATTGCGGACTCAAAAAATTATCCAAGCATAGGATCATGTAGATAATTTAAATCATGTTGCCTAGGGCAAACAGAGGAAATTTTGGGAAAGAGGCCATACAAAACCCATTTTAACCAACCTTTATGATTTTTGCTTTCACCAATTAGAGAAGAATAGGTTGCAAAAATAATTCCTTTATTTACTGACCCATTTTCTGGGTGATTGATTTTTGAATATTTCATTTTATTTAGTGCATGGATTGGAATTTTGGACGCTCCAATGTCTCGCATGTCCCGTTCAGAGTCAAATTTCAAGTCTGAAGAAACGCTGACCCAAATTGCTTTTCGACGCCCTCTCAAAAAATTTTCGAAAATTATTGTGGCTATTGTTCGGCCTTTTCCGACACCTGCTCCATCTCCTAGAAAAAATAAAAAAAGCTCATTTGGGTCAAATAAAAAACCGATTAAATATCCGCAGCGTTCTCCAGAAGGTAAAAATCTTTCATGTGCTTGACATGCATAAAGGACTGCTTCGAGTTGAAGGGCAGAAATTTTGCCGGAATCAATCTGCAAATATAAGGGAAATTTTGAATTTAGAGAGTGCAGCTCATTTTTTCCTTATTTTGCCCTGATTGACCTCACTGTGTCTAAAATGCGTGGTTCAATAAATGGATCAAAGATCGACCATGCAGCCCATGAAGGGTCTCAAGGACCCTGTAAGCTGGTTGCCAACGAGGCCAACTAAGGTAAAATAAGGAAAAAATAAAACTTGGAAACTTGGGGAGGCTGAACTTCATTGAGGAGCCTGAACTTATACATGGGGAAAATGTGAAATTGAGCAACACCCTAACATAAATTAATCGGCTGTATATGAAAGGAATGCGGCACTCAATTTTTTTCCTTATTCTTAAAAATGGTTAATTTTCTTATGCATATTTTTCTCTATTTTTGATTTGTGCCTTAAGACTATCTTCGTACCTTTTTTCTGTCCGTATTTTGTTTGTCCGAATTCGTCCGTGTTTTCTGACCGAGTTCGTCCGTGTTTTGTCTGTCCGAGTTCGTCCGTGTTTTGTCTGTCCGAGTTCGTCCGTGTTTTCTGACCGATGTGTGTGCGTCCTTTGACTGAAACGGACGAACACAGACGAACTCGGACAGACACGCCGTCTCTAGTCTTAAGGCACAAATCAAAAATAGAGAGAAAAATATAAATTAATCATTTTTAATAATGAGGAAAAAAATTGAGTGCCGCATTCCTTTCATATACAGCCAATTAATCTTATTTGATTCAATTTTCGAGAGGTTAGATGATGAGAGGCTCCAATATGAGTGCTCCCATATGAATCTATTAAATCTTAAAAATATACCAATTCATCAGAAATAGCCAAAGTATAACGTATCTCAGGGGATGAAACACTGCTTAGCGAAAGGGTCTCAACAACTTCATCTGGATGTTCCAACCCACAACGAAGCCTTGGAGGTTTGTAATTAATAAAAGTGTCAGATTGAGAATGTTGAAGGGTATCAGGCTAGAAAATATAAGGTAAAATTGACGTTTATGTATCAACTCTTTTTCACTTCTCCCAGAATTCCCCTCTATATTATGCTGGAACAATCAACCTTGAAGGTTCTAAAGCGTTGGATACCCAGTTCTGCTTTTTAGAAACTACACCAACGTAGGGGGTGTGTACCAGGGATGTCACAAGTTGAGAAAAAGTCGGGTCGGGTTTAGCGTCGAAAAAGTCCGAGTTCGGGTCTTAGGTCGGGTCAGTTGGTGGGATTAGGAAAAAAGACGGGGTTCGAATCGGGGTTTGGAAAAATTTTTTCGGGTCGGTCCCGCGTGTATCTCGTAACCCGTGATATCCCTGGTGTGTACAACTTCTATGACAAAGATCCGTCTTGGTTGATTTTATGCCAACGGCAAATAGAGAGGATGGATTCTGAGGAAGACAGAAAAAGGGAGTCACATAAACGACAATTTTCCCAAAATAAATAAAATTTAAATTGAATAAAACTTAAAAAACCTCATCGAGCGTTGAAGTCTGTTCAGGATTGGATTCTGAGGTAATCAAATTTTTCCCGTCATTTGTTTGATGATTGGTTTTATTTGAAAGCATTTTAATTTAAAAATAAACTGAAAATAGAAAAATAATGGGCAAGAAAGGTGAAATACAAATCGAGTTGGCAAATTTTTTAACAAATAAAAGGCAAAAAAGATAAGAATTTTGAACAGTCACGCCCCAAAAATAGAAATTTCTTTCGACTATTTACGAATAACTAACAGAAATGACGAAATGCTTGTAGATTAAGTAACTTTTGACGTGATTAAATAGACAAACAAAAAATATTGAAGAGAGCATACAAATAGAAGAGACGAATAAAGAAAAAAGTTAGTTAAAGTGAAGAATTAGTGGGAGTTGACAAAATAACATTTAACAAAATTAAAGTTTGCTGTAAATTTGTTAAACTTTAACTTATGAGTTAATTAGAGAACGAGAACAAAGAGAGATAGGGCATAAAGACACTAATAATAAAATAAATTCCTTCCTCCATATATCACCAAAAACACATTTTGCCAATAAGACTAAAAATTTACGTTTTGCCAACAAGGCTTATTGACAAAACGCGGGTTTTTACCCTTATTGGCAAAATGTGTTATGGGTGAAATATGTTAGAATTTTAAGTTCTAACCTTTTTTATTTTATTACTCGGGTTTTATTCATATTTGGTATTTGTCATCAATTTTTAATAATTTTCATCATTTTTTTTCTATTTAAATTCAAATTTTAATAATTTGCTTCATTTTAGTCTATTTACTACCCAAATTTCTAATTCAGAAGTATTTCCATAATGGCTGAATTTCCTGATGTTGGTGCTCATTGTGCTGTTGTTGAGTGTCGGCAGCTTGGTAAATTTTCTTTATTTAACCAATAATTCTTTTATTTTTAAGACTTCCTCCCAATCAAGTGCAATGTTTGCTCAAATATCTTTTGGTATGTTTAATTAGTCTTATGTTGTTTCTTTCCCCCAGTAAATTTTTTGTTTAGGATGTATAGAATGGTCTGAAAGTCGTGAAAAAGAAATAGAGATTCATTTCACAAATTTGACCATTTAACCCCTATAATATATGGTTTTTGACATTTTTGAACCCCTGTATCGCTTTAGTGATTTTCCCAGGGTTATTCTGGTGCTCAACTGGACGGGCTATTTCGATCTATGACTGACTTACCATTTTGTGCATTTTAAACAGAAAACTAGACTGGGACGGACTCCCTTTAATTCTTAAAATCCTCAATGGTTTTATTTGAGAATTTAAGAATTAAAAGTACTTTTATTGTTTCCCTCCCAAATAAATATTAAAATTCCAGCAAACATCACTATCCCTACGACTCACATGACTGTACAAAGGCATCCAAAAAGGTTCGACTTTTTCATATTTTCAACCCTTTAAAAGTCTTTTTAAGGATCCTAAAGTAACGGTTTGTCCTCTTTGTCGTCAGCCTATTCCTCTCAAATATGGAGAATCGCCTGATCTGTTAGTTAGTGATCATATTGACAAGGATTGTAAGTCTGACAGGAAACGATGGGCGCCAAAATGTGGAGTAACTGGCTGTTATAAACGAGAGGTTTTTTTGTCAATTGGGGAGATTTACTTTAGACAAATTTTGGGGTTTTTTGTGTTTTATTGATGTTTATTGTTAGTTTGTTGTTCCCTTCAACGGATTTTGTGGTTTAGTGGGATCGGGTTCTGCTACTTTTGTCAGTATGTCATGGGTTCGATTCTGTTCTTTGCTAGTCTATTTTTATTGTGTTTTGTTTAAGTTCCCCTATGTCAATTCGTTTATGGTTTAGCGGTTTCGTTTTCGTCTTGCTCCCATATGTGTCGTGGGTTCGAATCCGTTAGGCTTTAGCCGTTTTTATTTTGTTTTTCTCGATCCAAAAATGTGTTTTTGACTCTTAAATTTTCAAAATAAAAGTTTTTAGCTCATTAAAATGGACTGTAAACACTGCGGAATTCACTTTTGTCTCGGCCATCGTCATCCAGTTGATCATAAATGCAAAGAGTCGAAGAAGGGGAACAAAAAGAGAGAAATTGTTTGTTTATTTTTAATTTTTTTTTGAAATTTTTTTAAATTTTTTTCAGGACACTGACGCCGAGTTGGCCAAAAAATTGGATGAAATATTAAACTCAAAGCCTTCCAAGCCTATGGATGCTGAAGAATTGAATTTCTTGTTGGCACAGCAATTGCAAATGGAAGAGGATGAACGGTTTATTTTTTTAATTTTAAAAATTTTCCAAAAATAATTTGAATTCTTTGGACAATTTGAGAATTTTGGTTTCTGCTATTTGGCTCAAAGTCCCAAGTTTTGTCCGCGATATTTCTCAAAAAGACAATAATGATCCACAAGCCACAGGGCAATGGAGTAAAATGGAGGTGGAAAATCTGACCAGGATTTCTCTTTCTGAAATTAACTTACTGACAAGACTTGCGGATTTTTGGGTCACATAGCAGAAACGACCCAAAAAATTTTTCAAAAAAAAAAATTTAAAGGACTATACTCAACGAACAAGCCCAAAGACGGGTAAACGAAGCTGCGAGAGGAAATACTTCTTCAAATTCTAATTGTACAATTAACTGACAAAAAATTCAAAAAAGGCATATCTTCAATTATTGTGATCTAAATAAAGGTTCTTTTTTTATTCCTCAAAATTTATGCTTAAAATTAAAAAAAATTTATTGTAAATACGTATATCTGTTTGGCGATAAATTATTTTGGATGGGAAAATTGTGAAAATTTTTTATATAATTTTGGAGGGATTAAGAATTTAAAAATTGAAAAATTTGTTCAGAAAACTTTTGGAAAATTATATTTCTTCGAACATTTTTATAAAAAAATTTTTGAAATTTCGAAAATTTTCACTTGGAGAGGGTTAAAATTGTCTAAATTTTGTTCACCAATAATTTTTGGTTACCTTTTTTAATTTATTTCCTTCTCCTCCTCCCCTTAAAATCGCAACAGAATCACTAAACAAATCTCTTTTTTTTTTCTCCTTTTTTATTTTATTAATAATCCCAAAAAGGAAAAAAACTTAAAATAATATCTTTTATTTGCTTTATTGTCCATTTTCGGCCAATACAAACAAAAAATCGAGAAAGTTTTTTTATTTCTTCCTCCTAAATTTTTTGCGGACAAAGCATTTGTAAAGGGAATAATGAATTTAGAAAGTAGTTGAATCCAAGGATTTTTGAGTTTCTTTTCTCCATTTTCCCTTAATTTTCTGTTAAATTTTTTATTTTTTTTTCTGCCCGTAAAATGCCTTCTTCTTCCTTTCCTTCTTTATTTTTATTAATTCTGGCCTTAATAAACCCAACCCGTTCACAATTGAATGCTCAGCTTCAAGCGCCATCGGCTTTCTCGGCACTTCCGTTGAACCAAGCAGTGAGTTTAAAAATATTTTCCCTGGCAGGGAAGGCACAGGGGAGGGAGCGGCATCAAAGACCTTTAAAAAATCTGAAGGTCGGGTGGTGTAGTGGGATAATTTTTAAATTTGAGTCAGAGGGGACATGGGTTCGACCCCTTTTGGCGGAAATCATTTTTTAATACTTCCTTGTTTTCTTCTGGGGTTAAAAATAAAGTCTAAAAGTCTAGAAAAATTATAAAAAAATTTTTTAATAGTACAGACTTGAGGAAAAGTCTAGAACTTTGATCATTAATTTCTTTCAATAGGCTTCTATGCTTGCCCAACCCCTCATGCAGATCCCTCCAACCCTCCAAGGGATATCCCCGTTAACTGCTCAATCGCCTGGAGGTCTGGCAGGGCTTACCTCCCTTGGAGGCTTAAATGGACAACTACAAGCAATACAACAACTCCAAGCATTACAAACCCTTGGTGGCTTGGGAATTGGATTGAATGGATTAAACGGCTTGGGAATTCCAACAAATGGTGGTAAAAAAATTTTTGTAGACTCACATGTATAAGGATAATATCAGGATACCCATGGATATGTGTCGGAATTTGACCATTTTGAACATTTTAGTCAAGTTGACCATTTTGAGCATTTTAGTCAAGTTGACCATTTTGAACATTTTAGTCAAATTGAAAAACAGGCAAGGATATTGACCTCACGGGTATCTGGAAACCATACCAAAATCCGTGTCCATGTGCATGTCTGATTTCTTTTGTTCCCCAAAAATTTCAAAATTAATTATAGCAACTTTTATACCCTTGGGGCAAGTTCTAATCCCAACTGGAAAAGAAGTGAGTGCAAAAGACATTTGTCGGAGTAAAGGAAATGATGGTGGACGGAACGATGACAACATGCAAATGCAAAATTCTAACAACGGCGGAGGATTTTGTCCTCCTTGCGGTAATTTTGGCTGTTGTCCTTCTGGGCAATATTGCGGTATTTTTAATATAAGCCAAAAAATTCGAATTTTGGGGGCTACCCATGAGATCAACAACCATGAGTGTGGAACCCATAGGATCGCTAATCATAAGATAAGCCATAATAAGATCGTACCCAAAGATCGACACCCAAAAGATCAACTCCCATAAATCTCACCCTTGGGATCAACACTCATAAGACCACCACCCACATGACCAAATCCCATAAGATCAACACCCGGAAGACTAACAACCATAAGATCACCACCCATAAGGTCGCCGTGTAGATCTTATGGTGATATTTTGGGTTACCTCTCAAATTATTTTTAGAACCCTGTTCCCAGCCTTGCCAACAAGAAAATAACAATTTCGACCAAAACCAACAACAACAACAATTTATGATGGGAAATAACGGATATAATGAAGGGGGTCAGCAACGAAAGAGAAGGAGAGCCCGACGTAAAGTTAACATTTTAACAATGAGGAAAGGTTTTAATAATACACCTCAAACAGACCGAGAATTGACTTTATTTAATTATATAAATTTTTAATTTATTATTTATCCAAGACAAATTTTTAATAATAAAAAAATATTTTTTAATGAATAGGAGGAGAAAAGAGGTTAGCACGATTCGAGAAAAATTTTAAAAGAGGATGTGGTTTTGGCGACATAAATGCTTTTTATATATCCATAGGATTGTGTTTTGGAGAGTACAGTCAGACCCTAATATAAAATACGCCCTCGGGGTTGTAAAGCGTTCTTATAAAGAAGAGTGCCTTAAATAGAGTGTATCTTATAGTGAAGATAACTTATACTGGCGTGTATATTAAATAGAGGGTACCTTATAATGAGAGTATCTTAAATTGAGGGTATCGCTTGGGTAGCTCTCTCCACCAAACGACCAAACAAATTTTAAAAACCTAACTTAAAATTCAAATTTGAGAGGGGGGAGGAGTGATATATGTAGTAAGGTCTGACTATATAAAATTATACATAACAGAGGAATGACAAAAGCTAGGTAGAGATATTATTTAAAAATATATCTATAATATTTATTTTCCTCTATATACTGCTTGGAATTGACCAAACTTCTAATTCATCTATTTGAAATTGGCCTAAAAACAATTTTTAGAAATTTAATTTGCTTATTTAATAGAATTTTAAGTTATTTCACTATAAGTGGTTCTGGTGTAGTGGTAGTATCTTGGGTTACCCTCTTATAGATTACCTATTTGTTGAGGGTTCGAACCCGGTTGGATGTCAATTAATTTTGGATTATTTTAAAATGTAATTTTAAAATCAAATTTATCCGTAATTTTTTATTCTCGCAACATAAGTGGTCGTGGTGTAGTGGGAGCGTTTTCAAACCACCACTGTGATGGGTGTGGGTTCGAATCCGTTTAAGTGTGTAACATTTTTAGATTATTTTTAAATAAATTTTGTCGAAAATTAATTAAAAAATTGAAAAATTAATTTAAAAAATCGAAAAATTAATTAATTAAAAAAAAAAAAAATTCGATTTTAATTAATTTAAATCGAAAAATTAATTAAAAAAATTTTTTTTTAATTTTCACAAACCTCCAGAGACTAGTTCAGGTGACTGATAAGTTCTAGATGCCCTACTTGACCCTTCTACAAGTTCATCACGAATTGCAATTGCATCACCTCCACCACTCCCAATCTAGAATTTTTTAAAAATAAATTTATAAAAAATAATTAAAAAAATACAATTAAAAATTTATCATGTGCCGCCATAAAATAGTTATCACAAAGTTGATCAGACCTTTGAAAAAAATTTTTGCAAAATTCTGATTTTAAAAAAATTCTGATGAATATCGGAATCAGAATAAAAAAATTCTGATTTTTCAGAATCAGAATTATTCTGAAAAATCAGAATCGACATAAGAATTCTGATGAAAATTCCGATTAAGAGTCGGAAAATTCTGATTTTCTGAAAAAATATGACAAATATTCTGATATCGAAATTCTGATGAAAAATCAAAAAATTCTGATTTTTCAGAATCAGAACTTCTCAGAATTTTCAGAAAAATCAGAATAGACATCAGAATTCCGATTAAAATTCTGAAATCATAATTCCGATAAAGAATCAGAAAATTCTGATTCCCATCGAAATTCTGATTTTTCAGAATTTTCATCAAACTTTTCAAAATTTCCTCTAAAAAATTCCTCACCAAGTATAAATTATCGGCAATTTTAATTCATCGTCCAAACGCCAAACAAAAGATTCCCCAGTTCCAAAATATTTAGCTTTAGCTCTTTCATGCACATCTTTTTAAAAAATTTCTTTTTAATTGAAAATAGATTAAAAAAATTAAACCGTTTCTTTCAGCCCAAGAACTTGATACATAAGCACCTAAAACTTCTCTAGTTGTTGATTTTATTATTAATAAAGATTGATCTGCCTGCTCAATTCTGAAAAAGAATTTTAATTTAAAGAGGTCCGCAAATTTTTTGTCTGGAAGATTTTTGTCCGCAAAAAAATTTTCCGCAAATATCCGTCTGCAAGTTTTGTCCGCAACAATTATAAAGTAAGAGCGAGGTAAGAGTTTAATTCCGGGCAGGCTTCGATCCTGCGACCTCCTGGCAGTTATTGCTAGGTCACCACGTACAGGTACTCTACCAACAGAGCTATCGAAACCCCCGCCTAGTGAGCGTTTTAAATGTAGCCAGCTGGTCTTTCTCTTCCGTACAATAGAATTATCCGCAAAAACTAATTTTGTCCGCAAAATTTATCCGCAAATATTAAAATATTTTTTAGAAATATACCGAGTCCATAATTGAACAAAAGATGTTCCTTAAATTAAAAAAAAATTTTAAACTAAAAAATTAATTTAACCATGTTCAGAAAGTCGAAAAAGCAATTTGGGTGTCTCCAATTGAAATCTCTGCGGGAGGGCACTCATTAGTTCTTTTGCTGCATCCTCGTCAATTATTTTTGAAATGAATACTAGAAAATAAAATTTTTAAGAAAGTCCGCAAAATTTAGAAATGTCCGCAAGTCTTGTCCGCAAAATTAAAAAATCCGCAAAAATTTTAAAAATCCGCAAGTTTTGTCCGCAATAATAAAAGATGTCCGCAATATTAGAAAATCCGCAAATTATGTCAGCAAGTCTCGCAAAATTATAATTTTTAAACTTAATTTTAAAAAATAACCAGGCGTATAAATCCGATCATCAGGCTGACGCAAATTTTTCTCTGCTCGTATTTTACTAACAACTTCCCAAAATTTATTCTCATAGTGACGCTGTTGACGAAAAAGCGTGCCGTTGCTGAAGCGACGAATTGAGAAGCTGAAAAAAATTTTGAAAATTAAATAAAATTTTGAAAGGATAAAGAAAAATGCCCGCAGATGCAAAAATGTCGTCAGCAAGTGTTGTCCATGGAATTAAAAAAATGCCCGCAAGCTGTGTCCGCAAATATATAAATGTCCGCAAAAATTCAAAAAAGTCCGCAAAAATATGAAAATGCTCGAACTTTAAAAAGTCCGCAAGTTTTGTCCCAACATTAAAAAAATGTCGTCCGCAAGTTTTTTCCACGGAAGTTAAAAAATGTAATCCACAAGCTGTGTCCGCAAAATATAGAAAAGTCCACAAACTTAAAAAGTCCGTAAGTTTTGTCCGCAAATATTTAATTTGTAAAATTGATGATTAATAATAAATTACAAAAAATTTCTCTCCCTTACCCAATATCCAAAAAAGTCTGTACAGAAACAGGAACTTTGGAAGCAACAGAAGAAATCTTTGAAAAAAACTTCAACAAAAATTTTCCAAAAAAACCTCAAAATTTAATTGATTCAATTTATCCTCCATAGCCACTTTATTCGTATCATTATTTTGTTTTGATATTTGATGCTAATTTTCAAACTAATTATATTAATAAACCCCCTTTATTTTAAATATATACTTGTTGTTTATGCCAAAGGTAGAGAATTGTTAAAACTGCTCTAGCCAACATTTTTTGACCTTTAAAAAATTTTTTTTAATTGAATTTTAAGCGAAAAACAATAAAAAATTTGCAGCCAAAAAACAAAAAAACTTGCAGAAAAATTTGTCCGCAAAAAGTTGCGGACAAATTTTTTTAATTACTTCAATTAATCAACGGTTTGGGTATTAGTGGGAGCGATGTTTGTTACGTTCAGAATAGGTAGTGGGTTTGAACCCGTTTGAAAGTCTGAGAATATCTATGGGCCATATAACGGACAAATAGACAAAAAAGAAAGGATTATTCCGGAAGCAGAAATCGCATTAATTGGGATCTAAGATTTTTTGAGATATCGATTTGGGCTCTCGTGTGACCCTCAACAATGTCAGCCCGGTCTTAAGTTGTGATAGACTAGAAACGATATCTGTTATATTCCGGAATCCGGATTAGTGGTTTGAAACTGTTTGATGGTCCTTCCGATTTGTCCGCAAAAATATTTTAAGGAAAAAAAATTTTGCGGACAAAAATTTTTGTCCGCAAAAATTTGCGGACCTTTGGAAACATAAAATAAAAGAATTGAAAAAACCTTCAAAAAGAAAGCAGTCAATCAACCGAACAAGATAAGGGAAAGGAAGACACTTAAAATTTTAAAAATTTAATATAAAAAAAACCACAAAAAACCTTGAAAATCCAAAAATGCCAATTAGCCATTAACTCAACAATTTTATTTTCTTCTGAACCCAATCGCTTTTTTAATTTGTTGTAGACTCTTTTCTAAATTGGAAAAGAATTTTCTTAAAGGATTAAAGAGCATTTTTATGTAAAATATGCCGGTAAAATATGCAAGTTAGATTTTTTTTAGTTGCGGATTGTCCGCAAGTTTTATCCGCATGTCATATTCTGTATCTTGTGGATTTCCAGCAAGTGGTTGCGGATTGTCCGCAATTTCATCCACAAGTCTTTTGCGGATTCCCTGCAAGCGTTTGCGGATTGTCCGCAAATTTCATCCGCAGGTCACAACTCTCGATTTGGGGATAAATGTTGCGGACTTTACCGCATAAGTTTAAAAAATATATCTAAAAATTAAAACGAACCTTAAACTTTTTCAGCATAGATAAAAGTGTATATCGAGAAGCATAAACAGCCTAAAATTAAAGAAATAATTATTTTCTTAAAAAAATTTCTCTTACAATTTCCGACTGAAAAACAAATTTGTTGCCCTAAAAAATAGAAAAAAATTTCAAAAATTTCTTCAAGTAACCTGCGCCAAAAGTCGATTAATACAAGCAAAAGCAACATCTACAGGGTGATAATGAAGAAAAACGGCACAAAGAGGGTAGAGAATGGGGACGAAACGAATTTCTGGACGAGCGTATTCAATTACCTTTGAAAAAGTTTTATAAGAAATTACTTGCGGACAGTCCGCAAAAATTTACAGACTGTCCGCAAATTTCTTGCGGACGTCCGCAAGATTTTAATAAAAAATTAAAAAAAATTTTTTACAATTAAAAGACGTTGTAAATTTATAACTCCAATTTCCTTCAATCCATGATCGCAAACAACAATTCCAGGTTCAGAAAGAAAGGCAGGGCGGAAATTTTGAACTAGAAAAATTTTAAAATAAAATCCAAAAAACATAAATTGAATAAAAGGTATACCAAATGACGTAATACCAAATCCTAAAATCCAACGAAATACCAAAATTTTTATTGGTAAGGTTGGTATTAGCACGTCTTTTTCTGTTTGGTCTTTTCGGTGTCTGGCCCCTTGGCGTAGCCAAGAGGATCGATTTCGAGGGGAAGGGGAGCTTTAACCCCCAGGCTACGCCCCTGGTGTCTGGTATCATATCGAGCCCCCAACCCAAACTAAAGAGTCAGGAGATCACGAAGAAAACTCAAAATTCAAGACTTGGACTTCGGATCCGACCCCGGAAACCAGGATCCGCTCCGATAACTAATTTTTATTTAATCTGTCCCAAATGTCACCCCCTAAATTTTATCAGATTAAAAACTCAAACCTTTGCTTTTCAGAAGAGATTCAATTTGTTCTCGATAGAAAAACTTGGAAGATTCAAATTCTTTATCAGAATAAGATATTAAAACTTCCCAAAGATGTTTGCGAATTTCGTGTGTCACAGGCCAGCTATTTTCATGAAGGAATTGTTTCAACTTTAAAGAGTAAAATATAACGTAAATATTAGAAGCCCACAAGTATAAGCCCCTTCGAGGGGAAATATTGAGCTCTCTAATAAAAGCCTACTCTCTAATAGAAGCCCACTCTCTAATACAAGCCCACTCTCTAATACAAGCCTACTCTCTAATATAAGCCTACTCTCTAATAAAAGTCCCCTCTCTAATATACGCTCATCCGAGAAGACCCATTAACCCATAAGCCGCCTCTCTAATAAAAAACCACTCTCTAATAGAGGCTCACCCAAGGAGACCCTGCTGAAAATATGAGCACCCTCACAAATATAAGCCTAGCCAGTCATTAAAAATTTAAGTGCCTGGCTTATATTAGAGCATTTACAGCAATTAAAAAAATATTTTAAAAAATTTAGAAACCTGTCCAAATTGTTTATTTTGAACCAATTTATTTAAAAAATCAAAGCTTCCATATTTTGGGACAATAAAATATTCTGGTCGGAGATCCGTGTATTCAGTAAATGGAGGCGACTTGAAAAAAATTTTTTTCAAATAAAATTAAAAAATTAAATTTGTGGCACTTACATGGCTCATCAAACATATTCAAATTAAAAAAAATGTCCGCAAGAATTTTGCGGATTTTAAGCTTATTTTTTATACTATTCCCGTTACCTAGCAACCAAAAAATGCAATTATTTTTAAATAAAGAGTGGTTTGAAAACATGCCATTTTTCTCTTCAATAAGAAAATGAGAGGAACACACCAAGGGCGTAGCCAGGGGGGCTTCTGGTGCTAGACCCCCGAAAAAAACTGAAGCCCCGGAAAAAGACCAAATTACGAAAATGGCTCTGTATCCAATCGAATGATACCAATTACGAAATATAAAATACAGCAGGGATGTGGCCACTCCGCATTTTAAAAACCGAAAAGGGAAGATGGAAGACAGCTCATCGTTGCTATACAATTCAGAGTAGAGATCGCGATTTTTGAAAGCCTGACCCTGTTCCTGGGTTCCGGGTTTGATTTATTGACTTGGGCCGGATCCTGGGCCTGTAATCCAGGAAAAACCCAGGCCCAGGAAAAACCCAGGAAGGTCAGAAAATGCCTGGGCCTGGACTCTGGGTATAGGAAAAACCCAAGCCTTGGTCCAGACCCAGCTCGATCTCTAGTTCAGAGATATGCCGAAATCATTTTAAAAGACGAAAAGCGAAGATCTTTAAAAAGACGAAGGGCAAAAATTCAGCAAAAATCCGGTGAAAAAGAAAAGACCAAAGGGTGCTATCATTTCAAGTAGGTCCCATACTTAGCCAGTTAATTAATCAAAAAATATACCACTTTATCCTGCACAACTTTTTTCTTTTCTTGAACAACTTGCCCATCTCCTCTTCTCGTCCCAATTTTTAAAGAGCGTCTAATAATAATAGAAAGTCTAGACAATTTACTGGAAGACTCATTTCCTTAAAAAATATACAAAAATAAACATAAAAAATTTAAAGAAAACCTGGGGTTCTGTAAGACCGAATAAAAAAATTTTCCAAAGTATTCCCCTCATTGCTACAGGTTGCTGGACATTCGGAAATAAATGTGGTAGAATTTAGTTGTTCTTCAATTATTGAAATATTTGGAGTTTTATTAAGGTCCATAGCTTTATTAGAAAAATAATTTTTTAGCCTAAAAACTCGAAAAAAATTTTAGGAAAAAAATTTCAAAAAAATTCTACCTAAAACAAGCCTTCAAACCTCACTACCCATATTTCACCAATTCCACATTTTGCCAATAAGGGCAAAACAACACATTATGCCAACACGCTTGTTGACAAAACGCAGAATTTTAGCCGTATTGGCAATATGTGGAATTGGTCAAATGTGGTAGAGCTTACCTAACTTCGTTTACATATTTGACCAATTCCACATTTCGCCAATACGGCTAAAATTCTGCGTTTTGTCAACAAGCGTGTTGGCATAATGTGTTGTTTTGCCCTTATTGGCAAAATGTGGAATTGGTGAAATATGGGTAGTGAGGTTTGAAGGCTTGTTTTAGGTAGAATTTTTTTGAAATTTTTTTCCTAAAATCACCTAACAGAAAATATTACAAAATGGTCATTTTTAAATTCGGTCAGTTCGTCAATTTTTGTCATTTCGCCTACTATTTTTAGAGCTAATTTACATAAATTTTTTTTTCTTCTTTTGCAACATTTAAAAAAAATTTTTTTTTAAATTCCCACCTTTGTTTAGGTCAGGTTAGCACCTTTTTCCTCTCTTCTCTTCTTAAAAAAATGTTTTATCTAAAAATACCCAAGTACCCTCTCTAAAATCAATTTTTAATTTATTTTTCTTCTCTCGTTTTTTAATTCACTTAACTTGCTCTCTCCTTTTATTGTGCATTTTTTACTTTTGTTATTTAATTCACTAAAATTGACACACACAAACGACCTCATTTTTTCTTTTTTAATTTTTCTTTCATTTTTAACTGATCAAATTTTAGTTTTTTGCAACGTTTAATATTTGAGGAATTTAGTAGAGGTTAGTCTGGTGTAGTTGGTTAAGGTTTGTTTTTTTATTTTTAGGGGTTGTGGGTTCGAATCCTGCCTGGGTAAATAATTTTTATTTTATAGAAGGAATACTTTAAAGGTCGTGGGCTCGAACCCTGCCCAGTAAAAATAGATTAGAGCCACTTTGGTGTAGTTGGTTACGTTTGGGTTTTTATATTTTATGGGCCGTGGGTTCGAACCCAGGCTGGGTAAATAATTTTTATTTTCAAGAAAAATTAATTTAGAGGTCTCAAATTCGAACCCTGCCCGAGTGGGAATAAATTTGGAGTCATTTTGGTGTAGTTGGTTATGGTTTGGTTTTTCTATTTTAGGGGTCGTGGGTTCGAATCCTGCCTGGGTAAATCTTTTTTGTTTTATATAAAAATTATTTTAGGGGTCTCAAACTCGAACCCTACCCGATTAAAAAAAATAAAAAAAATTTTTTCAGAGAATAGAATGGCAACTAATTTTCTTCGAACTCTTAGTCAGCGTCTTACAAAATCCAAAAATCGTTCTCAACACCAACAACCTCGTTCCTCTTCCATTCCAAGGAATAAAGAAACTTCAATTAGGCATTCTCATTGTCAATGCAGAGTTCAATTATTGGATAACAGCGATTTGAATATTTTAATTGGGGTATTTTTTTTAATTTTTATACAATTTTGCGGACTATATTTGCGGACAAAACTCAATTTCTATTTTTTAAAACTTCGTAGTGGTTTCCTTTGTAGCTTTTTTTCTTTGGTAAAATGTAAAAGACCATTCAATTTCAATAAAATTAAATTTGTGCTCGTTTGGTGTAGTCGGTTACGGTTTGATTTTTTCATTTTAGAGGTCGTGGGTTCGAACCCTTCCCGGATAAATCTTTTTTATTTTATGGAAAAATTATTTTTAAGAGTTATGGGTTCGAATCCTGCTCGGATAAAGCATTAAAAAAATTAAATTTTAATAATTAGGCCAGTAAATTCCGGATTTTTAATTTGTCCGCAAATCTAGTCCGCAAATTTTTCAAAAAAAAATTTTTAATTTCTTCCCTCTTTTTTAAATAGAAAGCAGCTATGGGCCAAGAATTGTATCAAAGAGTATTTGCCCATATCGGATTAATTGAGCGAGACTATTTTGGTTTACAATCTATTGATCATATGCAAGTACGGCAATGGCTAGATCCTGCAAAGAGAATACGAAAACAACTTCCTTTTGGACCTCCTTACAATTTTAGGCTTCGTGTTAAATTTTTTTCGAATGATCCGGTCAATTTAAAGGATGAATTAACCAGGTTATATTTTCATATCTACTTTTGTCAATTTTGTCCGCGATTTTTTGCGGACACTGTCCGCAAGTTTTTTGCGTATAAAAAATTTTCAGATTTTAAATTTCCTTTTTACCCCTTCGGAAGTATTGGGTTGTTTTGTCCGCAATTTTTTGCGACATTGTCCGCAAATTTTTGCGGACCGTCCGCAAGTTTTTTGCAGACAACATTCTTTAAATTTACTCCCTTCCTTTGCCTATTAAAAACCACTCAAAGTTTTTATTTTAGATATTTATTTTTTGTGCAATTGCGACAGGATATACAAACAGGCTTTTTGGATTGCCCACCTGAAGTAGCTATCTACTTGGCTGCATTAGGACTTCAATGTGAGAAAAATTACTCTTTTTTGCTTTTGTTTAAGTCCGCAGGTCAATTATTTTTTAAGCTTACTATGATTTTTGGAAGTATTTTTGTCTGCAAAAATATAATATTTTTGCGGACAAGATTTACGGACTTTTTTTACAGATTTTTTCAATTTTTTGCGGACAAAGCTTGCGGACTTTTCGATTTTTTGCGGATTTTTTTCAATTTTTGGTAGAATTTTTGTCTGCAAAAATATAATATTTTTGCGGACAAGATTTGCGGACTTTTTTGCGCATTTTTAATTTCTGCTGACAAAACTTGCGGACATTTTAATTTTTTGACGACTCTTTATCTTTATTTCTTATTTATTTTATTCATTTTTAGCCGAATTTGGCGACTTCAATCCCCACACATATTCTTCAACATTTGCTTCAGAATTTCGTTTCCACCCGTTACAAAATGAACAAATGGAATTGGCAATTCTTCGACAATGGGCAGATAAACAACTTGAAGGTATGAATCCGTGCCGGGCTGAGGCTGCTTTTTTGGATAAGGCGAGGAAATTGCCTTTATATGGAGTTGACTTGGTATTTTTTTTTAAATAATTTTCATTTCTTAAAAAATTTTGCGGACAAGATTTGCGGACTTTTTTCAATTTTTGCGGACATAATTTGTAGGCAAAATTTTTGGATTTATTTAAATTTTGGGGGCAAAATTAATTAGGTTTCAGATCCTTTTAATAATTTTCAAATTTAATTTTTACAATTTAAGCACAATGTTCAAGGACGTGATGGCTGTGAATATAGACTTGGCCTAAGTCCGCAAGGAATGTTGGTACTCGATGGAAGGCAGAAAATAGGTTTTTTATTTTTAAAAATGTTAATTTTGGAGGGATTAGGCTTTAAAATTAATTTTCCATAAAATTTAAAATGTTTAACCCCGGTCGGGTTCGAACCCACGACCCTTCTTAATTAAAATTAAATTGTAACCAACTAAACCAAAATAAATTGGGCCTAATCCCACTAAATTTTTGACCTTTATACATATTATTTTTTCGGTCAAAATTAAAAAATTTTCCTGGCCGGGTTCGAACCTTCAACCTGTTTAAGTTATAAATTTAACCCACTACACCAACGAGACACCAAGAAAAATTTTTGGTATTTCAACAAATTTTTCGATTATTTGAACCAATTTTTAGTTTGAAAATTAAAAAATTTCCTGACTGGGTTCAACCCAGAACCTTTTGAAAATGAAATTTAACCCACTACACCAACGAGACATTAATGATAATTTTTGTGAATTTAAAATTTTTCTGATTATTTGGGCACTTTTTGATCATTTTTTAATTAAAAAAATTTTAACTTTTAGGTCTTTTCCTCTGGGAAAAGGTTCAACGTCTCGATTTTCGTGGTCGTCGATTAACTTTAGTTGTAGAAGAAGAAATACAAAATTCAAAAAATTCTCAAGAACAACAACAACAGCAACAATTAGTTCATTTACACACTTTTATTTTTCAAACAAATTCGAGTAGAGCAGCAAAAAATTTGTGGAAATGTGCAATTGAATTTCATACATTTTTTAGGCTTAAATTTATTGGAAATAATGGAATGAATAGAAAAATATTTTCGCCTTTATTTCGGTTAGGGAGTACTTTTCGTTATAGGTTTGTTTATTAAAATTTATTTTTTGAAGGGTTTTTGAGGTAGGAAAATTTGCTGGGATTTTTTTAAAAAATTTTTAGAGCTTTTGGTTTTTTTCAAAAATTTTTCAAATTTTTTCGGAACCTTTGGGAATTTTTTCAAAAATTTTTTTTAACCCTTGGTTGTTTTTCTAAAATTTTTTGGAGCCATTGGTAATTTTTCAAAATTTTTTGGAGCCCTTGGTAATTTTCCGAAAAATTTTTAAGTTTTTTTGAACCTTTTTGAAAAAACCTTAACCAACTAAATCAGCATAAATTTGATTTTTATGACATTTTTTCATTATTTTTCGATAAAATTTAAAAAAAAAACATCCTGAGCGGATTCGAACCAACGGCCTGTTTATATTCCTTTAAAATTTTTTCTTCCCAAAATCCATAAAAAATTTTTTAAAATTTAAAAATTAAAGAGGAAGAACAGAATATGAAGCAATAAATAAAAATAATGAATTGCAATATCAACAACCAAAAAATTTAAATTTGATAGAAAGGCCTCCGTTTAGACGTCCTTCGCGTAGATATCCACCTAGACAACAAAAGAAGGAAGAAATTTTAAAAAGTCCAGTAAAAAGTTTGGATGGAGGAGGAAATAATTTTTATTTTAATAATACTCAGGTTTTTTTTAATTTTATTTTTAAATTTAATTTTCCTCGGGAAAGACCCGTTATGGCCTTTTAGAGCCTCGCAGTCAGTAAGCTCTTCAGTCTCGAGGCCATATTTTGGCCCATAACTTTTTTGATCCTTAACCGATTTAAATAATAATTATAACATTCGAAAGCTCTGAATGTGAGGATTATTTTACCTATCAGGATTGATTTAATCGGATCATTTTACATAAAGTTATAGCCGAATAAATATAAAAAATCACGATTGCGCGCACTTATTCGGTTGTAACTTTTTGTAGGATAATCTGATCAAATCCACTCACTCAGCTCTAATAATCCTCACATCCAGAGCTTTCGTTTGGTATAATAATTATTTAAATCAGTTAAGAATTAAACAAGTTGTGACCCAAAATATGGCCTCGAGATAGCTATATTGCTATTCTTAATTTTGTGGTCAAGTGGATAGTGATGGTGACTACAACCCCAATTTATACGAAGGTTCGATTCCTTTAGTGGGAAATGACTTTATTTGGTCCATTTTTAAATTTTTTAGATTAAAAAATTTTTTTAGATTTCTTAAAACTTTTAAAAAAATTTTAGAATGGAATTAAACGACCTGCAATGTCAACAGAATTGTGAAATAAAAAATTATTCTAAATTAATTTATTAATTATTATTATTCATATCAAGACAACCACCTCAAATTGGGTATATTTTTTAAAAATTTTTTGTTGAGTCTTTTAATTTTTTTATATATTTTATGGCCCACTTAATTGTTATTTTCTCCTATTTTAGGAATATTTATATTCTATAAGGAGCTATTTTAATTAGACTTTAATTGTTGTAGGGGTGGTGTAGTCGGTAGGGTTTCCGCCTTCGCCCAAATTTCTATCAAGGTTCGAATCATTTCATAGGAAAATATTTTATTTGCCCCATTTTTAAGCTTATTTAACCGTTTTTAAAATTTTTTTGTTGTTTAAAATTATTTAAAAATTTCTTTTGAAAAACATGCCCTTTGTTTTTTAATTCCCCTAGCTTTTAAAAATTTCACTAATTTCTTCTAAAATTTCCCCATATGACTCACACAAAGCTAAGAGACTTAACAACAAAAAATTATATTTTCAAATTCTCTTTCAATTTTTTTTACTTAAAATACTTTAATAAAACTACAAATTTTTTTACGTGTTTTGTTTTTATAACAAAAAGAAAAAAAAATAAAAATAGGCAACACAAAAATAAATAAGCAGATTAATTAAATGCGCATAAATTGTTTGTAGTATTACAGATTTAGACTTACTTTTAGTTTAGATTGTTTGTATTGATGACTAAAAATTAAACGAGGAAGAAATAAATAAAAGCCGCGACCTTTAAATCAGATTTTTTCATATTTTACATATTTTTCTTAGAAATTCTAGGAGAGCGACACTTGCGCAACGACATTTGCGTACAGACGTTTGCGCAGCCGACATTTGCGGACATTTTATTTAAAGACCTCTGAAGGGTACTGTACCTCCAAAATGTTACTGTATTCTCATGCCATAGTACTGGACGAGACCCACTGCCCTTTTGTTCCAATTTCAATATTTTTTTGACTTTGTCCGCAAAAAGCTATCCGCTAAGGCGTGAGTCCGCAGATGTCATAGTTCCTTATTTAAAGATCTGTGATGGGTACTGTATCTCCAAATTGGGTACTGTCTTCTGGATTTTATAACCTTACAAGACCCCCTGCCCTAATTTCAATAGGTTCTGGATTAATCCGCAAAAGTCAATCCGCAAATGATCAAAAATGTCCGCAAATAATTTAAATTCTCCGCAATTACCGCAATACTATAGCAATACCTTATCTAAATTTTAGGCTTAAAAATGACCTTTTCTTTGTCTCTAATTTCCCTATTTTTCCTTTTTATCAATTCCCCTCTAAATTCTGCCCAATATTTGCAACAAGCCTGGCAAACTCCGTCAAATGGCCATTTAGCCTCTACATATTCTTCACCTCCCTTTGATCGTTGCTGTTTCTGTTGTTGTTTTTGCCCTGTTCCGTTTACACAAGTATGGCAACAACAACAGCCTTTTCCTGGAGACAATAAGTTTCCTCCTTCTCAAGGGTATGGACAGAGTCCGCAAATGGTTAGTTTAGTTTTTAAATAATCTTCTGGGTGTCGATCTTTTGGGTTTAAATAAGTTGATAAGTTTTGGGGTTATCTTCTGGGTAGGCAGTAAGCTTGATTTAATTCCCTTCGATCTTTTGGATCAACTATAATCATAATTTCCTTTAAGCATCCATACCAAGCATCTAATGCGGGTTACCACAGCCAGCAACCCAACCAAATGGGAGGTGAACATACAGGAAGTTCAATGCAACAAAATAAATATCCACCGTCCATGCAAGCAGCAAGAATTGCTGGGAGTCCGACAGCCGGGTATTGGCCTTCTTTGAGTGAATCAAATCCTGAACATGGGCAACAAAAACAGTCAACAGAAAGTAGTGATTTTTGGCAGAATTTTCAAGGAATGGATCATCCGAATCAGAACATGGTAGGGACGAAATGGTCCACGACTAAATGTCTAAACGACCAAGTGTCCAAATGTTAGATAGACAAAATGTCCTAATAAGTGATCGCGACAAAATGTCCTATTCTGTAATATTGACAAAATGCCTATTGGCAAAACGCCCAAATCCGGAAATGTCAAACTGCCACTTGAAAAAATGTCCAAATAAGTAAAATATGACAAAATGCCCAAACCTATAATTAGACAAAATCCGCAAATTTCGTCTGCAAAAAACTTGCGGACTAATAATTCATCTATTATTAACAATTTTTACAGGAAACACGCAATATGGAAGAACCATTTTCTGGGCAAACAGGAGATGAAACAATACTTCAAAAATCTAAACAAATTGACGAAACAATAAAAAAGAAAAAATAAAAATCTCTACTAAAATTAAAAAATCTCAATTAGTTTTTTTCACCCAAAATGTAATCCCAATTCTATCCATCTTTCATAAAAGGCTAATAATGAAAAGAAAAAGGCCGTCATACAAGCAAAAAAGGCCAAAAGACAGCGATCTATACAATTGGCCAAAAATTCCCATTCCAAGGCACACCTAGAGAAATTTTAAAATAAATTTTGTCCGCAAAAACTTGCGGATTTTTAGGAAATTATGTTTTGGTTAAAAATCCGCAAACTTTGTCCGCAAAAAACTTGCGGATTTTAAAAAATCCCCCTAAAAATCCCCTCAAACCTTCTCATCATCTTCTGCCTTTTCATAAATCTCAAGCTTGGACGGCCACCTCCAGCAACCCATATTCGACTTCCCTTTCTTATTTCTTTTTGTAATCTGTGGAATTCTGCTTTTCGGTGGCCAAAAACTCCCTTAAAATTAAAAAAGAAAATTTTTTGACAAGTCCGCAAGTTTTGTCCGCAAAAATCCTGCGGATTTTTAAAGAATTTTTTGGCAAAAGTCCGCAACTTTTTTTGTCCGCAAAAATCTTGCGGATTTTTCAAAAAAATTTCAAAAAACCTTTGAAAGAAAATCAGCAGCCTCATCAATTGTTTCCCTTCTCCTCCTTTCCCTCCCCACAGTTCTACTTGCAGTTTGGGCAATTTGTTTTGTGGCAGAAACCAATTGTTTTGTTTGGGTAAAACTTTCACGGGCGGCAAGTTTTCCTTTGGGCAAAGAAAATTGTTTTTCTTCTCTTGATTTCTCCACAGCCTTTTCTCCCCCATCTTCATCAACGTTGCTGTTAATCAATCCATATTCAGCCCATATTTCTTTCAAATCGGAAGGGGGTTCAAGTATGAATCTCCAAAGCCAGCGACGTAGAAGGAAGTAATTGAGGACTCCAGAAGGTGGTAATTGCATTAATGACTGGAAAATAAAAAATAAAAATCAGCGGTAAAGGCCCATAAAAGGACCTCTCATAAAAGGATTCGAACCTTCATATAAATTGGAGGTGTAGTCACCACAAAATCCACTTAACCACAAAATTAAGAATATAAATGTCTATCTCGAGGCCATATTTTGGTCTATAACTTTTTTGCTCCTCACCCGATCAAAATAATTAATATATCAATCGAAAGCTCTGGATGTGAGGATTATTTTAGTTAGCAAGACTGATTTGATCAGATCACTGTAAAATAAGTTATAGCCGAATAAAGATCAAAAATCACGATTACGCGCGCTTGTGAGGCTATAACTTTAGGTAGATTGATCTGATCGAATCAGTCCTGTTAGACAAAATAATCCCCACATCCAGAGCTTTCAAAAGAAATAATATTCATTCGAAAAGGTTGAAATCCAAAAAAGTTATGGCCCAAAATATGACCTCGAAACTGAAAAAAACGATTCTGAAACGGCCTATAGTACAGCGGACTTCCTCTCCAAAAAATTTTTTATAAAGATAGGACCCCCCCTCCTCCCCCAAAAAAATAAAATTCTATTTAAAATACCAAACCTTTCGGGAATGAATAAAAAGTACAAAAGTAGCAATTAAAGTGCCAAAAACGCAAGTTCCAATTATTCCCATATAATACCTTAAAGAAAATTTTTGAAAAAATTTCAAGAAAAATTAAAATAAACCAGCTCATAAGAGGAACATAACTTGAAGTATTTGGCATTTGATTTGTCACATGAAAATTGGAAAAAATAATATTTTATAAGAAAAAATTGCGGACAAATATTTGCGGATAAAACTGAATTTTATTGAAATGGGTTAAACGAACGTTTAATAATGTCTCATATAATGGCCTAAGTAAAGAGCGATATTTGGGTGTATATTTCAGGAAGGGAGTTACCAGGGGTCAGGTTATGATGATGGCCTTCCCACTGGATCGTCCCTTTCTGAAATTAATTTAAAAAATTTTTGTCCGCAAGTCAAGAGTGTGTCCGCAAAATTTTTTTGTCCGCAAATATCAATCCGCAAATTCCACGTTATTATACCAGTAGTTAACTATGCCCCAATCGCTCCACATACCCAAATCGCTCTTCTACCCTTTTCGCTCCACATACCCAAATCGCTCACCTCATTTGGTCACCTGTCAAATGAAACCTCATCCTATAGAGGGGGTATTTTCCTTTGATTTTGCCGACAATCCTATGGGATTAAAGGGGTTTTAAGCCCATTAATCATCCTTTTTTGGAACAACCCAAATCGCTCTCCTCCAGAAATTCACTCCTTTTGATGCCTTTTATATTTAATTATGCCGCCGAACTACACCTACTGAAGAGGGTCATCGGTAATTAAGGAGGGCAATTAATCATATTTAAAATGATTAATTACTTTTGAAGGTAAAGGGCGATGACAGCTTTCAAATAAAAAGTACCTTTAAGAAAATCTGGGTGGGTAATCGAAAATGGTCGGTAGTTAGAGAACATCTGGGATAAGTACTAATAGAGAAGTTTAAAAGCGAAATAGTGCGAAATGTTGGACTCTAGAGTCTCAGTTCATTTTTTCAAAGTTTGTCCAAAATGACCGGAAGTGCAAATCAGACCTGGGCGAAACTCAAATTTTTTTTCTGACGAAACGAAACGAAACAAAATTTTTTAAAAATCGTTTCGTTAACGAAACGAAACGAAACAACCAAAATCTTACGAAACGAAACGAAACAAAACGAAACATTTTAATATTCAAAAAATTTTCAAAACTGCATTTATTTCGAAATTATTCGACCTCAAATACGTTATTAGTCGACTATGACTTATAAATGATTTAGTTATTGGTTTATTTACAACAATTGTGTCCCATAAGCCAGGCCCGTAGCAAGGAAAATTTTCGGGGAAGGGGGGGGGTCAATCATTTTCGAAGCCAAATTTTTGGCGACGCTTTTTTTTAAATAAAATTGAATATTTTTCAAGTAAAATTTTATTTTAAGCGCCGCAGACGAAAAATTTTAAAATTTTGAAAGGCCGTAGGCCAAAAAATTCACCATCTTGCTCCATTGCCTACCCAAATTGTCTCCATATCTCCATTTCGAGAGGAAGGCGATATAAGCTAGTGCTTCGCCGGAAGTTCCGGTTCCAGTATTTCCGCAACTCGCAATCCGCAATTTTTAAATTATGATGCGAGTCCGGTAATAGAATTTGTCGTCGATTAAGTAATATGTATATGTGGATTAGGGAGTGGAGTATAAACGGATTTGTAGTATATAAGTAATTGCTATCTTCCTTTTTCAGCGCCGCAGGCGAAAATTTTGACAATTTGGGAAAGCCAAGAAGCCGAAATTCTTTTTTTTTCAGCGCCGCAGGCGAAAATTTTTTAAATTTTCAATAAAAGATGGTAAATTTTATAGATTTTGGCCTTAGTTTAGGCTTAAAAAATTGTTTCGTTTCGTTGAAAAATCACAGGTGTTTCGTAACGAAACGAAACGAAACAAATTTAAAAGTGTTTCGTAACGAAACGAGACGAAACAGTAAAAATCATACGAAACATACGAAACAACGAAACGAAACGAAACGTTTCGCCCACGTCTGGTGCAAATGCAAGGGTTTAACTCATTATTTCGAAATATCACTTTTAAAATGTCAAGCAACAAAATGCCAACTTTCAAAATGTCAAGCGACAAAATGCCAACTTTCAAAATGGCAAACAACAAAATGCAAATCTCAAAACGTCAACTTCAAAATTCATATTTGAGGGAATTTTGAATTTAAAATCTTCTATAAATTTCGTATGTTGTGAATTTCAACCTGGGACTGGAATATTTGAGTCTGATAATTAATTAAAAATGAAAATTAAAAAATATATTAAATAAAAATAAATGCGGATAAATAAAGTTTACAAAATTTTACAAAAAATTTTAAATGATTTGCAAAATTGCCGCAAGTCAGAATGTAAGGGGAACTAAGCAATTATTTTAAAATGTCAAATTTAAAAATGCCAACTCTTCAAAATGTAAAGTGACAAAATGCCAACCTTTAAAAAGTCAAATGACAAAATACCAACCTTCAAAAAGGTCATGTGACAAAATAACAACATTCAAAATGTCAAACGACAAAATGCAAATTTTTAAAATGTCAAACGACAAAATGCCAATTTTCAAAATGTCAAGCGACAAAAGTACCTTTAAAAATGCACCTTTTAAAATTAAAAGCACCTTTAAAAATTTTTAAAAGCACCTGATTTGCATTTTGCAAACGACAAAATGCAAATCTCAAAACGTCAACTTCAAAATACATATTGGAGGGAATTTTGAATTTAAAATCTTCTATAAATTTCGTATGCTGTGAATTTCAGTCTAGGAATGGAATATTTGAGTCTGATAATTAATTAAAAAATGAAAAAAATAAAAAATATATTGAATAAAAATAAATGCGGAGAAATAAAGTTTACAAAATTATGCAAAAAATTTTAAATGATTTGCAAAGTTGACGCAAGTCAGAATGTGAGGGGAATTAACCAATTATTTAAAAATGTCAAATTTCAAAATGTCAAGTGACAAAATGCCACACTTCGAAATGTCTATTTAGATGTTTAATCTTCCACTGTTAAAAACTGATAATTATTATAAGACTAATAAAGGGGCGATGTGTGGCCAAAGGACAGTTTACCTTTTGATTTGGGGTAATTAATCATGATTAATTAGGGTGATTAATCATTCCATAATTAAAAAATTATGGTTTATATTTTGCGGGAATTGACAGGTGGGATGTTCGTGATGTGTCAACAACCATCCAGCGGCAGACGAAGAAAGACAGTATACGGTAAAAGGCATTACGGTAAAAGACATTTGGAGGTTAAAATGAATTTTTAAAATTAATGTTTGGAAGTGCGATAAAATTATAGAGAACCAAAAGGTGGAAGTGCGGTAAAATAAAAGAGACATAAAAATGTATTTAAGCCCCTGATGATGTCTGACACAAACTACAACAACCATACAGCGGCAGACGAAGAAAGACAGTGTACTCTCTTAAGAAAGTACACTCTCTAGCTCATCTAATTCCAACTTTTTTCTTAGATCATGTTAGACATGCGGACAGAATAAAACAGAGAAGATTATGAGTAAAATAGTGTGTTAAAGCGAAGAGTCTAGTCTTGCTTAACGGCTAAAATTTATCTTGCTAGAGAACATCTGGGATAAGTACTAAAAAGAGAAGTTTAAGTGCGTTATGTTGGACTCTAGAGTCTCAGTTAGTTTTTTCAAAGTTTGTCCAAAAATGATCGGAAGTCAAATGTAGGGGGGATTTACCTAAATATTTCGAAACACCAATGTCAACTTTAAAAAGGTCAAGTGACAAAATTTCAACTTGAAAAATGTCAAACACATTTTAATACCTTGTATCTCTTTGATTATGTCGTCAACCTATATGTTCTGAAGGGATTCTAGGGTAATTAATAAAAGTTTGAGGGTAATTAGTTATATTCTAAATGATTATCACCTTCTACCTTTTAATAGTAGAAGCTGATAAGATGCCAATCAGTGAGTGGAATGAGTGAGAGTGGGAATGCTATTATTAAAGTTAGACATTATGAAAATCGACATTTTGAAATTTTTTCAAATTTTGTCCAAAAATGGCAGGAAGTTCTAATCTAAGCGTGTAACAAATTATTCCGAAATGCTAATTTTCAAAACGTCAAACTACAAAATGCAAACTTTAAAAACGTCAAACGACAAGATGCCAGCTTACAAATTTTCAAACGCTAAGATACTAACTTAAAAAATGCCAACTTGAAATATGCCAAATACAAATGTAAAAGTTCAAAATGGCATGTGACAAAATGCCAACTTTCTAAATGTCAAACAACAAAATACCAACTTTCAAAATGCAAGATTTCTAAAAGTAATTCAAAACTTAGCTTATGTTAATTGACCTGATCACTTATCTTTTCTTATTGTTTTAATCAACCTCATAAAAATATGGTGATCTTTAGGGTTGTATGGAAGAAGTGGTTAGAGAAAAATAACTAAGAGATTAGTTTCTGTTGTGTAGTGGTATCGCTATAGTATAAAAGCCAGTTAAAGCGTCAGTCTAGTTGGATCATACTAGCGGGGGCTAGTCACTGATCTCCGCCGTCTGTTCCAGCTCTTCCATCTTTTCGCCTACACATTGTTTATTTCTAAACCGGATAAACAGTTTTTCTATCGCACGTCAACACTACTTAAATCTCTGACATCTACGGTTGTAACAGTTTCTCTCTCAATATATTCTCTCAATATAAAGTTAAAATATCTCTTTTTACATTAGAAATTTTTCACCTATTTGTTAGCTGTGGGAATTTTTAGAAATTTAAAATTTATAAAAAAAATTCTCAAAATTAAGAAATTAAAAGAATATTCAAATGATTATTTATGAGTTTTGTGTATAAAAGATTGGAGCTGATAGAAATTTTGTAATATAAAATAAGAAAAACTGGAACATAATTTAAACTTTACTTTTTATTTCATGAGTCTTACGTTTTCCGACTGTAAACCTCTTGTCAAGGAAGGGTGCGGAGGTTTGTCGTCGTGATCAATGGGGAAACAATGGTTTTGGTAACTTTGAAGTTTCATCATCATCAATTTCGACTAAAATTGCGTGGAAATGGTGCATGGATATAGAATATTTTAAGGACGGTGACACTTAAAGCGACATTCAATGATAAGGATGAATCGTGCAAAGTCAAGTGGAGCCAAAGGATTGG